ATAAACTAAATCAAAATCTACAGAAATACGTCTGAATTGTTTTGCATGCAGAAACAGTGTTGATTAAGTATGATGTGTAAGGTTGGATTCAGCTGGTGATTACCGTATTTCCAAATGCCTTTTCCAACAAGTTTACTCCATAACCGTTCAATAAGCACCTATGTTTTGTTCTCAAAAGTTTTTTTTTTTAACATGGTTACTTTTATTGTTTGCCTCAGTAATTGGTTTCCCCTTTCTTCCAAAATCATTTGGATAGTTTGTATAGGAAGTTTAGCCTCTTTTTAAAAACATTATTTTGAGGTTTGCTGTTTTGTAGAGTGGTCCTATGTTAGGTATTTGATCTTTATAACCCATACCAAAGCAAAATATCAAATTGGTGGCAGTCCTATACATGGTTAAGAGGGGGAATTTTGTTTAGTTGGTTGTGCCTTATGGTTCTTCAACATAGCCTTCATTATTTTAAAAGTTCTCTTCCACTTTTTGTCAGTGACACAAAGTAGTGCAGTGGTACCTCGGGTTACATATGCTTCAGGTTACATACGCTTCAGGTTACAGACTCCGCTAACCCAGAAATAATACCTCGGGTTAAGAACTAAGCTTCAGGATGAGAATAGAAATCGTGCGGTGGCAGCAGGAGGCCCCATGAGCTAAAGTGGTGCTTCAGGATAAGAACAGTTTCAGGTTAAGAACGGACCTCCGGAACGAATTAAGTACTTAACCCGAGGTCCCACTGTACTTATTAAAAGTAATAAAGCATCTTTTATGGGTAGTGCTGCTGCTGGTGGTTATTATTATTAAATTAATATATAAACAATCTGTACAAACCTACAATTAAAACACTAAATAAATCATATTCATATCATGGGAGGCCTTGCATCTTCTAAAAACAATGAAATAAGGTATTTTGGGTGTCTCTTCAGGAAAGGAGTTCCACAGTCATAGGGCACCAACAGAACATTTCTCTGTATCGCATGCTTACAAATCTCACTTCCTCATGAAATGACATGTGGACATTCTGCTGGCATCTTAAGGAACATGTGTGCACAGAGGTGCTGAATATGTGGGGCCTGCACTGTTTAGGAATTTTCTCTTGGGGAGAATTATTAGTTGCTGAAATAGGTATGGTAATGCAGGAGTTGCTTAGTTTGAGGCCTATGTTTCTCTTTCTCTCCCACACACCCCACCCTGCTTCCAAGGAGCTCAGGGCAGCGCAATGGGAGCTGTCTCTCTCGTTATTGCAACCTTGTTCCGTACAGCCTAACCTTCCTTGCAGCCGTTCAGTGAACTTGATTCCACAGCAGGAATTCAAACAGCCATTCTCTGGTGCAGGTTTTGCATACTTTCCATTTTGCCACACTACATGGATGGTCGTTTAGACCAGTGGTGGGGAACCTGTTGAGCTCTAGCTCCTTTTGGTTGCAGTCAGTATGCCAACAGTCAGGGGTGATGGGAGTTGTAGTCCATCAACATCTGGAAGGCCACAAGTTCCTCATCCTATATTTATTGTGTGGGTAGAGTTGGCTGTCCTATATAACTAAAAAGTATTTTTTTCATTAGCTCCCAGCGCTCTGAACCCAAGTTATAAACAGAAAATTCAAAGGAGCTTACAGTGTCAATGGAAGATGATCACTGAGCTGTCGGTGCTGCTTTTGAGCATATATTTAATCCAATGCAGAATTGGCATTCTGAAATTTTAGCTCCAGGGGCTGATATCCCATTAATGGTTGCGTTGCGCTTGTACTTCAGTTCAGCCACACTTGTGTGACTCCAGCTCCTCCATCACTCCAGAGCAAATGCCACGCTGGCTGCAGCTGATGGGATTTGGAGTCCACTTCTTTAAAGTGCCTCTCAAGTAGATTATTTGCTTATACCCACAGTGCATGATTAATCACTTTCACTTACCAATGGAAGAGAGAACCCATTTTTGATAGATTAAATGTCACTGTTGATGAACTAAGTGAAAGATTGATCACGTACATTTAAAGGAAAACAAGATACAGCTTGGATATGTTCATCAGTCACATTATTAATCTTGCACCGAATAAGCGTTAGTTCTTGTAAACTGTTAAAAGTCAATGGCTTGTGATGGTAAATGTGTGAATATGCTGGTGTAAGAGGTTGGAGTTTTAAAGACAATTTATTTAAGGTGCTGACTTGATACTTCATTGGTGAAAAAAGTGCAGGCATTTATATATTTCCGTGTGTGTGTGTGTGTGTGTGTGTGTATGCATGCATGTATATCTGTTTGTCTGTCTGTCTTACCAGAATGTAACAAGGCAGTGCTGATTCTTGAGAGGCACAACTTCAGGTTCATTACAGTTGTGTAACTGCAAACCTGAAGGACTTTGGATAAATTAATAGTAGTCTGAAAAGCAAGTCTCAAACTTCATTCTTACTGCAACAACATTTTCTAAAGTCTATTTTGAAATATAATTAGGAAGGGAGTTAGAACTTAGATTCAAAACAACACTTCATACAGTTGGAATGACATCTTTTGAAATTAATTCCTTAGCTTAAGCTATACTTTCAAACTGATAGTATTTCACCATTTATTCTCACTTCTGGGCAGTATCCAAGTGGCTCCTATATTGTAAACTTGCACTGAGTCAGAAAGGCGAGAAGGTGAGGGTAGCAGTACCATGAATAGTAGTTTTAAGTGTGCAGTGGATGTTGTGTTGAAATGTAACTATGAACTAATAGTAATGATGGAGGGACTGTATTTCTGCACTGAATCCAGCGGGCAGTTTCACACATTCCCCACCCCCCAATGTAGAGATCAATCCCCATGTATACACTGGTCATGGTATACATGACAGTTCTGATGCCTTTTGGCCGTGCTGTACATACATTAGGAAGCCAGTGTATGTGTCCATAAATGAAAACTGGACTTCTCAAACCTGGAGCGGAATTTCATAAGCCACATAACAGTATCTTGGGGCCAGGGAGGGCTGCATATCAACAACCCCACTTAAGGACTGCTGTTGCTGTGTTAGCAGGGAGTCGTCTCTCCAAAGCTGCACAGACTTCGGAAACTCTGGAATTCTTTTTATGTTTCTAGCAGGGACTCCAGTGGCTAAGAGGGATGATTATCACTGCTGGGTTGGAATCTTTATTATGGGAGCAAGTGCAATCTGGTGGCAACAAAAAAAGATAAAAAAACCACAGACTGTTTAAAGTAGCCTGGACATAAAGTGAGGCCACTGGGACTAAGCATCACCTTTCATAGTTTATTGCTGGCAGAGAAGAGTAGCTTAGGAATGTGTTTGACTTCAGCAGCTATTGGTGATGTTCCATTTAAGCGGATTTTCATTTCTTCTGCTTATTGGATACGATAGACGCATGAAATGTGTTATGTGTTTCTTTATGTTTTACAGTACTCTTCATAGCACCCTGTAGCACGTGAAGCAATTTATAGGCTCAAATTATACGTGCAAGCATTTTTCAGTTTTTGTTAGCTGTGTAAAATGTCACAGAATGGGTTCAGACAGAATAATCCCAGGGAATTACATTGTTTGTGTAATGAGGCAATTGCCAGCTTAGTATTTTATTGTTTGATTTATTGCAGTTTTTGTAGACAGCTTTTCAACTTTAATGGTTCTCAGTCAGAGTGTTATATAAATTGCAGGTGATAATTTCCCTAAAATCCGTAACTATAAGTTAGCACCATCATGAAAAGCAAGTAATTTGGCAAATGCTGGCATAGTGCTACGAAATATAATAAAGTAATGCTATAATATCCATCTCTTACGTTTTCAACTTCTCTGGTTAGTAGATGAATATTTCATGAAAATTAATGTATTCAGGATTCAGTTTTTAAATTAATTATGGTGTAAACTTAAATTATAATGAGATATACAAAGGCATGTGTCAATTTATTCAGTTATATACAACATCTGTTTTTGTAATATCATTTATAAATACAATTTTTAAATGGTTGCTTTAATAAATACAACATGCTTCTAATAATCCACAGACAGTATAGATTACTATTAATTTGGCATACGTTAATATCTGAAAAACTGAATTTTGGCTGCAATTGGAAATAAAAATCGGTTTCCCTTCCTGCTGTTTGGATCTTTGTCTTACATCTTAACATCAAAACCAAATGCAGGATAGTAATCTGATAAGTGCTATTGTTGTTTATCCCCTAATGTTTATCATTTCCCTGTTCAGAGTTGGGTATATAATATATATAAAAGGCATGAGAGATTATTGCCATTAATCAAGATTGCACATCTCAGGAAGGCAGGGGCAATAAATGACAACATAATTTAAGTTGAGGCACAGATGAGGGAACTAGTAGACTTAACGACTAGTTAAATTTGTTTCTTGTATATTTGTGGAGTGAGTGAAAACATTAACTTTATAGTTTCATTACTGCCAGACACGCTGCTGAAAGTGATCTGATAACACCAGTGGCAATATTTATGAATATGAGTTGTAAAGTGTGTGCACTTGGGGACAAAAACTGCAGCAATGAAATAGATTTCTGTTTACTATTATGTGCTGCCAAAATTAAAATTTTAATGCTAATACAACCTCCTGTTTTAATGAATTCTAATGAATTTGGTTTTCCTAGTTAGTTATTACTGGTCATAGGATGTCTTCAATGCTTGGGAAACAGTATCATCAAGTAGTATTTTGCTTGACAAACGAATTAGAAACAATAGCATGACCTTTAATAAAATGGTTTAAACAGAATGGGTTATCTAAACTTAAGGTTCAAGCTTCATGAACTTTAGCGCAGAAAATTCTGTAGCATTTGTTTCCAGGTGACTTAGACCTAAGGTGTAACATTTATCTTCCATCTTCCTTCTCGACTGGGTTAAAAAGGCATTGCCTGTTTATATTCCGCTTCCACTGTATAAAAGTTATTTACGTATTATTTTGCATTTGGCCTCACCTGCTGTGTTACTGCTCCACAGGAAGCAGTTGTGTTGAAAAAAGAAGCGTGGATGGACGTGTCCTTATTGTGAAAAAGGAGGACCAAACATTTTACCATGGGGAAAACAGCAGCTAAAGGTAAAGTTCTTGAAACAAAGCAACAATGTAAATGAGGGGCTGCAGTTTTCAGGGGGAAGAGGCCCCCAAGAGACCTAATAAGATGGGGGGGGGTGACTAGGAAAGATCTCACAGCTTGGAAATATAACTCCCCACAGTCAACTCACTAATCTCATGACAGAGTGGAATAGATTTCTGCAGGCTATTTTATGATTTTTATTCTCTGCCCTGGTCCTTTTCCCTTTTCATTTTGTGGTCCCATAAGTATATGGGTATATGATTGCAGCTTTTCGATTTAACGTACATATTTCTCTCTAATTTAGTATGTTCACTATTGCTGTATTGCTGTGATGGAGTTTTCTAACCTTTTATATTGGGGATAGATTAAAATGTCAGGGCCATATAAACTGGCTGCCCCTCCAGATAGCTGAGCATGTATGCTTGGTCCCATTGTTGCACTGCTGTAGGTCAAATCACTTCCAACACTTGGGAGAGAGTTTACAGAGCTCCACAGGGAACACACCGCGGTTGTAGTTAATTACATAGCACACTGAAAATGCTTACGCCCTTCCAAATTATGGAGAATTCTTGATTTGGCTAGAATGCAGCAACTACCATGCTGGGCCAGGTTAGATATTTATTGCTCCCCAACTTTGATCTGTGACCAGCCCAGTACAACAAGCAAAACAAGATTGCCATCTTCCTTCACATAGGAGCCAACTCCAAGGGGCCGAGGTCCCTTCAGCTCCCCCAATAAAATATTTGAGGGGTTGGGGGGCCCCAAAGTTGATGGGCATTGGTGTGCCCTGTCATGTGATGGATTATGTGGGGCACGGCATACCTGGGACCCCCCCCCCAATATTTTATTCAAGTTGGCTCCCCTGTTCCTTGACCTTCAGTATCTGGCAGCCATTGTTCAACTTTTCCTTGAAGTGTCTACATGGTCTTTCATTTATGCTAGTAGTTGTCAGAGCAACCCATGGCAATATATTCTACAGATAACTGTATGAAACGGGGTACTTTGTCTTGTAAGGGAATGTTTGTTTTTAAACCTATGTGTCACGTTTAGTTTCCTCCAAGCGCTTACAGTATACTGTACCTTTCCCTGATTTTTAACTCTATTCATTACATGAGATGCACAGTTACTCTTAGAGAAATAACTAAATAAATCCCACTGAGTCCAGTTGGGTTTCCGTCTTAATAAATGTGTTTAACATTGCAGGATTGGTTGCACTGCCATTTCCTGCACGTAAGTGCCTGAAGCAGGAGTGGGTAGCCTTGATAGGCACAAGGGCCTCGTTTTGGGTCAGCCACCCATTTGCAACACATTGCAATGCAAACACACCCTCAGCAAGGAAGGACTAGACAAGTACAGTGGTGCCCCGCAAGACGAATGCCTCGCAAGACGGAAAACCCGCTAGACGAAAGGGTTTTCCGTTTTTGAGTTGCTTCACAGGATGAATTTCCCTATGGGCTTGCTTCGCAAGACGAAAATGTCTTGCGAGTCTTGAGATTTTTTTTCGCTTCCACCCCCCCTTTTTCTAAGCCGCTAAGCCGCTAATAGCCTTTTAGCAGCTAAGCCACTAAGCCTTTAATAGCCGCTAAACCGCTAATAGCGCTAATCCGCTAATCCGGTAATAGGGTTGCTTCGCAAGACGAAAAAACCGCTAGACGAAGAGACTCGCGGAACGGATTAATTTCGTCTTGCGAGGCACCACTGTATACATGAAACATGTATACTACCCTGTGGGGTGGAGAGACAGATTCAGCAGACATGCTGCATCAGACTCACACATTCAGCAGAGCTTTTGCTCTCTAAGGAAGCACTGATGTAGAAGGGCCTCTTACCCCAGCACTGTTCTGGGGAGCAGAGGAGGAAACCAGCCTGTTTTGCAAAGAGGCCCTTTTCCCTCTTGTGTGGCAGAATTGTTGGGATTCTTAGAAAAATGGTGCCGTGCCAGAGGGAGAAGGGGACCTTTTGCAAAGGTTGAAAAGACATTCCCAGACTAAACATGATGACCAGGGGGAGAAATGGATACCTCACCAGTGCAACAATGAGGACCAACAGTACCACCTGCTTCTTGGCAAATACATACATACATATACGTACGTGTGTGTCCGTCTGTCCGTCCCCTATTTATTTACTCATTCATTCAAAGTACTTAAATTCTTTTTAGGGCAGAGCTCTTTCAGGGGGCTTTAAAAAGATAATTAGTTCCAAATAATCTAGCTTTGTATACATAGCAGTGGTTCTCAGCTGGAACTATATCCATGCACAATGGAGGGATGCATGGGGTACCTCAGCCCGGGGCAGTTTATTCTGCAAAATTATGTGAAAAATACTGTGTTTTATGTCCTTTTTCTTTTTCTTTAGATTCTAAGACTATTAAAAGAGAAAAACATGGGAAGAGTTGTCTGTCAAGCAACCAATTGCTAAATAATGGTGTGTATTGTAAATGTAAATATCATGAATTATTTTTAAAATAAATAAATGGGGTTTAACGTCTGCTCATTCACCTATCTCTCCCATCGCCTCCTGCCTCACCCGATTAGCCTCTCCACTTGTGCAAGGTGCCTCCTTCCTGATTTTTGGACAGTTACAGCTACCTCCTGCAGTGTAGTCCATGCTGTTCAGGAGGTCTCCCAATCATCCCGGGTTCTTTTAAGAAGGCTGTTGTGTGTGGGGGAGAAGAAGATCAGAAAGATCCTTGCTCTAGAGGCCCTGCCATAACCTTTAGGATTTTGAAATGGGCACTTTTTTTCCTTAGGGACTCCACTCCAGGGCCTGGTACCAAAGTGGGGACTCGCTGTCATGCACACTTAACCCAGACACACGACCTTAATAAATAATAATAATAATAATAATAATAATAATAAAAAATTTATTATTTATACCCCACCCATCTGGCTGGGCTTCCCCAGCCACAAATGCAGATAAGCATACTTAACTCAAATCTGCCTGCCCAGGTATGCTTTTTTTCTTTTTTAATGAAATAGAGGTGTATAAATATTTTTTTATAAATAAGTAAGTTGCTTCCTATTCTCCTAGCTGAGCCCTTTGCCTGGGTTTGCTGGTATCTTTGCTCTTGGGTTCAAGAAAGATTTTAGGGTAGGTAATGTTGCTAAAAAAAAACACAACAAAAAAAAAAAAACGAGGGACACGGGTGGCGCTGTGGGTAAAACCTCAGCGCCTAGGACTTGCCGATCGCATGGTCAGCGCTTCGAATCCCCACGGCGGGGTGCGCTCCCGTTGCTCGGTCCTAGCGCCTGCCAACCTAGCAGTTCGAAAGCACCTCCGGGTGCAAGTAGATAAATAGGGACCGCTTACCAGCGGGAAGGTAAACAGCGTTCCGTGTGCTGCGCTGGCTCGCCAGATACAGCTTGTCACGCTGGCCACGTGACCCGGAAGTGTCTTCAGACGGCGCTGGCTCCCGGCCTCTAGAGTGAGATGAGCGCACAACCCTAGAGTCTGGCAAGACTGGCTCGTACGGGCAGGGGTACCTTTACCTTTACCTTTTTAATGTTGCTAAAATAAACCAAAATATTGATATTTAGGTAGACTGAGGGAGTTAAAACAAAAAGCAGGTTTTTGGTTGAAAATGAAGGAAGTAAAGAAGGACTTTTAAAAGTGACTAGCTCTACTCAAGATGGGCCTTGCTCACCCTGATTGTGCAAGAGTTTTAACATTTTAAGGAAATAATGGGCTGGATACATGAGTGAAACACAGGACGTGTGCCACATAATGAATGGTAGAAATCCAGTACAAGCTAATGTCAGAACATGAGATGCAGGAGTCCCACAGCTGCATCACTTGAGGGTTTCCGCTAGTAGCCAGGACCTCTTGAGTTTTATTAGCAATTATAAAGCAGCCCTTCCCCCAACCTGGCAGCCTCCAGGTTGTTTTAGACTACATGCATCAAAGCAGTGTTCGAAACCCCCATTGTTCTAGGCGCATTTTGCGACGGGGAATTTCATTAGCGCGAGCAGATTTCAGATTAAAACCTCAGAGTGGAAGGAAAGGAGGACCTTTTCCCGCCTCCCCACTTCCAGCCACTCTCTGAAGACTAGAGAAGAGACCCTCTTAAGAATATTAGGGGGGGGAGCAGGGGAAGGAATGAACATAATATTTTAGCTGCAGTTCATTCATTTTCAGCTCTGTATTGTTATAAAAAGCACGCCTAGACATTCCATTGTCGTGCCTATAACGTACGTTTAAGGTGACATTTAGCTCCTAGCTGTCATATCTCAGTTTCTAACACGGCATCAAAGTACTACTGTTATCAGCTGATGGGAATTGTTGAAAACATCTGGAGGGCCCCAGGTTGTAGATTATCCTAACAAAGCCACTAGGTGGCAGCATAGTATCATTTTTTCAGTGGCTTACTTTTTGTATTTGGAGTGGAAACTCCTATGAAGGCATGGAGAACGTGCACAGATTAGCAGTGTAAGGTGGGATCTGGACATGTAGTCCCAATATATGTCTGTTGACTGGCCAGCGTATGAGAGACCTTGTTTTTTTTTCTTGGCTTGTGAGCTTTGGGTTGTCATGTCAACCATCTCCTTCAGTCTGGAGGATAGCTAGAGATGTGCAGAAAGAAGGGATGAAATAGTAGAGATGGTTGTGTAGGAACCACATGAGTGGGTGGGGGTACAGGAGGGAAAGACAAGGGGGTGGTTCCCCCCTTTTTGACTCTATTCCTTCAACTATGTGTGTATTTGGGGAGGACATGTTCCCTCTGTCCTGTCCCCTCATGTGTACATGAATGTATATTTCATGCATGTCTGTGGCTTGTGTGATATGCAGTGTTGTGTGCATTTTGTGTTTAGCTGGTGGTGGGTGGAGGTGGTTCATATCCATCTCTGCCTTCTCTCCACTCCTGCAAACTATTGTGCACCCACCTGCAAAAACAAACAAACTTTCATCTGGATTTTTGAGTGGAGCAGGTATTCATTCGCCCAAATTATACAGCTGTACACTATAATGAAAATCAGCATTTACATTTTTTTTAAAAGAAACTTTTTAAAAGGATTATTTACTTAGCTCAGCCCTTGCCATTGTTAAACCAAGAACCACTTTATTGTCCCAGGAAATCTCGTGCTATGTAAACACAGTAGTTTATCTTTATTCAGCAGGGTTCTGAAGGAATGGATAGATAACAAAGGGAATCCAGACCCTGCAAACTTAACACACTTTAAGGTCGAGCTATTCTAAGCTGCAGCGTAGGCCCAGCTTAAGTGTGAATGCATCTGTGTTTGTTTTTTTCAGCAGTGACTCGTCTCCCTGTGCACAAAGAAATGTTCCTTTTTGTTTTATGTTAATGCTCAATCTGTAAAACAGTGAAACCACTTCTATTAATTTCACTAAAACTGCTCCTTCAAATATAGTATATAAATCTAGATTCTAACAAGGGTTTCATATATCTATATCTATATCTGAAAAGAAAAGCATTATCTATATGTATATAGAAAAGAGAAGAAGTTCAGATACTTTGTTTTCCTTTGGGTAAACGATTTCTGCTTATCTTCCAGTAGTCCCTTAGAGTGCTAACTGCTTCCCCCAGTCACAAATGATGACAAATGTACAAAAGACTGAAGAAGATAATAAACAAAAATTTGTGTGCTTCCTGCAGATTGAAGTCTTTTTATCTCAACAATATATTTAAATTTTGCTCTCCCACGCTTTTCCCTCCTAGAATATTTTAACTGGGATAACTACTTGAAAGAGACTGGATCCTTAGCTGCTCCTTCACATTGTTTCAGACAGGTAAATGGTTTAAAATATAAATGAGTATACGAAAGTGTTTTATGTTAGTATTGTAGTTTCTTTGTGTTGTTTACCTTTCATATAGATATATGTTATGCCAGGGGTGGACAGACTTCAGGATTATGAGGGGTTTTTTTGTTTTTTTACAAGAAGCCCAAGGTTTAGAGGGCTTGTTCAGGCATGGCCAAACTTGGCCCTCCAGCTGTTTTGGGACTACAATTCCCGTCATCCCTGACCACTGGTCCTCTTAAGCTAGGGATGATGGGAGTTGTAGTCCCAAAACAGCTAGAGGGCCAAGTTTGGCCATGCCTGGTATATTTGGAGAGTGGAGTCAACAACCTGTTGTAATCCCTGAGCCATTCACTGTATATGGATGTACAAATCTGTATCTTGAGTTACCATAGATCAAGGATGAGAACTCAGAACTCTTAAAGTGGCCAATACTGTTGTATAAAAACTTGGCCAAAGGCCGCCAATCATTATGCATATTTTATAAGTTAGAAACACCTAAGAACGTTAGCACAAGGAGAGAAATGGCTTCCTTTTAAAAACTTACACTGTTGTTAAACTATGAGTAGCTAGAACCACCTATTAATTAACTGCAAATCACCCCAGAGATTTCCCAGTTGATACCAGTCTGCCTACTTCTGTGTTACACAGCCCATATGGGTATTTTGCACGCTTCAGATACTTACACTATTTAAAGGGGGGGTGCTCCAGTGGCTTTAAAAATCATAAATACTAGTTGCATAAGTTAAAATTTTCTATCAGGAAGGTATTAGCCTTTCATGCCTCTTAAAGCTGTGATTTGTTGTGAAGTTAATTAGAAGTAAATTACAATAAAATGGATGAGACAGCTTGCAAGTAGGTAAGTTTAGGGTGGAAGTGCCAGCTTACTATAGTTGTGCAAAAGAATAAATTTGTGTAAGAAGCCAACTTCGATACAGTGGATCACGTATTAGATTTGTAGGTGGGGTAGCTCATCCATTGAAGGTCGTTGCTCAGTGTATGTTACTATCTTTTAGCCTAGCCTACCTCATAATGTGAAGATACAACAGGAACTGTAAATCCTTGGTTAAATTGAAGAGTGATTTACAGTAAATATAAATGGCATTTAGCGCACCTGGGATTATTGCCCAGGACTGGAAATAGAATCAAATATTCAGGTGCCAGGAAATTTTCCAGCGATTTCTTTGAGGAGCTACACTTAATCTTGGCCCCAAAGGCTGAGAAACAATTATGGTGGTAATAAATAAGCTTGTGACTAGCCAAATAAGTATTGCTGATTCCTTCTCTCTCTCTTCCTTCTGGAAAAATAGTCCAGTAAATGCCTTATTTTGCCTTTCTTGCAGTCTAGGGTTCCACCTAGCAATGATTTCAAAGTGGGGATGAAATTGGAAGCCCATGACCCTCGAAACATTACCTCAGTATGTATAGCTACAGTTATTGGAATCACGGGTGCCAGATTAAGGTTGCGGCTTGATGGAAGCGACAACAAAAATGACTTTTGGAGGCTAGTGGATTCTTCTGACATACAGCCAATTGGAACCTGCGAGAAGAAAGGAGGAATGCTTCAGCCACCACTTGGTAAGAAAACATATAAGCCTAACATGGATGAAATCAAAGTTTGCTTTGAAGTCACATTAGAGTTTGAAATGACATATCAAAATAACAGCAGCTGGAGATAAAGGGAATGAAGAATAGACTAAATGTACTGGACTGGGTGAGTTGGGTTGAGTTTGCTGGAGATAATACAAGTGAACCATGGATTCATGGCACTTCTGTGAGAAATGTCACTTTAGTTCCCAGGTTTTTCCTTCAAAACCCTCTGTGGCATTGTCCTCCCGTTATCCTCTGCCCTTGCCCTGTTCCACCATCTTGATGCATGACTCCTTCAAAGAACTCCACCCCTTCTCTTTTGCATCCCTTTAGAACTGTCTCCCAGAAAAAAAACCTGTGTGATGCCACCTCTCTCACTTCCTCAAGCCATATCTGTCCTGTGTGAAGTCTTTGGGGGCAGCTTCCTGGTCCCCCTTGCCCTACTGTCGCTGCATGTCACTGAAATAATGCACATTCTTCCCTGTTTACCCCATGCCTCCATTTCCCTCCTCTTTCCCTGTTGATGTCTGTGTTCTGTTGTAGGCCGTAAGCCTGCAATAGATTATGGACCTGTCTTCCAAAGCCTGTGTAGCACCACTGATGGTTCTGTATGAATAATGGAAATAATAATCGGTTAGTAATTTAGTGGCGCTTTAAAACAGAGGTGACTAACCTGTGGCCTCCAAATGTTGTTGGACTCCCAGTCTTCCCATCAGCTTCAGCCAGCAATGCCAAAGATGATCAGTTGCACATTTGGAGAGCCACAGGTTCCTTCCCCGGGTATGAAAATCTTGCTCCTATTAGCAAGATGTTTTATGGCCTTCAGGGTGAAGGATGCATTTTCTTCTGAGAACTTTCTAAGGGCCACGTGCCAATGGTGGCCAGAGGGGAAAGTGCATGAAGCAACGAATGTAAATTTTTTTCCTTGGTACCATTGGCGAGTTTCTATGCAAATTTTCACCCTCCTCTCTACCTAGCCAGTGGGGGGGGGGGGAGACCCGGAGGTTCCCCACACCTGGCCTATACTGAGAAAGTAATTGTTTGGAAGCAAAACAGCTTGAAACAGGTGTTTTAGCACCACCAGTGAATGAAATTATCTGTGGTCCCCCTCCTCCCGATCTTTGCAGTAATGTTTGCCGGATACTATAATGCAATTAGTTTGCTCCTGCAGTATATGTAAACTGGCACATATCTTTATTGAGCCAGACAAGTGAGCCCTTGATAAAATATACCATACTGTATTTGGTGCTCCTATGTTTTCTGAAGATAGGCAGAATTCCAGTGTCCAAATGGCAGTTTTGCCACATCTTGTTTGTTGGCTGAGCTTGGAGCTAATTGTGTGTGTAATTACCTCCTGCTAACTGCATACAAAACTGGTATTTCCCAAGTGACGTCGAACTGTCTGGTCCCAGAAATCCTATTCCGCTCGTAATACAGTATGAGTCAAAACGCTCCCTTTCTGCTTAACTTTAAATGTAGCACTGTATTCCCACGTGTTGCACCAGGTGCTTAGCTTAGTATTGCTCAATTACGGTTGCAGCTTCTGGTGGGAAGTGCCTCAGCACGATGCACCCATGCTCATCTTCTATTTATAATCAAAACGTATCCTGCAGAGATAACGCCACTTAACAAAGGTTCTCTTGTTTCTTAAAAGGCATATTTTTGGTAAATCTGTTATGCACAACTCATCTATTGTTGTCAATTTTAGGGTTCCAGATGAATGCATCTTCTTGGCCAATGTTTCTCCTAAGAACACTAAATGGTGCTGAAATGGCGCCTGCTTCATTCTTTAAGAAGGTAGGAGACTCGGCTGCAGTTGTATTGCTTGTTGAGGATTCCAGTGCACTATACTGCACTGTCCAGCCTGAAAAGGCAAGGAAGTTGTTCAAAAGGACAGGACTACTAGGAAGGGGAACATCTTTCTCCATCCTCAGTGCCTGCATTTAGAAAATGCCTGTATATGTATTGAGTTCAGAACAAATCTCTTTGGTTTTAACAGTTTTAGGCTTACCTCTCCACACAGGTCAAATTAATATATTAAAATATGTGTGTTGTTTATTATATGTGATGTTCCTGTTCATGCATAAATGGGGCATTACAGTCTAGACAAATGTAGAAGTTAATTCCTGTATGGGAGAGGTTGACTTTTTTCTGTTGAATAGTCTGGTGAATGTATCAAAGACTTCTAAGCATAGTAAACACCCATAAATTATGCCCCATCCTCCTTATTCCAGTCACTGTTGTATGGATCATACACAAATGACAATGCAGAACACATTTTTATGCTAAAAACAATACACACTCTTCTTGTAACAATCTCAGCATTTTTACTCCTTTCTTCTCTCTTGGTATATGATGTTTACATGTGTTTTAATTTGTGCTTAGTTTATGTTATTTTAATAACTGAAGCTCAATCCAGATAAGACTGAGGCACTAGATTGTCTGCTCTTGCACTTCTGATCTGAAGGAGCAGGTTCATAGCTTGGGGGCACTGCTGGATCCTTTGCTGTCGCTCGAGGCTCAGGCGGCCTCAGTGGAGCGGAATGCCTTCCATCAGCTTTGGCTGGTGGCCCAACTATGCCCCTATCTGGACAGGGATAGCCTAACTACTGTTGTCTATGCTCTGGTAACCACAAGTTTAGATTACTGCAATGCATTCTACATAGGGCTGCGTCTGAAGATGGTTCAGAAACTTCAGCTAGTGCAGAATTCAGCGGCCAGGTTACCGGAGCAAGATGGTTTGAACATATTACACTGATCCTGGTCTGACTGCATTGGCTGCCATTTCCAGGCCCAATTCAAAGTGCTGGTTTTGACCTATAAAGCCTTAAACGGCTCAGGACCCATCCTATGCCCTTTTAAAATGTGGGCGTTTGGGGGGAGCGGGTTCTTGGGTTCTTGTTTTCATTTAGATTATGTATTTTGTGGTTTTATATTTTGATTTTGTTCTGTGAACCACCCTGAGACCTCCGGGTATAGGGCAGTATATACATTCAGTCAATAGTAGTAGTAGTAGTAAATTTGGATGTTTTAAACTTTTTTTGCTGATTATTTTATTGTGTTACTCATTTTGTAAACTGCTTCGAGGTTTGGTTGGGGGTTTTTTTACACACAAGCGGAACGGAAATGTTATGAAATAAATAAATAAACTTTATGAATTGCACCAAAGCTGGAACAGTACAAGTCTGTTCTGCGAAGAAAATGAAGTGGGTTGATTTACAAAGTGAAGAAATGAAATAACGTGCCTTAATTATGCAAGGAAGAAGAATATAAGTTATATTTACAACTTAAATTGTCCTTTTAGTTACATGAACAATTTTACAAATGAAGCTATGCCCCTTTTTATTAATAATTCATGTCCTTCCCCACAAAACTTCAATCTAATGAACAATAAAACGTAAGGAAGAGTAGGAAACAAAATGCCATCATGGAAGCAATTCATCATTTGAACATGCATTGAAGTCATATTATGCAAATTCGAATGGCTCTATAAGAGAGTCTCCTGTTCGTTTACAAACCTGCTTTAGGCATAGACTTGAAGATGGTAATTGGTCAGTTCATGGTCTCAACACTGACGGGTGACACTGCAAACTATTTTATGTTTTTCACAACACTGTAACAACTTATTCTTCTTGTGATTATCAAGGCGTTGGAAATATGTTGCTTGGTAGTTCTGTTTCTTTCATCAGTAATTAAGGAAAGAAATACGTATCTTAAATTTTCAACAACAAAAAATGGACTTCTTGTTGATAGGCGGTAATAGAAATATTGTAAATAACTAAATACTCCAAAGTGTCCTTTTGTCGATTTCTTTTAAATTCTTGCTTTTAAATTCTTTGCTGCTTTTTTATCACTCATAAAACCTGTCATTTAGCTTAGAAACATGAATTTTTATCCATGGAGGAGCTCTGGACCATAGAAAATACAGGAAAAACGCTAACATATTCCTCCCCCCAGTACTATGTATCTTTTGGAGCATGAGTCCTTTTAGGCATCAAGGTTATATGAAACTCATTTCCTTCCAAGATCTCATGTGTACATACCTGTTTGGCTCTTTTGTTTTGGCAGGAACCTACAAAGCCTTCTCCAAACTGTTTTAAAGTTGGAATGAAGCTAGAAGCAATAGACAGAAAAAATCCTTATTTAATATGTCCCGCAACCATTGGGAATGTTAAAGGAGATGAAGTTTTTATTACCTTTGATGGCTGGCGAGGGGCATTTGACTATTGGTGTAAATATGATTCTCGGGATATCTTTCCAGTCGGATGGTGCGATTTAACAGGAGATGCTCTACAGCCACCAGGGAATAGTGGTAAGAATTTTTTATTTGTTAAATTCCACACGTCAGGCTCATCTGGTCCATCTTTGCTTTTAAGCCTGTGCCTTTAAGGCTTTGATACAGCTGACAGAGAAGCTATAAGGAAAAATGTGTTGGTTTTTGTGTGTTTCCCATCATCATTTAATGCTATAGCAAAATCTAAGTCGGGTGAAATAAAGCCTAAGGCATCCCACTAGCTTTAATTAAATGTCTTCACCAGCACCAGGGATCACCATTCCAATGTCTGCAGGTGCTATGGTGGCTACGAAGGTTTTGTGACTGCCACCCTACAAAATTTGCCCACTAGTCCAGAAATATTGGTGACCTCTGCTCTATCATTTACTATCCTTGCAATGCAGCTTCCCCTCATGTTCATGGATAGAGGATTGCAGCCGAAGAGAGCCAAACCTTGATAACTTTACGCTTGCCACCAGTTCAGATGTAATGAGAAACCGTAGGGTCACGTTACCTGAACAAGGTGTAGCAACCCTTGGGAGTTGCATGCTTCCCTCTCCCCCACTGTTGTGCTAAGGAGGGTGATTGGAAGTTTCTTTGGATAATATGTAAACCATGGTTTCCTATGATCAGGGAAAAGTGCTTCCGGAACATGGCTTGTTCTCACAAGTCATCACTTAAACAGACTTACCGTTCCATGACATTGGACGTAATGAAAGCTGTGTTTAAAATCAGAAGCAAAATTATCCCATGGTTTTTCATTATGTCTGAACTTAGCCTGTGTTATCATTGTCAGAAGTAGTGGCATTATACATCTCCTTAATAAACTTTTCCACAATTACTATTGCATTATCTCTCTTGTGCATGTGTGTCTCTTTCTTTCCCTCCTTCTCCCTCTCTTACATTGGTGTACTATATTTTGTTCTCATTACAGTTATATCAAGAGATGCTGCTCAGCTGTTGAGTTTCTTATGGCACTAGCATAGCTACTGTCCATACAGTTTTTCAAATACCGTATTTTTCGCTCCATTGGACGCACCGGACCATAGGAGGGGGAGAACAGGGAAATTTTTTTTTCTTGTTCTCCCCCTCTAAAACAAGGTGCGTTCAAGGTACATTCACCAGAGCTTGTGGGGCTGGCGGTGGGGGGAAGCGCCGCTTTCCCCCACCGCCAGCCTCAAAGATCCCTGAAGCCTTTGGAGCGCAGCGCCCCGCTGCCCTGGAAAGGCTGTGCGCGCAGCCGTCCCCAAGCTAGAGCAGCGAGACGGAGCCCTCCGCAGTGCTCCGTCTTCCTGTTCTGGCTTTGGGCTTAGCGGCGCAGCCTGCATTCGCTCTATAGGACGCACACACATTTCCCCTTAATTTTTGGAGGGGAAAATGTGCGTCCTATAGAACGAAAAATACGGTAGTTTTTCTAGCAGCTACTTTTTCTAGATGCATGAAGTAGTTTTTTCTAGATGCATTAAAAAGCAGGTTCCCTGAAAAAGCTGAGCAACTATCTCCTTCCTGCTTCAGAAGACCATAATTTGTCTTATATGGAGCTGCAACATCTGACTATTTGGTGATAGTAGGGTTTGACTATGCTGGGTCTGCTTATGGATCCTAAAATAAATGAACAGATGTGGGAAAGTTGTAAGCTCCAATAATTTTTTAGTCTTTTTCATAGGTCTACACATAATGTTTAATGCATATTCTCACACCTTATCAAAACAAGGATAAGCAATTGTAGAAGCAATTGAAGCATCCTAGTTGCTTTTATATGTTTGCCGTAAAGAACTGTCTGTGCTACTGAAAGCTGTATAAGCAATCAGTACTCTCAATACAGAAAGCCGTGTTAACATCCTTTGCTTCTTGTTCCATCCTTTCAAGATGCATTGTTGCTCCAGTTAGTATAAGACTATTTGGTTTGAAAAGACTTTAATAAAGTTGTTGCTTAGGATCAGAGTTTTAAGCAGGGACTGCTGCATAGCTAGAGTACCCACAAGAGTCCTGAATGCTTGATGTCTCAATTGTTTTGCCAGCTCAGCGAGAAACAAAATGCTTTGTTTTGTTTGTGGAATGGAGAGGGCCATTGTAATGCAAAGCAATGGCCTGAAAAGAGCAAAAGGGCTGCCCACCCCCCTCCAACTGCACATTATATATTAATTACAAAGAGACACTGCCGATAACCCCCCTGCCCCATTTTAATAAACTAATATTTTAATGCACTAATATTTTAATACAAATCCTGTTGAGATTACAAAATGGTTTTCAAGTTTTGGCTCCTGTAGCTCAGCTGAGATACCTCTGTACATGATACAGATTTCTTTGCTTGTCCTTTCACTCTTTCCAGATTCTCTGACCCCATGTAACCTTTGATCCCCTCCTCAAGAGGGGGTGGTTAAGGAAGTATGAGCAGGTGACTGATGGTCACTGTCAATAGAGCCCACAGACAATATGTGAATTGCTTTAGCAGTCTCTCTCCTCCACTCTGTTGCCCTCCCCCTTCCTCTTCCTCTTAAACCAACAAATGCAAATTGCTGCACCCTGATTTGCTCCTGCAAAATTTCAGTGCCCGCTGTCCAGGCAACGTGGGCTTTGTTGCAGATCTGCTTTTTCAGTCTAAAAAAGCAGTCCTATGAGATTGGGTCTTGGACCTTACAAGTGGCTAATGTAAATGACATCTGGATTTCTGGAATATAAAGGTAGGAGACCTGTTTAAAGGAAATTGTTTTTATATAGCGTTCCAGCAGGGGCTCATTATTACTCCATTTGCAGCCTTTGTTCAGCAAGCACTATCCATCATTTATTCCAAAGAGCAGAAAGTTACTGTGTGTAAAAGCATGTACCTGCTATTTTACAACCTGTGGCATTGAAGGGTGTTTTCTTTGTATTTGTGAACTCTGCTGTCCTCTCAGATTTTTGCTGCATGTTAAGCCATTGACATTTCAGTGGAGGCAGCGATAGACTGTAGCACAAACATGTTTATTCCAGATAACTGTTGTTTTGCAATGTGTGAGTGTGGCGAGAGTGTGTGATGAAATTTGTGTTTGTGTGCAGTGAAATTACATTTTGTAATAAAACTTTTATTTTTCAATTTTTACACCAGTGATGATTTTCTGAACATCGGAATACATGGAATTTAACTTCACATAAATGTACCTTCTTAGAAATGTTTCATTCTTCAACAGTAGTATAATACAAGTGGTTGATAACTTTTGAATGTGATGAAGAAGAAAAGCAACACTGTTTAGTTAGCTAAAAACGTCTCCAGAACTGTATAAAGCTGTATGAAAAAGAAATGTATAATCCGTAGGGTGTGGTCTAGTCAAACAACAATATACATAGGAGCTGGGCCAGATTTCATGGGTTAAAATTTTGTGTCACATAAATGAATATGAATGTGTTCTCTCTGTAGAATTTACCTGCTTTACACAAAAACAGACCATGCAACCTTGGTTATATCTTTCAAACATAGTTTTCCAGTGTTTAATTGGTCCAAAATGGTGCCACAATTTTATTTTTGAAAACTGAAGTGTTTTCCCTTTCATATTGAAGCGGCTGCATTTAGACATGGGCAGACATTGTTTTACCAACTGTGGGACTTCAAAATTGCTTTAGGGTTCTTCTTGGATACCAGAAAAACAAGCTCAACGGAAACATCAAAACTACATTTATTTTGATGTGAAATATATATGCTTTATAAGGGGGGGAAAGCAATCTTCTTCTGTAAGACACATGAAGGAATTGAACGGCGTACTTCCTTGACCAAATGAAACCAGTCACAGGAATCCACATGACTGGAAAGTCAAGGGGTAGAAGGCAGAATGATCAAAACTTTTTCAGTTAATCAGAAGCATGGATATATATATATATGACTTGCTGTTCGTATAGAGTTACCACAAATATTCTTGAACAAATTCCATTCATTTCAGTAGGGCCTGTGAAAGCAAAAGTCAAAGCAAGTTACCATGAAGTTCCATTAAATTTCATTTAGGGGTTCTTTTGGGGGGTGGGGGTGGAGCTCTTCTGTTATCTCATTATGTCCTAACTGGTGTTGCCAGAAAAGAAATCACATGGCCCAATTTTGTGCCTTTAGCAGCAGCTTGATGTACAGAAACCAGCTTTTCTTTGCATGAAGATTAACATTACCCACTTGCATATTTCTGCACATCAAGCTTGCTGTCAGAAACACCACTTCCCTTTCTGGTTTAAAAGTTAGCAGTCCTTGTTTCAGTTCAAAATCACTTGAAAATATCTCATTGTCAACATACTTTGAAGTGTAATTGAACTTTTTAAAGAATACCGCTTCCTGAAGTGTATGCATTCTGATAAATGTATATTTGACTTCCTTCACAGTTTCGGGTACAAAGAATAATTCGAAACCCCAAACATCCCCTTCCAAAGTGACCCGGCGCTCAATGCAGTCTCCTCAGAAATCTGCTCCTGTTCCTCCTTCTACATCAAGGGGAAGGAAGCCTAGCCGGGGGAAACCAGCGGCTCCACCTGCAGTCCCTAGGAAAGGCAGGTCTCCCAAAAACACCCCTGTAGCGAAAAACACATCTCAAAAAGAGAATCTGAAAAAAAGGAAAAAAGGCTTGAAACCAGGAAGGAAGGTGAGAGCAAATCTGTTTACCATCACAATTGCAGTAGATGCTTTTTATGTTTCCCCAGCTTATTTTGTACTGATTTCCCCACCCGAGTTTCTTTTTGAAATGTGCAGTTGTGCAAGCAGTTTACTAGGTGTGTTGTATTGAAAACGGCATCCTTTTCAAGGTTACACTCCCTTTGAAGGAGCACAGGTTTGCTGATCAGGTTACAGCAGATAATCAGCTTGGGGGAAATTCTGGATCCATTGCTGTCACTTGAAGCTCAGATGGTCTTGGTGTCCAGAGTGCCTTCCATCAGCTTTGGCTAGTGGCCCAGCTCCACCCTTATCTGGACAAGGGACAGCCTAATGTCTGTCATCTGTGCTCTGGTAAACTCTAGATTACTGCAGTGAATTACTGCATTTAATTACTGCAGTGGTTACTACTGTGCTGACTTCAGTGGCCAGGTTGCTCACCAGGGCAAGACGGTTTGAACATAACAACGTCAATCCTGCCCTGGCTGCTAATTAGGTCCCAAGCTTAGCTCAAAGTGCTGGTTTTGACGTATAAAGCCTTACATGGCTCAGGACCACGATACCTCAAGGACTACTTTTTCCCATATAAACCGCCCCATATCATGTAATCATTATCTGAGGCCTTTCTTTTTGTGCCCCCTTCATGAGAGGTCTGAAGGGCGGGAACACAAGAACAAGCTTTTTTCTGTGGTGGCTCCCAACTTGTGGAATGCTCTCTCCGGGGAAACTCACCTGGCACCTTCATTGCGTATCTATAGGCGACGGGCATTCCCCTTCTTCTAGACCTGTGACCAATAAAAAACAACAAACCTATGGCCTTTTAAACAGGGGCGGGGCATTATTTTTGTTTGTTACTATGTTATGTATTTTTGTGTTTTTATATTGTAAACCACCCTGTGATCCTCAGATGAAGGGCAGTATAGAAATAACAATAATAAAAGGTGCAAACAATATATTTTATTGAATGTATTGGAGACAAAGATAAATATATATATATTTAGATTGCTACATTTGCTGATACAGGGAGAGTGCACTTGGAAACATATTACTTTAGAGACCACTTTATCCCTTACCTACCTAGTAGGCCTCTTCTTTTGAGCTGGGCCTGCCCTTTTGTACATGTTATTGGTGAACATTTTAGGCCTTGGAGCTTCAAGTATTGTTTTAAAATCAATTCTTAGTTGTTGTTTTGATCTATTTTTGCTTTTTAAATTGTTTGACATTAAATCACCTTGATACTTATGTGAAAGAGATATTATTATTTCGTTAATTTATGAACCACTTATTTGTCCTCAGCTACCCATTGCTACCCATTCAGTGTTAATCTAAATGTGGTTGCCAAAATAAATATCCCTTTATTTAATTTCTTGTCGACTCTCTGCTTTAAAAAGAGCTGCTTTGGTGCAGGCTACCTTTACTGGCAAAGATCACTAATTAAAACATGCATTTTTGCCAGTGGTTGCAAGGACAGTGGCAAAGAAGAATATCAGCATCTGCCATCATTATCAATTAAAGTATCAGCAGCTTTATTATCCATGGGAACTAGACATGCAAGTGGGACACAACTGATGTGGCTTACAATGCCTGAAGCTACCTGAACCTACCACTGTACTTAATATGGTAGCGATGTGTGAAGTAATCTTGAGCTGGCTTTTTGTGTGCTGGCCAGTCTTAACAGATTATCTCATGTGGTTCCCTAGCCTGTGATGAAATTCTGATGCTGACCCTTCTGGAGAACCCTTGAAAAATGGGTTGGGACTGGGAGTTGCAAAGATCTAGCTTTTATACACTTCTGGCAGCATTCTACAGTTAAGAGAACTAAGAGCTTCAGCAAATGGTGATCTGAAGGCTGTCTGTCTTCCGATAGGAAAGAAACAGTTATATTTTTTAAAATTTATGATAAATATATTCTTTTTACAGAAAAAAATCTTACCAGTGCAATCTCCAGTATTTCCTCCTCCCCTTACCTCTGCAAAAGTGGACAACAGCGCACCTCAGATACACAAAGATGGCCCTAGTATCACTGGCGTAACAGCGGCTGTCATTTCAACAGGTAAAATGATCTATAGCTTGCATGTCAGTCTATATAAATCTTCTGGGGTACTGCTGGTTGGTTCCAGAGTGTCATGAAAGCACTAGTAAAAGTAAATAGATTCAGATACTGGTCTGTAGCTAAGTGGTAGAGCATCTGCTTGCACGCAGGTGGTCCCTGGGTCAGTCGTCAACATCTCTAGGTATGACAGGGAATGCCCTGTTTGAAGCCATGGAGAGCCACTGTCAGATTGTTGCAGACATTACTGAGCTGGATAGGCCTATGTCTGACTCAGTGTAAGGCTGCTGCCTCTGTTCGCTTGAAAGTGAACAACAGCCTTTGACACTGGATCCGACTCCTCATTTTGTGTACAGGTTTGAAACTCTTCGGATATGTGATACCTCTATCACCTCTCAGAAGAAAGCAAATTGTGGGCCCAATAACTTTTCTTTTTTAAGTAGCATCTTTTATGGATGCATGAAAGTCCACTAAACTAGAAATGCAGGGAACTGGCTGCATAGTTTTACTTCTAGTTAGCATGTACACACTAGTAATGGAAAATAAAATAAAAATAATAGGAAGTAGTAGTAGTGATTGGAAAATGAAGCTATGGTGCATGCTACTGCTAGCACCCTGTTCCCAAATCTCTCACTTGGCTTTCATTTCTTGGTAGACATTTCTTTCACTGCCTTCAGAGTTAGCAGCACTCTACCTGCACAAAATAGGCCTCCATTGGTCTCAGTTATCTTCTTGTGTCTTGTTGCTTGGCTGAACAGTTTGCTTGTTACTTCCCTGCACAGGCTGAATAACTATCTGGCTCTGTCAGATATAAGAGCAGATTATTTCCCCAAAGCAGTATTCAGAGTGTCTCTGTGGCTTGGTCCTATTCTTTCTCTCCCTGTTCTATCGTTTTTGACTGTTTACCCATCTAACAACCAGTCAGCTTTTTTGCAGCCCCATTTCCTTTGCCTTCTAGATTTCCATGTTGCGGCTAACCCCCGCTTTTCACCTTCTGTTTCATTCTCCAGTGCATATCCAGCCCTGAAAGTGTGTTTATTTGATCTCTTGCTTTTCTCGCCACCTTTCTTGTTTTGCTTTGAAATTCCTATTTCCTCCTTCTTTTATTTCTCATTCACCATGTTCTGTTATCTTGTCTTTTCCCTCCCCCCTGCCTTCTGATCTTCTTTTTCTTTGCCTTAATTCTGACCTTCTGTTTTCCTGCTGCCTATACCCTACCCCTCATTTTTACTACAGTGGTACCTTGGTTTAAGAACAGCTTAGTTTATGAACAACTTGGATTAAGAACACTGCAAACCCGGAAGTAGGTGTTTTGGTTTGTGAATTTTGCCTTGGAAGCAGAACATGTTCCACTTCCTGTTGATTGTGTTCCATTTGTAAATCGAGTCCCCCGCTGCTATGGGAAAGCACACCCTGGTTTAAGAACGCTTTGGTTTAAGAACAGACTTCTGGAACAGATTAAGTTCATAAACCAAGGTACCACTGTATTTCTCTTACCTTCTGTTTCTGTTTCTGCTTTTCTCTCATTCCATTTATCATGGGCATGCGGCAGTTACCTCTCATCAACATCAACAAACTATATTTTCAAATGCATATGTTGAAGATTTTCGCTCCATGAACACATTAATTTCCTGCCACATATTCAGTGTGACTTTACCAAGACACTTGTAGCCAACATTCCCTATCCAAATATGGGAGGAGTACCTTGATCTGGGGTTATTACAAGGGCAGACAAAATATAGAAGGGAAGGAGCCGCATTTGCTCCTAAAGGCATATTTGTTAGCTCTATAGTTCTGGAGGATAACAGGAAAAAGCAAGGAATGTGGGTATATAATTTGGCAAAGTCAGTTAGGCTTGTCTACATGCGGCAAGTGTGTGGACATTTGTGGTTTCACCACCACCTGTTGGAGTTGGAGGTTAAATAAAGCATATGGAAGTAGTTTGTTTAGTGTGGGTAGATTTTACATAAAGGACGTGGGTGGTGCTGTGGTCTAAACCACTGAGCCTCTTGGGCTTGCCGATTTGAAGGTCGGTGGTTCGAATCCCTGCAACGGGGTGAGCTCCCGTTGCTCTATCCCAGCTCCTGCCAACCTAGCAGTTCAAAAGCACGTCAAAGTGCAAGTAGATAAATAGGTACTGCTGCGATGGGAAGGTACCGTATTTTTCGCTCTATTGGACGCACCGGACCACAGGACGCACCTAGTTTTTAGAGGGGAAAATCAAGGGAAAAAATATTATTCCCCCCCCCAGCCCCAAAGAGCAAGGGACAGGCTGCGTGCAGCCTGTCCGCTTCTCCCAGAGCTTCTCGGGGCTGCGGGGGAAGCCTGTGTTCCCTCCCCCCAGCCCCAAAGAGCAAAGAAGCCAAGACAGTGAGCAGGATCCATAGCCGCTCAACCTCTCCAGCCAGGAGCTAAACCTCTCCAGCGCAGCTAAAGAAGAAGACAAGGCAGCGAGCGCGATCCATCCCGCTCACTGCCTTGTCTTCCTCTTTAGCCTTAAGCAGCATCTTTAGCCTTGCGCAATGGGATGGATCGTGCCCGCTGTCCACCGGGGCTGGACTAGATGACTCCTGGGGTTCCCTTCCAACCCTGCAATTCTATGACCTTGGAAGGTGTTAGGGGTCTCCACCACAAGAGGCTTTTAAGCAGCAGTTGGGGGACCATCTGCCTGGCGTTCTTTAGCTGTAATTCCTACATTGTGAGGGGGCTGGGCTAGATGACCCTTGGGTGGCCCTCCCAACTATATACAGTCCTACACGTCTGCGGCAGGAGATCCACAGCCACTTCACACAATGCCCACTCCCAATTTTCATTGGAGAGACATGTGGCTTCAGTGTCTAGGTAGATACCCCCCTACCTGCCACTCTCCCCCCACCCCACTTAAGCCGAGGAATGCCTGCCCAGAGAAGCTCCCAGGTGAGGCAAGGGTTAAGATCTACCTCTGGTAAATGGCTTTCCCTTTTCTCTTCTTCTTCTGTGCTATTTCCTTCTTTTGTGTTTTGTTTAATCTGTTTTTATTGTATACTAAAATAAAAGCTGCAAAGTTTCCTTTTTTATAATATCCCCCCAAACTAAAACGTTAATCTAGATAAAAACACTGATCCAGAGGAAAAGAAGGGGGTGGAGAAAGGACGAAGAAAGAAAAAGAGGTAGAGATAGAGAGATTTTTTAAAAGTTGGCTTCTTTAGCCTTGCGCAGCCTCCCGCGACTGGAGAGGCGAAAGGCTAAGGAGGAAGCCCGGGCAGCAAGGGGATGGATCGCGCTCGCTGCCCTGGCTTCCTCTTTAGCCCTGCTCAGCCTCCCGCGGCTGGAGAGATTGCGCAAGGCTTTTCTAGAGGAGGGAGAAGGGACTGACTGACCGTGTCAGGCCCTTCTCCCTCCTGGGGAAAAGCCCACAAGAGCCGCACGAAGCTTGTGTGTGGCTCTTGGGGGCTTTTCCTGCCTGCCTCCTCCCCTGCATTCGCTCCATAGGACGCACAGACTTTTCCCCTTAGTTTTTAAGACGGAAAAACTGCGTCCTATGGTGCGAAAAATACGGTAATCGCCGTTTCCGTGCACTCTGGTTTCCGTCAGTGTCTCGTTGCACCAGTAACGGTTTAGTCATGCTGGCCACCTGACCCAGAAAGCTGTCTGTGGACAAACGCCGGCTCCCTCGGCCTGAAAGTGAGATGAGTGCCGCAACCCCATAGTCGCCTTTGACTGGACCTAATTGTCTAGGGATCCGTTACCTTTTACCTTTACCTAGTTTTTACATGCAGAGCATCAGCTCCTCTGTTTCATCATTTAATTACAGTTTAGCTATTTGCAAGCTTTTGAAATAGATAAAATGTATAGAAGATGTTCATCCAGTCCATTCTCAATGAAAACTTTATGAAATATTATTTGGTCTGGAATGCATTGTTTGCAGATTCTTCTTTTTTTAAAAAAAATTGACATTCCTCCTTTTTTCCTCTTAGTCTGTGTCTATGTTAACAAACACGGAAACTCTGGGCCTCATCTGGACAAAAAGAAGGTTCAGCAGCTTCCTGATCACTTTGGACCGGGTCCTGTGAATGTAGTGCTTCAGCAGGCTGTGCAAGCCTGTGTGGACTGTGCCTATCAATCAAAAACAGTCTTTGGATTCCTGAAGTCGGGGCACCACGCGGGAGAGATCATCACTGGTATTTTATTGGTTTTATTTTTATATATAAATGGATTTATATCCCTTCTTTTTGCAGAGTCTCAAAGAAGCTAACCGTTAAATACAATCAAATGTCAATAAAAACGGAACGTAATAAAGCAGTATAATAAAAACAGCAGCAGAACTAATAAAACAAACCAGGAAGCTGTGAAACACGTTTGATAATGGCAAAGCATACTTGGGTAGAATCCAGCAAATGGATGAGCAATTGTAGCAGGTTTTCTTAACTTATTAGTAAAATGTGATTAAGTTTTAGTTTTGGTGCAAAATCCAGACCAAAGATTTGTGTGGCAAAATTGTGTAAATGACACACTTCATTTTATTTATTTGATCCAGCGGTAAATAAGGTAGGACTAGGTTTCTTTATGCTTACATTATCTAACTTTTTTTTTAAAAAAAATAATAATTCAAACCATGTTTATGCTGTTGTTTTCTAGTAAAAGAGCAAAGAGTAAAAGACCTTGTGCTTTTTTCTTTTTTACATGAAGTGTTCCGAGCTACTCACTTTAGGGTTCCCACTAAATGGATTTTTAACTGAGATGCTGTTGATGCTATTCTTTCCCTATAATTATATTTTAGAAGTGTGGAAGGGATAGCACACCAAGCCCTTTTTCATCTCTATTCCCTCACTGTCCTGAGAGCAGATGTGTTGTTTAAATATTTCTCCAGTTCTAAATTAGAGGCTGCTGCTTGTTACTATTCTCCTGGCAGAAGCAATCTTCAGGACACAAGTTAACCTTAATTCATATGGCATAAAAAAGTGCCTTACTTTATTCTCCCTGTATTAATGCCAGATGAGGATAATGAACTATGGTATGCCTAAACCTTCATTTCCCGCAGTATAACTTGTGATGTGCATACTGTGAATGGTCACTAATCTTTGTTCACATCTTCTGTACGCAAAAGGAAATGTCAGTCTGCTGGCATAGATTTAACAGTTAGATATCAGCTTCATTTGTAAGACCCCATTATTGTACACAGGATGTTTATAGCTTTATGGGATGCAAGAAGTTATAGAAGACTTCAGCTGTTGGTGTAAATTAACGAGCCCTTGGTATTTATGAATATAAAGCAATATATATAAAGTAGCTTTTAAAGTGTCTTATAAAATGCAAGGAATGCCAATTGCCAGGGCAATCACAGGCATTTTTACTCAAAGATAATTCCTATTGAATTATTTGGGGCTTACTTTCAGGTCAGGTGGGCTGGAAACAGGGAAAGTACCAGCAGTCAGCAGAACAGTTGCTACTCTGCTGATTACAGGTAGCCCAAGTCCCGCTCGTTTTGAGAAGGGGTCAGGGAGGACCAAAATCTTTCCCTTACAAGCTACCTGCATCCGAGACACCAGCCCGGTTCACGTGTCGTATTAAACCATGTGCAGGTACAGCGTGATGATGCATGCTTCTCAAAAGTTCCCATGCTGCTGCTGCTGCTGAGCCACAGACTTAAGCAAAGCCGGTGTCTGGCTAGTTGTGTTGTTTCACCCTCTGGTTCACCGTTTGTTTCCTCCAAACAAACCACAGGCAGTAAGCCAAAAGAAAACCACAAGCCTACGTTCTCATGACTCAAGCTAGATTAAATTTTTTTCATCGGTGGCGTAGCAGGGAAGAATTGTTTTGGGAACTTTTGAGCAACCTTTCATTCACATGAAAACCTTGATTTGTTTTGCTGTGGATCAATGTGATGTGGGAGCCAGGCCTTTGATGATAAATCTACAGCCATATAACAAAACTTGTATCAGACTACAGCGCTGCCTTTATTTAAAGGGTAGCTTAACCACAGTTACTCCGGATTAGCCAAGGGACAAACATTCAAGCTTTGGTATTGAAATTGGCAAAGACAACACAATAAATGTTCTGCCTTTTACCCCCTTTGTTTCTGTCAAACCGGGGGTTTCTGCCACCGGCACTGGTGTTTCAATCAATCCCGCCGTGATTTGAGGTCTTCTTTTTACCCTATAGCCTCCTTTGATGGGGAGAAGCACGCCATCAGTCTTCCTTCTGTAAACAGTGCCTCGTTTGTCCTGCGCTTCTTGGAGAAGCTCTGCCACAGCCTGCAGTGCGATAACCTTTTCAGCAGCCAGCCCTTCAGCCCTTACATGGGAAGTGCATACAGCCCCACCGAATATGATAGAAGCAAACCAGGTAATGCCCCCCGCTGCCCGGCATTTTTAGAAGTTATGGTGTGTATTTAAAAACAAAACAAAACACAGTTGGGTTTATATTTGTGAATATCAGTGTAAACTGAGCCATTTTAAGTCTTGTGCTTAAGATGTGTTGTTGTTTTTCTTTGCTTCCTGATACCATGTGTACACAATCCTAAGCAAGCACTGATAAATTCAATGGATTTTGCAACCTTAAGTCTTAAAAGGAAACCTCTCTGGTGTAGCGTGGCATAGGAATTTATGAGTCTTGATTTTAAAAATAGGTTTTAGTGTCTTAGCTTGTTCCTAGATTTTGACATATACAGCAACAGACACTTACAAAGAAAAGCAGAATATTCCCTTGTGCCTTTTGTAGGGCTAATTCCACACCAGTTGCTGCTCAGGCATCATCCTGGTCATTGGCTGTTGCAGAAAGAAAGCAAACTGATTTTGATAAGCAATTTGAAAATTTGACACTCCTCACCATCAAGCCTCATATTTATGCTGCTGGATTTTTGGTGTGGATTAAATAATTTTGGTTTTTGTCTCCCTCCCCCACATCAGATTTATAAAGGAATATTATTTATTTATTGCACTTATTAGAAATTGACTGTGGTTGCAATCCATATATATTGTGTACTTACCTGGGAGTAAGTCCCATTGAACTCAGTAGAACTTAACTTTTAGATAGCCATACATAGGATTGCTGTGTGAACATGAGATTATATATATTGCTTCCTCAGATAGCCACGTGCAGATGTTAATTGCGAATTTGAATCTACCCAGTTTCACAGTTGTCTAGGTATTACATTATTAATTTTCTAAAACTGCCTTTTCAGAAGGTTTTCTGTTAGACAACAGTGATTAAAAAAGCTGAGTTACTTCCTAAAAAAATGCTCAAACAGCATTTCCATCATGCATGCCAAATGTGTTATTGCAGTAACTCATCAGCTGTCCTATGAAAGGTCCGTTATCCCTGTATGAATTATGTATATGAAACAAGGGGCTGAGAAAAATGTGGCTGAAAGCCTAAGGCCACTGAGGATGCGCATGACTGGGGAGAGATGGGAAGTGGTCAGATTTCCTGGCTCACTCTCTTTGTCACATGATACCCTTCCAAGCTTATTATTTCTGTACCCACAATTTTCAGGAGCTGAAATAGTTGAAGGCTGTGCTTTCAATATTTTTGAGAAACTGTAGTTTGGCATCTGCCATGGCCATTAAAAAAAAGATGCACAGATGGTTAAGTATGCACATTTTAATCATTGCTTATTATGTCAATTGCTGCATGCTGCAGTGAGCAAATTGACTGCAGTCCCTCTGTGATATACTGTGTTTCCTTTTTCAGTGTAGAATACACCTTTTTTTTCTGCTTACGGGTGACATCAGGTGGGGAGTTCAGCTCCCCCTAATGACTGAAGGCAGAAATCACTGTTCATAGTTTTAGAAGCTTCTTATGTTCTCAGATCAGCCGTATTCTGCCTTTACCAAGTGTGTTCATGGCACGTATGCTCTCTCCATGATCTTTGCTTCTGGCATACTACTGTATATAGTTTTGCTTTTGTTTTTATGGTTTGTATGTTTGTTTAGTACCTCTAGTCTTTTCCTCCAGTAGTGTTTTTTTAAAAATATTTTTACCTTAGTTGTGTCTTATCCTTCACTCTTTTCCTGCCCCTTGGTCAGCTCATTGCTAACTTTTTTCTGCTCTCCATTTGCCTCAGCTTTTTCCTATACCTCTGAACTTAAAAAGAGAGGGGGCCCTTTGGTTTCTGCTCTATATTTCGCCTTCCTTCCTCTCTTCATGAGGACTCTGTCCATAGCCATCCCTCTGTCATGGTCAAGTTGTTCTCTGTTTTGGTTTTGCCTCCTTACACAAAAATCCTAGCAAACATTTTGGGGCGTATGGTCTTGATGAACTAAGTCACCCCTTAGGCATGGCATCACACCTGACCTCTTCAGTGGACCCATTTCAGAGATCAGGTGCATCTGCCCAGGTCAGTTCATCTGCATCTTCCCTGGTAGCTTCAGGAGTAAAATCTTCAGAAAGAAGCTCCTCTTGGGGACCCTCTCTGGACAGTTACCATCTTGGGTGCCAGCTCTGGAAGCGCCCTATCAACTTCCTAGAGCTTGGTCTTTCTAATGGCTTTCCGTTAGAGAACTGATCTGAGAACACCAAAAGCTTCTACAAAACTGAACAGGGGTTTCTGCCTTCAGCTACTGGGGGGAGATAAACTTTACACCTAACGTTATCAGCACATGCATGGGAAAAGAGCCCTTCATGAATACCAAATGGTATCATCGTAACTGTTTTCTCCAATGACAGTGCTTTGGAACAATTTCTGCAAAAGAGCACATACAGGGAAGTGGTTACACCAGAATGGAAGATCAATATACATTTTTGCATAGAAAGGTTTATGAGCAAGGTATTCACAGATCCATGCAATGTAGAAAAACCCACAAGGGTTCCCATAGGTGTTTTTTCTACAGGAACCAGCCCAAATCATTTCCTCAAAGGAAATGTAGGAACTACATAAGGCAACTTAGGTGGTTGTTGTTTTTTAAAGTGATTCCTTTCCCCCCCTCTCCCAGCAAAAGAGGAAATCTCTGACAACAGAAGTACAAAGCGATATTCTCAGGATTCGCCGTCCTATACTGCCCCCCTGTCTCCTAAACTACCAAGGACTGAAGCTCATCCCTCAGAAGGTAACTATTGTTATATTTCTTTACAAAAGAAGCACTGCATTTCTAGGCAGTCTAGCCCAAGAGCACACCAAAACCCACATGAATAGGAGGATAAGTAGCTACTAGCCATGATGGCTATGTTTCACCTCCGTTGTCAGAGGCTGTTGCGCTCAGGTCCTCCTTGCAAGCCTCCCATGGGCATCTGGTCACTGTGACCACAGCATGCTGGACTAGATGGGTGACTGGCCTGGTCCAGAAGGGACTCTTCTTATTTTCTCATGCAGTCCAGGCATGTACTGGATTCTGTGGCAGGCACACCCAGATTGGAAGGATGGGGGGAAATATTCAACACACAAATAACACACTAGGCTACTTCCTCAGGACTGCACTATACGGTGTAGCTCACTGATTTCAGTGGGTTTACATCTACATATATTGTTCAGTACTAGGACAGGCAAAACAAGCTGCATGTTGATTCTAATGAAAACTGGAGAAATGAATATGTATAGGCATAGTTTCCTTACTTCACCAATTCGTAAATTACACCCCAAATCCATACACATCTGGGATTACTGCCACTTCTACAGGAGCCCTTTTCTCTGAAATTGCCCTTGTTTGTGTATTTTTATGGGGAATCTAGTTACCATATAGGCACAGTTCCTCCTACTTCTGTGTCTTTTCCACTATAATCTGGGGAGCGATAGTGCACTGGCTATAAACAGCATCAGGCTGTTATGTTTCCCAGTGCAGATGGGAAAAATGCTGTCTTGTTCGTACCTTTGAATGGAGGGAGCCCTTCCATTCATAGATGCCTAATTAGAATACCAGCCCTTTTTACAGCAAAGTATTTGTAGACATAGCTCTTTCCCCCCAAAAAACCCCCCCAAAACCACCCTATTCTCAAGGATATTGCCATAATACTTCCTAATGTAAATGCATTATTTATGTTAAATTACTTTATACAGCGGAAACCTTGCCAAGTGAAGAAAATGGCACTTCCAAAGAACACAGATTTTCAGAGGACTCAATGGATTCTGCACTTAATTTAGTCAATCCCGCAAGCCCTAACTGTCGGAATTCCACTGAATATCGAACCTCAGGGAGTGCAGCCTATTACAGGAATTCTCTTCCGCCAATGACTGCTACCTCAAACACAGCACCAATTCTACGGAGACTGTCGTCAAGTTCTGCTGGGAACAGCAGTTACTATGAAGTCAACAGGAACAGGCTGCAGAGGAGGATTGAAGGTACAATCTAGTTCTTTAAAAGCCTATGCTCTGTTTTGTCTTCTTAACAATATATAAACTCATATATTATTGCTTTTTTTGTCTGGTTGAACAAAAACTACAGTTTATAAAGCTGGTTCTGAACATGCTTTGATATGCAAGGATTTGAAAAAGAAGTCAAAACTTGCAAAGTTATCAGACATGCCAGAAATCAAGTTAGCCACCCAATCTTGCTCTGTAGAGATTCCTCGTGTTGTAATGTCCTCCCTCCTGAGTTTATAAGGGATCGGCTGGTTGTAGGTCACTGAAGAGCCATTTCTGAAATGTAGGAAAATTCCTTGAAGATTCCTGTCTTCCTTAACAGTGTTTTAGGTATTTCCTCAACTCTCCTTGATATCTCAGAAGTTGGTAGGTAGTTAATTCTCAGTTGTCACTTCTATTCTTGAACCTGCTGTACCTTAAATATAGTGTGGTGTAATCTGTATTATTCAGGCCTTCCTAACCTATGAAAGTCTGCCCAGATGAGCTAAATGTTGCATTTCACAAATACCAGTTCACTCTTCTCTTTTCTGTAGGCAGAACATCAAGTGTAGTGGAGCCTTAAGAGCAAACATACGTGATCTTTTATAGATATAAAAAGTCACCATATGGTATTTTCACTCCTACCACCCTTCTTAATTAACCAGTCATGCAGTCAGATGTATATTTAACCACAGCATGAATAATAATAAAAAGCACTAAGTGTTTACAGATTATTATTAAATATAATCCTTTTTATATGGAGAGGCACTCATGAGGAATGGCAGGGAAGGATCACCATGTGGTAATTTGCCCCCTCTTATTTATAAATGGAAGCCCAAGAACTTGGTGTTGTGTGTCCAAAATGAGCTGGTTATACAAATGGCATTTCCACCTTCCTCAGTTTCTTGGATTTTTTAATATTTAAGCTGCAAGCTCCACAACAGGACCTGACCTCAGCACGCTAAAACGAGAACCCTCCCGCGTACCCAGTAAGGATCCTTCTATGTGGTCGATAGATGAAGTCATGCGATTTGTGAAAGAAGCTGATCCTCAGGCATTAGCGCCTCACGCAGAACTCTTCAGAAGACACGTAAGGAGGCTGTTTGCTTATATTACATTTAGTCTATTGTACTAAAGGATCCCTGACCATTAGGTCCAGTTGTGGCCGACTCTGGGGTTGCGGCACTCATCTCACTTGATTGGCAGAGGGAGCCGCCGTACAGCTTCCGGGTCATGTGGCCAGCATGACTAAGCCGCTTCTGGTGAACCAGAGCAGGGCACGGAAATGCCGCTTACCTTCCCGCCGGAGCGGTACCTATTTATCTACTTGCACTTTGACGTGCTTTCAGACTGCTAGGTTGGCAGGAGCAGGGACCGAGCAACGGGAGCTCACCCCGTTGCGGGGATTTGAACTGCCGACCTTCTGATTGGCAAGTCCTAGGCTCTGTGGTTTAACCCACAGCGCCACCCACCTCCCAGTCTATTGTACTACATGAGAGTAAAAAAACTTGGGCACAACCTTTGAGAGATTGTGGTTTGTTTTTCCAGGGACACAAACCATTTTGCTTTTTAAAAACAAACAAAAAAACCAACAAACCTATAACAAGCTCACTTGAAGCCATCCATTGTGATGAATCACATTCTCTGTTGGGTTCTTCACTACAAATGCTCATTATTTCTCAAAGTAGAAGTCGTCTCTATTAGCCTGTGAAGCATGACCCATTATTGTGCAATTCTCTGGCAGCCCTCTGGAGACTACATAATCTCTGCATTTTGTTTTTATTTTGGCAGGCAATAACTTTCCAGTCCTTTGTTAAAAAAAATCCCAGCAAAACTTTTATTTCATAAAATTTATATACTGCTTGATTGTTAAAAGCATACACCATCCAATCAGGCATTTTTGGTAGGACACATTGAAAGGATTAAAATCAATTCCCAGCTGAAATTGAAATTGGTTCCCAGTTTGAGGCTATAGCTGACTGACTCCCACTATGAAAAGATGAGGCTGCTGAACAGACTTTTGGGCCTTGGGGTTGTTGATGCTGGTTTTTTGTATCTTTATTTTAGATCTTCTTGTGATTTATTCGGAAATGGTTCAGTTTGGTTTTGTATATTTTAATGTTTTATTATTTTTGACTACTTTTGTTAAGTTGTGGTTGAGGTTTTTCCCCCCATGTTGTAAACAGCCTTGAGCATGAACTCTGGAAAGGCAGCATACAAATAAATTATTTCCCTGCAGAACCTTCCTATAATTTAGAATTTTCTGTGGCCAAAATTCAGTGAAAAGCCATTTCCTCTGCAGGGTTTCTGCTATATAAAATAATTTAACACAAATAGTGCATTTACATTCGGAAGTATTTTGGCAATATCCTTGAGAATAGCTTTAAAAAAAGCTATGTCTACAAATACTTTGCTGTAAAAAGAACTGGTATCCTAATTAAAGGTAAAGGACCCCTGACAGTTAAGTCCAGTCGTAGACGACAGGGGTTGCAGTGCTCATCTCACTTTACAGGTCGAGGGAGCCGGTGTTTGTACGCAGTTTTTCCGGGTCATGGGGCCAGAATGACTAAGCCGCTTCTGGTGCAATGCAACACCAAGACCAGAGCAGCACACAGAAATGCCATTTACCTTCCCGCTGGAGTGGTACCTATTTATCTACTTGCACTTTTTGGTGTGCTTTCAAACTGCTAGGTTGGCAGGAGCTGGGACTGAGCAACGGGAGCTCACCCTGTCACGGGGATTCAAACCGCCGACCTTCTGATCGGCAAGCCCAAGAGGCTCAGTGGTTTAGACCACAGCGCCACCCACGTCCCTTGCTATCCTAATTAGGCTTCACAAATAGAAGGGCTCCTTCCATTTACAGACGTTACGAAGACCCTAGGTCAGCCTTTACAAACCTTGTGCCCTCCAGATGATTGGGATTGCAGCTCCCATCAGTCCCTCCCAGCACAGGTGTTCTGGAGGGTGCAAGGTTGGCAAAGACTGCCCCAGATCATAATTTATCATTCTCTTTATGATGTTTCCCCAAGGCTGTACTCTACAACCTACTGTATCTTGTTGAGTTTATTACACGCAGATGCACATTGTTTCATGCAAGCCTAGTACTATTTTTTCTTTCCTTTTCAAGGATTCTAGACCAAGATATTACCAGGTGGTTAATCCTTATTGTGTGCTCTTTCCACAGGAAATTGATGGAAAGGCTCTCTTGCTACTGAGGAGTGATATGATAATGAAATATATGGGACTGAAGTTGGGGCCTGCACTAAAGCTGTGCTACCACATCGAGAGACTTAAGCAAGGGAAATACTAAGCAACTGATGCACAACTATAATGTCACATGTTTATTGGACAACTTCTCAGGTTCATCAAGATGGGGGAAGGCACAATACAGCGGGAACTTTGCCTGACTGAACATCTTAGAAATGGATGGGACATGGTCCATTCACTTCAGCAAAACAAGTTTCCAGCAGATCGTGTCCAGTGTTCCATTCACTGTGCAGTCCTAAACTGTCACTGGTTTCCAGAAGTTTCTTCCCCACAATATGAAATTTGTTGTCAAGAGAAAGTAGTTACATTTTTGTATTTACAAAATTTTCAAGGTGCAGGGAAAGGCAGTGCCATGGGTATTTACATGGGAAGTTCTAAATATATTCGCAACCTTTGGCTTCAGCTGGTGCATTTTCATTCAGAACCAAAACAGCTGAATTTCCAAAGGAATTAAAATATGCTATCAGGATCTTAACATTCTTTGTTTTGCAAAGGTGACTGAATTAATAATGCTAAACGGGAAAAGGTATGTCTGCAATGAGTTCACTTCTTAGTTAACATCCTGATACTCCAGGAGATCGCTATTCAGTTATGCTACATAGGTTTCCACAAAGGGAATAGCCATATGAAATGTTCTGTATGTGTGCGCGCTGTGTGTTTAAAAACAAAAGAAAGCTTTTGTAAAGAGTTTTAAATTATGAGGGGAATTTTTGTAGTGTTGACAATTTAAGCTGGCAGTATTTCTTTTTCTTTTTTGAGAAGGAAGTTCTCGTGGCTGATTTGAACAGCCAACTTTTCCAGGTGAGTGAACAAATTTCCTCCTCGCTCACCGGAACCTGTGCCACCTATCATTTTGAATCATTCCGTCTCTGTGGAGCTTAACATGAACATAAAACGTTCATGCGCTTGTATATTTGTGTGTGAGTACGATACATGCCTCTGTGCTGTACATAGTGTTCATTTTTTTTGGAAAGTCTTTTAAAAGGTACTTTTGCACTGTGACAGATGACAAACTGTAGAGATAAAAGTTTTACCAGTAAAAACAAAACAAAAAAAACCATGCACAATCCATTTTGGCCTCTGTTTACAGATTGTTATGCGCAGTATGAGGCTTTGTGAACACTCTGCTGAGCACTATGATCATTTCTTGACACTCATACAACTACAGGCTTCTTGCTGGAGGACAGGGTGGGGAGGGGAAGAAAAGGGCCTATATCCGTTTCCTCTACCACTCCAAATCTCTGATGATTTCATGCTTTCAGGCCTGACTGCACTGAAGTCTGTTAGGTTCTGTGAAATCCAGCAAGTATTTCTGCACGCAGCTCTAGTACTAGACGCACGGGTCTGAACTCCACAAAGCACCTTTTGCTGCATGTGGATCACCCTTGCTGGATGAAAGTGAATGTGTCTTCTTGCTGTTATTGACTTAACACCTGTCTGCTTTGCTTTCCATTTCTGGAGGGATAAGAAACAATCAAAGGACAGGTGGATTCACGCAGGGGAATGTCCCTGTACTATGCAATATTTTGGATTTTCATCATGTCGTGCTGAGCCATTTTGTTCTGGGAAGATTTCTGGGGGGAAAAGTGTGGTGACTTTTTTTTGTTCCGATTTTCTATCTTGCCCTCAGCTTCTTTTAAAGTAGAAAAAAATGACAATTTTAACGAAGAAGTTGAACTGCACATGGATGTGTGTGTATTATACACTTTGGTGCTGTTTCTATAAGCTACAAGAAGTGCTGATAGTAAAACATTTTGCTGTCACTGCCAATATCATATCAGGGACAATTGTGTACATTTGCTGTGTAGGAAATGGAATGTACTGTATGTAATAGTACAAGTGATGATAGAGAAGATGTAGTCCAAAAAGGAAGGTAGATTTTATATTTCTTATTGCCTTTTTTATATCAAATGTGTCTAGTTAAAGAAAGTATTTTTACACATTACTCATTTGAAAATGCCTTGCTTGCTGGTATACTAGTATTACTCAGGTTTAGCAAAAAGTACTGCAAAGTCACAAAACAATTTCCAGGCTTAAGTATTTCTTTAAATCACTGCAATATGATTTAAATGAGTTCACTTCAGAGGTGTGTTGTATTTTATGAACAGCCTGATGTTAATATTTGTTGTGTGTGCTAAATAGTTCCCTCTATTAAGTGTACAAACCATTATACCAGCCCAGAATGGCTTTGGAACTGCGCCACACAGCTCTTGCAGATGTTTGGAATTGAGCTGCAAGGGCTGCAATATATTTTACGAAATTAATCTTAATGAAAAATAGATGCATGACATGGGTAATGTGATAGCAAATACTTGGCATTTATGTTGGTGGCTGCAGTCTGTGACACCCCCGCACATTTTTTTCTGCAGTTTTTGGCTAAGTGAAATTTACGCATACTCAAAAAATTACCAAATTTATCCATAGTTTTTAATCAGCAATACTTGGACAAACTTTTTGCTTCTAATGTGGCAATTCTGAATGCTGTTAATACAAACTAGCACGTGGAAGAGAGGCGCTGTAAAATACAATGTGTATTCCAATAAGTGTGGCTTATTCCACTCCATGATAGAGAATATTAAAAAATAGATTTGAATATGGAGAAAACCCCAATCTTGCATGCATGTGGTTATTTTTAGCCGTCAACTGGAAGAACAAGTATCTTATAGTTCAACTCATTTTATATAACCTACAGTTGGTTTTAAAATGTTTTATGCAAATATTTTAGCCTCCCTCATGCATTTTGGGAGTGTGGATTTTTGCCATTGAATAGGGGAAAGGGTGTGCATTGCATTGTGTACACGAAACAAGAATGCCATACTGAAATTTAACCTTGTACTATATATATAGCATGATATCAAACTCTTATCAAGTGTTTGTAACAGAATATATATTTTAATTATTTTCAACTGGATGTTTTCATCTACGCAGAAAATAAAACATGTTCAGTGTTTACATGTTAGTTTTTTATGATATCCGCTGTACCTGATTTATGCAAGTAAATGTGTAATTGTACAAAGTCCTTCTACACACAGTACCAGACTACTAATAGTGCTTCAATTAGCTAATAGTTGAATTAGAGTGAGCCTTTCAAACAAACTATGTCATCTTTGCATTGAGCCCTGAACTGCTTAACAAGACACACACTTTCTCTCTTGCCAATTCTATATCTTGCTGCAGCACGAGATGTCAAGATATTATACAGACTTCTATCACCAAATCCCACCAGTAAAGGACAGGTCCTTTGTGACACATATAGAGTTGAATACTTTCTGGACAGGGGGGTTGCTGATGGTCTTAACAAGAAGCTGTTGAGATGATAAGGCTTGCCTTAAACCATGCTTCAAGAAAAACATACGTTTTTGCATAAGTGTGTGTTTTTTATCAGAACAAGCTAAAATATGAGGTAAGGTATTCTGTTGGCCAATGCTTTACACCAAGTAGACCTTGAGCAAAGAAATAAAGAGGGAGCATTGGTCCAGTACTTGAACTCGACACAAAGAGAAGATGAGTGGCTATAAACACTGAAGGGAAGGTGGGAGTTTCAGTCTCTTATTTCAAGAAAGAAAGGCACTTTAAAAAAAAATCAGTAAAAAATATTTTTGACAGTTAGCCACAGAATTAAAGGAATATCTGCTGTGATTTATCACCATAAAAAGTAGACCCATACAAATAATGTTCAAGTTCATTCCAGCCAACATCTAGCAACATGGTTGGTATTCAGAATGCTTAATTACCCATCTCCAGCCTTAGAAATATAGCAAGGCATTTCTTACACAGAGTTATTTAACAGGCCTCAACAAAGGAATTCCTCTGCCCAGACATGGGATGGCTGTAGTGAGATCTAAACATGAAGTATTTTGTCCCTCTTTAAAATGTCGCAGTGACTGACTTGTCTCCTGTCAGAAAATCTCACCTGAATACACATGCCCAGTTTCATACTTGGAACTACTGCTCATGGGTTCAAAATGGTTGGTGACCTGGGATCTAGCATTCCAAAAAGTCCATTCACACACATCTACACTTCGTTTTTACTGCTGGGGAGAGGGAAAGAGACGCCAAGTTCAGATTTCCATGTAAAGGTAAAGGACTCCTGACAGTTAAGTCCAGTCGCAGACGACTCTGGGGTTGCAGCACTCATCTCACTTTACTGAGGGAGCTGACGTTTGTCCACAGACAGTTTTTCCTGGTCATGAAACCAGAGCTGCGCACAGAAACGCCGTTTACCTTCCCACCAGAGCGGTACCTATTTATCTACTTGCACTTCTGGCGTGCTTTTGAACTGCTAGGTTGGCAGGAGCTGGGACCGAGCAACGGGAGCTCACCCGATTCTCTGGGATTCGAACCACCGACCTGATCAGCAAGCCCAAGAGGCTCAGTGGTTTAGACCACAGTGCCACCTGTGTCCCCTCAGATTTCCATACTCAAGCATTTAAATGTTTTTGGGCTTTCCTGGAGAACTGGTTTTGGGGCTTGACTCACCTTCAGCACACCTTGTGGAAGCACTTGCATGCCCTCCAGCGAGAACCATGGATGATTTTTCTAGGATCCCTGTTAGAGACACTGTTCATGCCCACCCCTCTCGCTCTCTCCCCAGAGAGAAAGCAGAATAGTGAAGAAACTTTTAAATTATTGAAGGTGCACCAAAGGAGGATAGCAAAGCAAATGAGAGTCAAGTCCAGCAGTTACAACACATGAGATGCTGCCCTGGATCCCTTCCCAGTGCCACAGAGGAAGTGCCGACATGATTGCAATAATAATAATAATAAGAGCAAGGCTCTTCACCCACCCCCAAATATTGTAACTTGTTTCGGTTGCTTATACAATCCTGACTGCATTTATAGTCTCTGATGACACTCTTAAAAATGACAGTAGTTAAAAACAAAGGTGGCAGTATTACCTGTGGTAATGAGACAAATCAAATTGACAAAAACAACCCCAACCCTATTATCAAGTAAAAGAACAGCAAAACAACACACAATGCCACAACAGCAAAGAGCCAAAATGACGATCCCAACCTCACTAGCAGAAGCCCCGGTTCTGCTGAAACAGTTAAACCTTTAGATGGCAGTAGAACACTGACCTTTCTACCTCATCCAACCTGTCGGTGCAGTAAATTCCACATAGGCGGTGTAAGAGAGTCGTCTTGCGCATTGCCACCAACTCTGCCTCAGGATGTAGTGGCACAAGCAATACTTCTGTTAAAAAAACAGTAAATTCACAGAGCAGGTGGGCAGTCCTCCCAAGCTGTTTAGGGCTTTCGAAGTAATAACTAGCATTGCAAATTGCATCTAAAAATAGTGGAATGACCAATATATCTGGTAACATGATTCCAAGAGTAGACCCCAGTCATGGTTTTTGCTGCAGGATTCTGCACTAACCAAAGTTCCCAAGTGGTCTTCAAGAGCTGCCCTACAAAGCGTCCATTACAGCAGTCCAATCAAGATTTAATTAATAACATGTCTGATTGTGGTCTGACTGCACCAGAAAAGGACACAGCAGCTGAAACAACAAAAGCACTCTTGAGCTATGCTCACCATGTGAGCATCTAGAAGAAACCTAAGAGCTCTACCAGTCTGCAAACGTGAAATTTTAAGGGCAACCTAATTTGGAGTAGGCTGACAATTCTATCCCTGGTGTGGACATCCTGTCCATCACTGACTGCAAACAGATTCAGAGCTTCCACAACCTCCACGGAATGAGATAACAAAAGAGAAGGCAGAGCCTGGCTTCATCCACATCCTGACAGCCACCCACTCCATAACACCAGGCGCCTCTACTCAGTGATGTGGAGTACACATTTTAAAAAAGCACCAGGGGATAAAATGGAACCCTGCAAGACACTGTAAGTCAGTGACCAAGTCATCGATCACAAGCCCCAACCAAAATCACCTTCTGAAACATGTCATCCTGGAAAAACCACAAAGCATCACAATCCCCAAAATCCCTATTCAGAGACAACACAAGCTTTACTAATACGACACTGAAGCTGCTTGGAAGGTCCGACATAACCAGTGTCGTTGCACTCCCCCACATAGACCTAGGAGACTTTTTATTTTATGTTTTTCCATATTTGTATGCCTAGCTTTTGTATGGTTAAAGGTAAAGGTAAAGGGACCCCTGACCGTTAGGTCCAGTCATGAACAACTCTGGGGTTGTGGCGCTCATCTTGCTTTACTGGCCGAGGGAGCCAGCGTACAGCTTCCGGATCATGTGGTCAGCATGACTAAGCCGCTTCTGGCAAACCAGAGCAGCGCACGGAAACACAATTTACCTTCCCACCGGAGCACTACCTATTTATCTACTAGCACTTTGATGTGCTTTCGAACTGCTAGGTGGGCAGGAGGCTGGGACCAAGCAACAGGAACTCACCCCATCGCGGGGATTTGAACCGCCGACCTACTGATCAGCAAGCCCTAGGCTCTGTGGTTTAGACCACAGCGCCAGCCGTGTCCCTATATGGTTAATGAAATACAAATTGCCTGTCATTGGGCAAACTTGCACATAAACGTGTACATTAGGAGAAATGCACACTAAAATGATGGCAAAATTCAAGGGAACTTTTAACAAAACCAAACAGATGTAGAAATGCGGCAAAGCCAACTTAAAGTTTGGAGAGGTAAGAAACAGAGAAAAGTGGAAATTGTTAGCTTCCGTACTTCTAAGTGTATAGAAGATCCCCACCCCACGGCCATTATTTTGCATCTAATTCTAGTCAGTGGATTCCAGGGATCTGGGAGAAAAAACCCCCAAGTATACATAACAACCTGATGCCTATTCAACTACTATATTACTACACAGAGGGTGGGAGATGCAACTTGCCCTCACCCACTTTCAAATAGAAGTTAGTATATAGGATGGATATACTTGTTGGACTATGCAAATGTAGTTTTGCTATAATATTAACATTCATCTTGTTTCAGTCCGCATAGTTCAAAACGCATCATTGCTAAAAATGTGATGAAGAGTGCCAAGGGTAAAACTGGATAATGAGCTTGGATTATTTCAACAGCTCAAGAACACGACAAGTCAACAGCTATACAAGTTTCCAGACTTGTACCAAACCTTTTTGGACCCAGAGTGCAAATCATATATAAAAAAGTACAAAATACCGCAACCAAACTAGCACATACAAATATTTATTCCGAAAGTTCCATTCTACCCACCATTGTTCAGAATTACATCATCAAAGCACTTCATGGCAGTGAAAATAGCTCTTACCCCCTGGCTCATTCACCCACTGTATCCCATTAAAGCTGCAAAGGTGCAATCCACTTGAAAAATATGCTGCTTTTTATTTAGTTTTCATGAAAAGTTTAGAACGCAACAAGGTGGGAGGGGGACCCATTGTACAGGGAAGACATAGCCAGTTTTCTCCAGCTGTCTTCCCCCCACCCAAGCTGCTCCACCCCCTTCCCTTCCCTTCCCCACTCCACAGTCCTCTGCCTTGAAATAACTTAAAAGATAGCTTAACATTTTAATGCAATTAAAAATGAAGTGCATCTCTTTATTTATAATAATTATACCTTAAAACATTCTAAAACCTCATAAATTACTTTCTTGGAAAAAAGGCCGCAAGCCGCTGCTTTTTGATTGGGAGAATGTGTATTTCCTGCGAGCTCATTTTCTTTAACTTGACACTCCTGTTTTTTATAGGTTTCCTAAGGGCCTCTGCATTATCCCGGGCTTCAGGCTGGTTCTTCACGTCATAACACTGCAACACCGAGTCCTGGGGCATGTCCCTTTTGAAGGAAAAGTTTTTCGTCGAAACCCCCGAGAGGCCCTTTATCTTGCCGCAGAAAATGGTAGGCACCGCATCTTTGACAGAGACGATCACTTTGGCCGTCTGTGACGTGCTCACAATCTCAATGTTATTGCCAGTGGGCGGCTCACAGGGTGCTATACTGGTCTGGTCCACCAGCCATTTGGGCTGCTGTCTCAGGAGTTCAGACGAGCCGCTACTGATCACTCTGCTTTCCACCTTTGCCGGAGCCTCGTGCAGTTTGGAAGGAGCAAAGGGCAAAACTGCACCGGAAAGCTTATCCGCTGCAGAATGAGAAGCGCCGTCCATCGTGGATCCAGATCGGGTGCCGTTATTGCTTGCTTCGGTGCTGCTAGCCTTCCGACAGGAAGTAATCGAGAGGTCCAAAGCGCCGCCCTCCAGTGAGAGCTGGGAATTGTCCTCGCCTTCCTTAAGCAAAGGGGCTGTTTTCATGGACAGATCGAGGACCTCATTCTCATTACTCATCTTGATGACAGTGTGCCGGTTCAGCTGGGAAAGCTCTCTGTGGTGGATGAAATCGAATGGTTTGGTTTCTTCTTTCTCTAAGGGAGTCTGGGTGCCTTTGCAGGAATGCAAGATGAACGAAGCAGCTGGTTTCGGGCAGTCCATGTTGGCCTTAGACTCAGCACCGTGGGGCACGGGGATGGGAATGGGGATGGGAATAGGAACTGGGACTGGCAGAGGAACGATCACGGGGTATGGTACCAAGAGTGTGGCTGGCGGAACCAGGGGAGATAACGGGGAGCTGAAGGGCTGTGGCGGGGGGACAGAAGAGCAGTCTGGGGGTGGTTGATAGGGCGAAGGACCTAAGGCGCCTTGTGTGGGAAAGAGATCCTGCAAAACGGCAGCAAATCCTGGTGTCTGAAACACAGGAGGCAAGACGGACTCCTGAGCTGTATTTGATGGTTTCTGATCCAACAGTTGCGGCTGTCCCAACGCAGCAGAAGAGCCCTGAAAGAGGTTGCTGTGAATGGAGTTGGCTGCACAGGGAGAACTCTGCGGTAACACCAGTGGGGAGTTTAAATGCTGGAACACATGTTGCTCTAAGAGGACAGGCAGTGGCACTGGGCCTTGAGTGGTCATGACATAGGGAGTGTTGCCGTTTGGAGCAATCTGAGGGGCTGTGCTTCCAGCTACTTGGAGGTGTATTGGGAGAACCACGGGGCTGTCTCCTAAGCAAATGGGCTGAAGCACTGTGGCAGCTACCTTGAGAGCGACCCCACTTTGGGATTCTGCTGGAGGTGTCAATATTGATGGAGCGGGGACAGTTACCAGCGGCGAAAGTGCTTTCTTCATCAAGTCTGCTGAATTGATATTCCAGGCTTCTGCCGTTATCAGCTGGGCAACTCCATTCTCTAGCTTGTTGTTTGCCATAGCCGAGGGCGAGGTGGTAACATCCATAGGCAGGTTTTGCGTGTCCTTATATAGTTCCTCCATTTTGCAGGGTTTCCGAGGCTTTGCGGAACTGTAGTTTACATAGCTGTCACTGGCATCCAATTAATCTCTGGGCAGCCCAAAACATCCACATCAACACTACTGGCCTGCAAAAGAGAGACATGTTTTAAGCACGGCATAAATTGCTTGCTTAAAATAATAACTGCAATTTTCTCTTTCTTTCTCTCTTTCTAAGACCACCTGTCACCAAAATGGAACATTAAGGGTTTCCACCCTTTGGGGACAAGAAGTCCTATGGTTCTGTATCCTGGGCATATGTGTGTATAGAATATATGCATATACAGAACGTACATCTCTTGAGTGTTACGTGAAGAGTCCTGGGAAGCTTAAAGATAGCCATAAACAAAGATAATTTAAGGACTGAAGCTACTACAGGGGGGGGAAACCCGCTAGAAGCAGAGCAAGAATTCAGGCTGTTCATTTCATACTTTTAAACAAAGCTTCATGCAATGGCGTCATGTGACACAGGGAAGCAGCTGCACTGTTTACACTCAACAAGAGCCCCAAATTGAGGTGCCCTAAAAATAACTCATGATAAAAGCGATGCAGTCTTGGACTTGGAAAGCTTCAGTGCAACTGAAAGAATCAAATACGTTCTGCCTTGCAAACTCTTAAAGCCAGCCAATGCAAACATACCATTTGTGATAGGTCCATAGATTGTATTGAAGCAGCACCACAAAGCCCTGCACATGCACACACAACCACACCCCCCACTTTGTGGGCTTTTAATCTGAGCCATATTTTAAAAGGAACTAGTTCTTCAGCGCTATACAATGATGGAAATAGAAATCTGTATTAAGAAAGACACACAGAATTAAAATCAAAGCTGATTTAGATGTACTCTGACAGCCTAATCTTAACTGCGCAGATGTCGGTAGGGGGGAGAGAGAGAGGGAGAGAGAGAGGGAGGGAGAGAAGCACTCTTTGTAAACCAGGAGTGGTTTAGCACAATGTCGAGAACATTCTGCCCACCCTCAAGGCACTAAGCACAAATCATTTTTGCTGCGAAAGCTTCTCCACCCTCACAGATACTAGAATTGTCAGATGTTTCTTACTTAAAAGGATGCTTCTTAATGCAGAACTTTAGAGCCCAAGGAGTCATATAAATGTATCACTTATTTCCTAAGAATCTTGCATCTTTATATTCTGTTCCCATCTGCCCTTTAGATTTTATACCATTTGGAACGAAATCTTGCTCACCACCATTATCTCAATGCACTGTTAATCTGCTCCCAAGTCCTTGAAGCGTGGCAGGCTACAACCCTAATCAATCAAATAAATTTTGTAGTGCTATTCTATAGAAGCAGCGACAGAAAAAAATCAGGCCAATAGCAAGAAAAAATAATGTATAATAATAAAAAGCAACAACAAAATGCATAGATCTATTTAAAGTAGATCCCAATCCAACTTCTGCCCACCGCTTGTCTACAGTTATTTTGAACTACTATAATGTGTTTTTTGACCAATGAAACAACCATCTTCGTTTTGTGTATTTGTATTCTACTTGTAATACTGAGGAACTGCTTATGGTGTTTGCCACCATTCTGCATTAAGTAGATCTCTGTTATTCCTTTTATTCTTTTTTGTGATTTGTTCTACATTTTATTTATGATTACATGTATATTGCATCTTTTCTCCAAGGTAGGGTACAGGGTCCTCCCCCTGTCCCACTTTATCCTCACAAACCCCTGTGCTGAGAGTAGGTAACTGGCTGAAGGTCACCCAGGGAGCTTCCTGACTAAGTGTGCATTTGAACCCTGGGCCTCTCAGGTTCTAGTCCAGCTGCTTCATTGTTAACGGACTTTTTTCTCCCCTCTTTTATTTTGTTTGTGAGGCTTCTTCTTTCACCCACCCATTTTATTTTCTGTACTCTACAGAATAACACTATGATGAAATGTTGATGAAAAATAGGCTCCATGGAAAACTTTTATCTTATGATGGGAAAGAACATTTTATCTTAAAAACAACAACTAGGTAACTGGATAATTTCAGGCTGTTCGTTTTCTTTTTTCTTATATTCTTACTGGCAACACAGCTTAGTCATGTTAATGGTTACTCTGGCTTACTGCGAGGCAAACAAAAACAACCAGTATTTGTGAAAGCCCAGGACAAACAGTTCCAAACGTAATCCTATAAACACTGACAAATTTTAAGGCTATATACTCTGACAAAGGCAGATGAGCCCTTAACATGCATGCTATTGAGCAGCAGTCCGTTAGCAATAGCTGCAAACCCTGACCCCACACGGGGTGCTAAATGCATATATTGCCCTCCTCACCTCTCTGCATTAAAACATGAATGCTGTATTGTCGACGTGGCAGCGGCTTTGCTCGTTTCAGTTGGAATACTAAAAATGAATTCCAGCCACCTTTATCAGTGAGGATTTTCAAAGAGAAACATGGTTTTTGGAGAACTAGAAACGGTTCAATGGCAGAGGAGAAAATAATAGCCCCAGTTATAATCTCCACAATAGCTTCTCACTCACAATTGGCAAGTATTAATGTCAATGGGCTTAAGGAACCCTAACCTCTGACTGACTGCAGCCTGAGAGTGTTGCATTCAATTTCAACCTGACAGTGCAGCCGTTGCTTCTTTGTCCCAAATGCACCTTGTTGCACCAAATATAATCTAATACGATCTTTAGCCAAAGATTTCTCAATTCCTATTTTAAAATTGTGGCGTTATGAAGGAGACGGTACTTACACCATGACCACTACAAGCAATATCATCTTCTCACCTGCCAATGTTTCTCTTTAACAGTAATCCTCAAAAGCTCGCTCCATGGCTCCTCTGTCCTACATTTTGATATAGAAGGGTTTCTTGCCATATATGCACACACATAATAATAATAATAATAATAATAATAATAATAATTTATGTATACCCCGCCCAACTGGCTGGGTTTCCCCAGCCACTCTGGGCAGCTTCCAACAGAATATTAAAATACAACAGTCTGTTAAACGTTAAAAACTTCCTTAAACAGGGCTTGCATTCAAACAATAAAACATCAGGAGTTGGTGAGAGGAGTGGCTGTTGTGATAGCTATGGAAAAAATCTATTTATGACTCTGAATGAAAAGCTATTGAAGATTAAAATTCACAACACACGCTTTATTGGCTAACTATGCAAGCTTTGTTCATGCTCAAAAGAAATATCCTTCAGCAGCAATGCGTGGCACTAAGACACGCTTCTGAAAAGGCAAGTTAGCAATATCTGCAGGTTGGTATAAAAAAAGACCAAAACAAGAAGTCGAAACGCAAATGGTCTGAACAGCTGCCACTTGATGATGAAGGGTTATCATAGCACATAATTTACCCAGGTCTTCCAGTATAAGCAAACAGTATATTGATCACATAGTCTGAGCCTAGGGCTTACTGATCTAGTAAACACATGCTCCGGGTGGGGATACACTGACTAATCGTTCACACGTCACAAAGCTTGATGCTATACAGACACTGCAGAGACATTGCATTAGCGATAGGAAGATGCAGATGTATAGCGGATAAATCCTTAAACAATTTAAAGAAAGGGCACTATTTCATTGGCTATGCTAAAATTCGTCTAATACGTGTCTACACATATGCAGCGAATAATGCAAGAATATACAAGGGTATTGCACATCTTTGTCCAAAACATGGTGAAAGTTTAAAAACTATTTCCTCTTCTATGCTTTGGATTGTTTTATTTGTTGCTGCTTAATTAATAGTGATCTCTGTTTTCATGAGAAACTAATGACCTCACAGGACACAGGGGACCTTCCATTCCCCTGCCTAATCAATTTAACTATGAAAAATAGTGAAATTATAGTGAAAATGATACTACAAAGGAGACTTGCAAGGCAGGCTAAGGGGATTAATATACAGAAAGCACAGGAAAGAAAACAGATAACTGAGTAGGATCAAAGTATAAGACAAGATAAAAGACTGGTTTGCTTAAACTTAACTCTCCTCCGTCTCCAAGCACTGCAACATTTAAGCCGTACAGTTTTGCTATGCTAGACACAGAGAATAGCCACCCCAGACTGATAGTAAGTTCTATCATAAGCAGGCATCTTGAAGAAAAACCTATGGGTTTTTTTCTCTTTGAAATACAATCAAGATACATTGCTTTCCAGGTTGAGCAATCTCTCTCTCTCTAAATAAGTTTATTGGGCTGTATCCAACTTAACCCTACTCATAATAATTCTATTGAAATGAACGAAGCTAACAATTAAATTCCATTGATTTCAATGAAGCCTCTGAGTATGGCTTAGTCAGAAACCTATTTTTGGCACTGCTTTTCGTTGTTGTTGACAACAGCAGGAGGTTTAAGAAGCAGAAACAGAAAAATGAAGCTATCCTTTTTTTAAAGCTAGTAGATAAATGACAAGTGTGTATGTATCACACTCAAACACACACAAGGGACATCTATAAGTTGGCACCATGTTGGCAGCCCTGTTCACCTATGTTAAGTGAAAAACAAAAAGATACTGAGTGTTACCATAAGACAGATAAATAACCATGTACCATAAGATAGATAAATAACCTTCGTCTATTCCTCCTTAACCATTCAGCACACCGTCATGCCAGATATTCCACATACTCTCATTCCTACTGACAAAACTGTTTAATTTTTTACAGCAATGAAAATGGATCTGTAAATGCTGCTAGGCATCCCAGACTGGCAGAGATAAGACTTAAGTGCATGTGATGAATGCTATGTCATAGAGAGAAACATGCAAATGTTACTAAAGGAAGTGGTGATTAATTCCATTGTGTTTAGCCACCGCTGAGAGCAGGGCACCTAAGTCATGTAGCACAGTTATGTGCCATAAGACATAATCAGAGCGTTTGAATCAGGAAAATTGCCAAGTGTTTGTGCCCTTAATACTGTACATGCTTGTAGACACTTCAGATGCCTACTTAAATCTTCTTTGCTATTCATTTTTCACTCATCTTGCTGACAGGCATTTCTGAGCTGGGTTCCTACTTCAGTTGTTAAGACTTTGATTACAGCTTCCAGTATTTGCGCTTACAGCATAGAGAGATTTAACCATGACATGCAAGAAAAAAATGGAGCTGTTTTGAGAAAAAAGCTGCTGTAGGTAATCCAGTGACCATCATGCAGCTGCCCCTTGATCACTGGGAGAAAGAAAAACAAAATCCAGTAATTCTGGGTTTTGTTTGGACCCTCAGCCAAGCATCCAAAAACTAGTAAATGCTCCAAAATTACATTCTCAAAATGGTTGAATCAGGTAGATGATGCAGACTTTCACAGACTAAAAAAATCTGTAATATTTTATAGTGAATATGGGAAAACCTTCTAAGGCTGCAAACTAGTATTCTCCAGTACAAACTAGTAAGGCTGCAAACTAGTGCTGAATAGTTGTGCAGTATTCCACAGACTGATCTAGAATGAACTAGACCAGGCTTCCTCAACCTTGGCTCTTCAGATGTTTTTGGCCTACAACTCCCATGTTCCCTTGCTAGCAGGACCAGTGGTCAGGGATGATGGGAATTGCAGTCTCGCAACATCTGGAGGGCCGAAGTTAAGGAAGCCTGAACTAGAATTAATACAACAAAGGCACAGTAATTTTAAAGGCAGCCAAGAAGCACTGAAGTGGCCAATCAACCACCACTTCCCAAGTCATGGGATACCAGCCATGGTACAAATATGGGCTGTGAAGTCTAGTGTTGCATAACCTCTGCAAAAATGGAAACCAATGCAATCACAGCTATTGGGTTAGACTTCTAAATGATTCTCTAGTGACAAACCCTCATTAGCCATTATAAGAACACAACATGGCATCATTCATAAGCATAACTTGAGACTTGGAACCTGCCATTTAGAAAATAGACAATAAAGTATAATAAAATGCCATAAATCCACCAGCAAGCAAATCAAGATGTCACCTATTTACTGGCACAGTAAAGACATAAAATCCACAAGGCTACATCTTCCAACTCATCCTCTTCAGTGCAAGAGATCTCACATTTCTGGCACCATAGTAAATGGCCTTTCATGAAAAGATGTCCCAGTGAGAGTCCTGTTGCGATTATTACTTTGGGAATAAGTTCTCAGGGCATACATAGGATTATGCTAGTATTAGAAGTATTTTTAAAATGGAAGTTGTCTTAGTCTCCTTTGGGAAAAAGATGTATTAAACAAATTATACTGCTTGCAATTAAAGTCCCTCTGTTGATGGATTTAGTTTCATTTTTCATGTGCTTTATACTCACCAGCAAAACAAAGAAAAATGAGCTATTCTAAGAACACAGCCACTAAAAACAAATAAAGAGGGGTGGTTGGGTTTTTTTTACAAGTAACTCTTGAATTTTATTTCCCTAGTAACTGATACATTTTAGATAAAAGGAAGCCATTTAAAATGCATGATGATAATAATAATAATAACAAGGAAACAGATTTTTCCACTAAAGTCTGGTTTTGCTTTTCTTTCAGTCCAAATCTATGAACTACCATTGGCAAAAGCCAGGGGATTTTAAAATTGGATTTTAGTAGATGCTTACATAAAACGTAATGGCTACTTCATGGTCACACACATCTGATGGGCAATGTCAAATCCATAGCACTGTCCCAGAAGAAAACATCAGCCAAAGATCAAAATATTGTGACAGAATTAACTGTGTGCATTCCTGTGCAGCAGAAGTGGTCAAATCATGTAGCAAAGGAAAACCCATTTCATATGAAATGGGAATTATTGCAGTCCCTTCATCAGATAGTACTCAAACCTTATTCAAGTTCTGTAGCAGTGGAAAGAATATAAACCTTGGACTGTGCCTTGAAGCTCGCTGGGTGACCCTTAGCCATCACCAATACTGGGAAGCATAAGATGTCTTTGACTGAAATGAATTTCATCTGCAAGGCTGTATAATCTAACTGTGGTGAATGTGATAGAAAATAGCTGTTGTGGAGACCCATAGTTCTGAGCCATCCAATAGCTGGAGCTGCTAATAAAACAATTTAACTTTCCATTTCATTTTTATTATTAATATTAGTAATAAATTTATGAATCACATGTTATGTAGGTGCTGACATAAAAATATCATAGAACAATTAAAAATAGTTTTAGAACTGTACAAAAATAACCCAGATTTAAAAACAACACAAGACAAGCACCAAAGCTGGAAAAGCTACCATATTTTTCGCTCTATAACACGCACCCGACCATAACACGCACGTAGTTTTTAGAGGAGGAAAATCCGTAGGCATGCCACCCGTAGGCATTTCCTCCATAACACGCACAGACATTTCCCCTTACTTTCTAGGAGGAAAAAAGTGAGTGTTATGGTGCAAAAAATACGGTAATTGAAACGAGTATGTTTTTGTTTCTGGAAAGTACCTGTTGTATCTCAACAGGAGTGTTGTTCCACAGGACAGGGACAGTTGCACCAAAATTCCTATCATTAACAGCATTAACCTGAATAGCTCAACTGGGTACAGCATGGTACTGATAACGCCAAGATTGCAGGTTTGATCCCCATAAGGGGCAGCTGCATATTCCTGCATTGCAGGGGGTTGGACTAGATGATCCTCTGGTTCCCTCCCAACTTTATGATTCTATGAGTTACTGTGGACCAGGCTTCTGATATTTTGGGGACCTGAAGGAGAAACTATCCTTAAGAAAATAGTGACCTACTGAGTAGTCTCTCCCCCCCCTCCCGTGTACTGTAAGCAGAAGATTTCATTCGCTAGAAAGAGTCAGCAACTTTTTCTCCTTGAAGCTGTCATGTGCAAAAATTCAGTATTCTGTATGAAATTCAAGGCTGTAGTGCAGTAATCTGCAACACTCTGGTGTTGATATAATGGCATTAGAAATCCCTCCAATGATTCTCCAACAAAGCACCCATGTCCTACAAATGAAAGCACACATATCCACACATATACCCGTATTTTTCGCTCTATAAGACGCACCAGACCACAAGACGCACCTAGTTTTTGGGGGAGGAAAACAAGAAAAAAAATATTCTGAATCTCAGAAGCCAGAACAGCAAGAGGGATCGCTGCGCAGTGAAAGCAGCAATCCCTCTTGCTGTTCTGGCTTCTGGGATAGCTGCGCAGCCTGCATTCACTTCATAAGGCACACATACATTTCCCCTTACTTTTTAGGAGGGAAAAAGTGAGTCTTATAGAGCAAAAAATACAGTAATTTCTCATTTGGGGCAAACTGCTGCAGTTCTGTTGCATGCAGGTGACTGAGCTAGAATGCCAAACTCTCAAAAGACAGAAATTCCCCTTTGTTGTGGCTCCCACGCTTAGGCAAAAGTGGATCTGTGGCTGTACTGGGCTTAAGGGAGGACTTGTGGATGAACCACAAGAACGAAGTTCCTGGCCTGGTGCTGTTCTTGCTTCTCTTCTTCAAGTACTGGATTTGTCCCAAGGAATGTTCATGTTGTCAGCACCAGCTGGGCAGGAGAGCGAGCGTGCATGACTGGCAGGCATTTTCTGCAGAGATTATTTTGGTGGAGCAACCTCTACTTACTGCTGTAGAGACACTGGCTGATACAAACATAATGAAGAAGGAGGGTAGCCTTGCAATGAAGATTGGAGGGGGGGGCTGTTAAATAGGCAAGGATATTTGTTCTTTTAAAAAGAATCAAGGAGATGCTCACAGCAGAACTGGACATCAGCATGAGAAAGAAATAACATGTTTTTGAAATGTCACAGGACTTCGGTGAGGATACATACAGCCTTGAATGCTACTTTTATTCTTAAAAACCTATATGTGTACTTACCTGTATGTGGTTAAGCTTATAAGCACTTATTTGTGTGTGCACTCATGCACACATATAAATCTGCCACCCTGGTTACATCTCCCTTTGATCCACATCACAGCAGGTGAAGACAGAAGCCAGGCATTTTACTTTTAAAATTGAATGCCTTCACTTTAGTTAGTCACTGTATCACAACTACATCAACAACAGTGCAGTGGCATGAAAAAAACACAACTGTGCCAAGTTATATACATGCCAGTTGTAGGGTTACTTTAAAGATGATCTTCCACGCTCCCATGAGTGGACTGACACCTTTGGAGCCAATTCAGGGGTGGGAAACCTAGTGTAGGGGCCAAATGTGGTTCTCTGAGTCTACGTTAACCTCAGACCTGGGAAAATGCAACCATACTTTGAGAGAAGTAACAGCTCTATAAATCTCTGAAATCTTATATTTTAGCACTACTGTTTCTCCATGTGTGTGTACGTGTGTTCACTGATGAAAATGCATTATTATTATTATTATTATTATTATTATTATTAGAATTTATATACCGCCATATACCGGAGGTCTCAGGGTGGTTCACAGAACAAAATCAGAATATAAAACCACAAAATATATAATCAAAATAAAAACAACAAACCAATAACAACCCCCTCAAAAAAACCACATTTTAAAAGGGTATAGGATGTCAATCAAATCAACCACTTAAAGGTGTATAATGAAGGTACTATACTTCTACTACAGTTTGTACGTAATACGAAAACTGCACAACTTCAAACCACAATTTTATTTTTCCTATATGAGGCTGCTGCATTAAATGGACCGTTCTAATTCATCATCATTGAACCAAAGCCCTTCTGGGCCATATCACCAACTCTCCCTGAAAATGAAGTAAAAAGCAAAGTAGCAAAGTGCTGTAGTTTTAAACCAAGAACAACTCATGGATCCACCCAATTCAGATAATAAAGTTTGTTGAGAGATACTATTAGAGTGTAAAAATGTGTACGCTGAACACTGTCAAGGGAAAGGTCATTTCTATATAATGCTCATTATGAAGCTTGAGGGGATAGTTTATTTCAAAAACACAGCTCTTTCAAGATGTCTCTATCAGTAATTATGATCTGCTGAGAAGAAAAAGTAGGGCAGATTAAATACCCTTTTCAACTGCTCTCAGTGTATTTCCAAAAAATGGTTTGAATGAAGGGGGGGAAAACCCAACCTACTCTGGTTTGTAAATGTCAAAGACGTTTTTATTTTAAAAATAAATAAATAATGTTCCTATTCAGAGAAAGCTTGAAGGCCAAATTGGATGTCTATCCCAAAACTTAGCATTACAGTAATGCATCATTTCAACCTCACGCTCAACCCACATCATAGGAGATTACTAATTTTCTGAGTAATAAATATCCATGAATCCTGTTCTGAAACAAACACAATGTTAAAAATACCTCAGATACAGCCATGCATTCCCCCACTCCATTCGGATTGGTAAAACTCCGATACATACTAAATACTTTTCTATCTTCAAGCTCCCATTATCTCAGAGTAGTACTGGTATGGTTACTTTTTAATCAGTTCTTCTTTCTATGCTGTGCAATACTAGCATGTACACAAATTATTGCTGGTACATTACAATCATATCCAACACTGATTCAACTAGCGTAATTTCAATCATACACATCTAAAGGCCATTAGTTGAAATCCTGAAATGCAGGAAGGCAGAAAGCTTAAAAGCTATTTTGTACTGGATTTTTCTGGTGAAAAAAGAGCTTTTAAACTCTCTGCCTTGGGAAGCAAGGCTCTCTCAGCATATCAGGTCTGGGATGAGATCTCATAGGAACTGGAATAGCTCTGTGAAATCCTCCCATGGCCTTCAAAGCTGGCGTGCAGAGAGGGCCTTGCTCCCCAAGCAAGGCAGAGAGCTTAAAAGCTCTTTTTGAGCAGGGAAAAGCCAGCTGTGGGGTGTTCCTGTGAGACCACAGAAGGCCCAGGATGTTTGCGCAGGGGCAATTCCAAGGGTTTGAGTATATATGTTTTTGCGCATATGCGGAACTCTTGGAATCGAATTCTAAGATGAGATCATACTGTATATGCAAATATGGATGTTGAAGAAACTGTTATTGACCTAAGGAAATTAAATGTACACACACACAAGTCTTCAAGGTTACTCAAGGATTTTGTCATGTCTGCATTTTAGAGCAAACAAATCTGATTTGCAATTCCTAGGCTCATAAATCAGAACGCAGTTATGTTTCAGTTTTTTTAGACTTCTTTTAATTTTGCAGCACAGTTTTCTGCTGAAGTGTACCTAAATCCAAATTAAAATGTGCATTTTGTGAAAAACATAGAAAACAATGTGAATATGTCATGCAGTTAATAAATATCCACAAATTGATACGGAAATGAGATTGAACATACTTACAAATGAGCACATGCAAGACTGACAGAAACCAGAAACAGGAGAATCCTTCCATTCCCTACTCAAGGTTGTATAACAAGGTTCCCCTCTCATTTATCATTATAAAACCCTGAGGTAGGCTTGGGTGATGGCTAAGGGTCACCCAGCGAGCTTCAAGGCACAGTCCAAGGTTTATATTCTTTCCACTGCAACACAACTTGAATAAGGCTAGGGCACTATCTGATGAAGGGACTGCAATAATTCCCATTTCATATGAAATGGGTTTTCCTTTGCTACATGATTTGACCACTTCTGCTGCAGTAACACCATGTCCTTCTGTTTTCTCATTACGCCATTGTTACCAATATTGGTAGTAAATTCCAATTCTTTTAATACTTATCAGCATTCAGCTCTGTAGGTGATTAGTTGCAATACCAATATTTCTTGTGGTGCTCAGTGGCATAAGTAGGGTACTTGAAAGGGTGCTGAGCAACTGAAAGAAAAACAACATATTGCTGAAGGCAATATGCCCATAAAAATGCAGCGCTTTTCTATAGTCAGAATGCCTGACAGTAGAGTGGGGATGGGTGATGAAGAAGATGGTGAATGGGTTTCCTGTGCTCCTTCCAATGGCATGGTGTCAGAATTTCCTATTGCTAATAAAATGCAAATCCACGCTGCCACAAATTCTGGCAAGATGTGCCTTCTCTCATCTTCTCTTGCCCCTTTTTGTAGCAAGAGGCAAGTAATGGAATAGCAGCAATTTTCTACAATTACCATGAAGCCCGATTCTGTGAATCATTAGAAGCCCTCAGCCTTCATTAACGTCAGTAGGAAGAACAGGTACTGAGCATTTCACAGGGTTGGACCCGTCACTGCTGCAAGAGAAGACTACCAATTGCCCTGCAATTACTAGGATGTTCCTGTCACAAGAACACTAGTTTACATAAGTCATATTACTGTAATCTAGAGTTAATTACTTCCTGGCTTTAAGTACCAGCTGAAAAAACCAGAAAGGAGTAAGTGTGCACAGAGGGTGTTTTTTTTTAATGCCACTTAGCAAAGTTCACAGAACAGAGACCAACTGTGATAAATGTTAACTCAAATGTACAAAGAAACAAGCACAGCACACACCCACCATATATATATATATATATGCTTCCTTTTTGGTAAAAATTTTGCCTTTGGTTATTTTAAATCACTTGATAAACTAAATAATGCATGCCCTCTTCACCCCTTACATTTCTTTTGCTGTAAAATTAAATTAAATTTTATATCAGTGAAAACAAAACCAGGGCTATATACTGGAAGCCTTTGATATGGCAGATTTAGTGTTGCTATGCTGTTTTCCTGAAAGGCCTCATGCCTTTAGCAGTTGTCTGACAAGACAAAACTTCAGCACGAATCTTTTTTCCTATAACAGAGATGCAGTGCTGGCAAAACAAGCACCTGTTGGATTTCTGCCACACAGCTGTTTATTTTTTAAAATGTCAGGGGGAAAGGTGGGAATTCAGTGAGTAGCAGCAAACACCAATTTCTCCATGAATACCTAATACTCTTCAGTTCCATTCTCATGGAAGGCATGACAGATCTTCCACAGGAAACAGCATGCACACTGCATATTGAGACAGCCACCATGTGTTAGTTTATATATATTTATTTTGAATGTTGTTGCCAGTCAGGGCTTCCTAGCACATGTAAACAAAGACAAATACATCTGTGCAATCAGCACACATACATCACAGTGATCTACACTGAAGTGCAATGCTATTAAAACGCACAATAAGCTGAAATTAAGGCAATAGAGAGTTCTTTCTTCAGTGCCAAAAGCCTAAATGCCAAACTTTTATTTTATTCTGGCACTGGATGCAGAAATGCTCTTGTTTCCTATATAGAGGACCAGCAAATTTGGAGTTCAAGCTCTGTTGGAAAAGCCATAAAAGCACTTTGCCATTAAAGGATGTTCAGCATCTTCCCATTCTGTCTGTTTCATAATACATATAATACAGAGCATTTATTCCAGCCATAAGCTTGTTTCAATTATATAGCTGATGGGTAATTTAATACACATTTCAATATAAAAAAGGAAAGTCACAATATTGAACCTGCTGCCACCTCTTTTATATTTGTCTCTAGCGTAGCAGTGAATCCAACATTGGTATGCAATTCTTGCCCTTCTTTTCTTGCTCACCTGCCCAGTCACTACCGTCAAGTGCTCCACCAGGGAAACAAAGTGATCTACTATTTTCACAGCACTGTGTGGGTCTCAACTCACCATCAGTTGATTCCCCCCATATATATATTTTAACAATAGTTCGCATGACCTAAAAGGTTATCTTAACCCACACTGTATATACCCAGTTGATCACTGGGCTCTGCAAGAAAGGGCATCATCATCAGGAAGTCTTCTCCATACAACATATGAATCAGACAACTTGTATGGTGGCACGCACCCTTTGGAACTCCCATTATATACATTATCAGGCAGGCAACATCAATATTTTCTTTTTGGTGCCCATTGAAGAACTCTCTCTTCCAGCAAACTTCTTAAATGGATATTTTTATCACAGTGTCTATCTGCATTGCCCCCCCCCCAAAAAAGTGTAAACAAATGCAAAACTGAGATGTTATTTCCATCTCTAAGTTGAGGTGAGGTCATTCATTTGGAATAGGAATTCTCAGTTAACATTTGTAGTTGATTCTCACAGCTATTATGTGGTGAATTCTCCCAAGAATTGACTGCATAGCTTTCTGAATTCTCTGAGACCAGAGGAAATCTCCACTTGCCAGACTCTTGAAAAACATTGTGGCTTGATTCCAAAAGCATGGATACTCGCAATCTAGACACACTGTTGCCTCGAACAAATATTATTTGTTTAATTTATTTTTATTTATGAAGCAGTTCTCATGAAGCATCCAGAAGCAATTTAACAGTAAAAGCGTCAACAAGAAGTCAAACACACACACATCTGTAATTTTTTTTTTAAATCCACAAAGCCCCTGACACTATGTGTTTTGCTGAGGAAAATGTATAGCTGCTTGCACATTTCCCACAACAAAATAAATAGCAGCATTATGAAGATTGAGGTATTATTTAGATTGGGGAAATTTAGTGATGCAAAGAATTAAGCGGCCTCCCACAAGTAGCAGACTGGATAACAAGGACTGCTGCAAAACAGACAAAATACACCTGAAGGAACCGAAATGTGTATTGGGGGGCGGCATTTCTTACACCCTGGAATGGCAATTTTCATAGCAAATAGTCAAGCCTCATGAAACTCTGATAGCACAATACTCCACAAAGTGGAGTGTAACTCCATGGCCTATGTTTGTTTTATGTGGGCAAGGATGATCCATTGTTTTGCATTTTTGTCCTCTCTTATATCCACTGTCAGTTTCATACCTCTTTGAAATTGCTCTGAATAGTAAATTCTAGCCTATTTCACATACACCACAACATACAATGGCATTTTTAACGCCATCCTTTAATTCAGAAATTAAAAAGAGAAGCAGGACCCTAATTGATAAACATGCTCAGCTTTTAACTCATTTTCCTTTGCTTGTAGCACAAGGTTGCCTACGTACATAAACAAGGACAGATCAGATATGAAAAACATTAACCAGATGATCTTTTACCTTGTCCCACGTAATTATTCACATCATGAGCACTAAGTGCTCTTATCAAAGACAGATTTGTGCCTGTTTCAACAAATGCTTTTAATAAACTGTGCTTCCTCAGTTCCTTGAATCTTCTGGACAAATTTTAGGCAGTCTCCCACAGATTATCACATATGTGCCGTCTTAGCAGTGTCATAAAGCTTAGCTTTATTTTGTTGAAGTTAGCACTGTCTAATACTTAAGATTATAACAGTATGGAAAAGTGATGTGATGTATCCACCTTTCCCAATTATTTTAAACATTATGTAATCATACTCTAAATGCTCTCCTTTGTTCCCCCTTCTAAAAATGGTCCATTTTAGAGCTAGTTACCTGTCAAATATCCAGCCGGCCTCACTTAGATTCACTTTTACTGAGCTGCATTTTCAAGCTATGCCCACCGTCCCAGACGGAAGATATAACAGGGTACAGTACAAAGACAGACTCTTTATATGTGGGCAACTGCAGGTGAAAGACATCTTGCACTATTACTATATTGCCCACTATACATAGGACCCAGTAGGCAATTTCTCACCTTACCATCTGTACAGGAAAGATATCTCTCCCTGGCAGAGAAGGTCCTAAACAATTCAGTGACTCATGAAGAAACTTAAAAAAAATAAAAAATTCTCCTGGCATAATACCAAGTAAAAGAGCCTCAGGTTTTTTGTTAATGGAGAATTTAAAAAGATCAGAAAGACGACCCTGGACAATATAGCCATGAACTGTGAGGGAGACACAGAGATCTAAATAGAGACCATTATTTGTGGCGTGACACCCCTTTTGCTTGTATCTATTTTCGATTCAGATTTGTCATGGCCAATGGCTAGTACAATAAATCGGATTGGATGCAATCATACTTATGGTTTCAACTGGACAGCTGACAAAATGGAAGAATTCATAAAGACTGATTACTGGAACCACAGTAAGTCTAAGCTGAAAGAGCAGGTGGGAATACATGCCTCCATATTCTAGGCCAGAGCTTTCCAAACTCTTCATGTTGGTGGCACTCTTTTTAGACGGGCACCATTTCGCGACACAGTAATTCAGCAATTCAGTTTTACTAGCAAACTGAAGGTTAAACTAGCCCCTTTCCAGCCCCAGAAGGAGCACAGAGAGTGTTCACGTGACACACCTACATACTGCAGCTGATACACTAACGTGTCACAACACAGTTTGGAAAGCTCTGTTCTAGGCAGTTACCTTGCAGTCTTCTGTACCAATGAGCCTCTTTACCAGGTTATGGACTCTTTGCACAGTTGGCAGCCAATTAAAACAAAGGCAAGGTAAATTGCAATCCTATTCCTTGCAAAAAGTCATTTGAACTTTGCATCCTATACCCAGAGGGATGGGATGCCTCTTGGTGCTGTTGGACTTCAACAGCCCCCCCTCAGTATGGCCATTGGTCAGGAATGATACAAGTTGTTGCAAGGTTTCCTCACCCCTGCCCTACTGTATATGAATCTCAAAACTACATGATTTGCATCTCAAGGCAGATGACATAAAGCAGCAACAACAACAACGAAACAACCATATGTAAGTGACAGAACTGGCTACCTGAAGTACAGATTTTGACTGCTGTTAACCTGCTTGCCGAAGAGAGAAACTAATCTTCTAAGGATTATGTCTTTATTTAGATGTGTTTCAATCAAAGATACTTAAGGTGATTTCATAAGGAACCAAACAAATATTTGATTGTCAGTGTTCATTGTGTACCAAACTCCTCTGTTACATCCCTGTCCTAGACATGTTGACTTGAAGTACAGGCTTGACAGCATACTGCTTTAAAATATATACACCAATACCTCAAGCTGCTGTTTTTAAGATCCTGCTTTGTCTCTAGATGTCTCCAAGTTATGCCATATGTTCAGCTGAGCTTACTATCATATGATTGCTAAAATGAATTCTCTAAGGCCTGTAGCCACTGCAGAAGAGTGATGGTGGAAAGCAGAGGGTCTTTAATTTAAATATTGTATTTACTAATTTTCCTTTGCAAGTAAAAATAGTAAGGAAAAGCATAGTCAATACTTTACCGAGTTACTCAGTAAAAACCTGCCCTCCGCTTCCCAAAATAAGCTTAAGCCTGGTGGGCTCCCTATAAATTCTGTCTTACTCCTTCCTCAAAGGAAAACCGTATCTGGACTCCTGCAAACACTTATCTAAGAGTGAGCTCCATTAAACAGGAAGAGATTTAGTCTGATTAAAAATGTATAACAATGTATTTATAGGTTAACTATACAGTGAATTCTTAATGAGTGCCTAGACTTCAACACTACACAGCAGGAGACATGCCTAAGCCTCTTTGCAAAGTTTTCACATTTTGCATTTGCCATGTGGAGGTTGGGAGACATTCTTTAACACCCACCTTCACCTATTGCGCAGTAGCATTTGGAGAAAATAACTTCTAGGGAATACCTGATCTTAGAAAGACCAACCACAGGAAAGATGTGTCCTGGTTGCTAGAATCAGAAAGAAGCAGGAAAGGAAAGTACACTAAAGGGGAGGGAGAAACACCCCAGGAATTCCAAACAACTCACTCATCAATCATAGCTCTGATTTCACTCATTAGCTAAAAATACTGAAACGTGTGAGCAGCCAGGCTGGCTCATCTTAAAGAAATCAATTTGAAGGTTGCCTATACTTTTTGTTTCATAGCTTTCATTTATGGAGGGCTAGATACTTACTTTAAAACGGGGTGTGTGGGTGAACATCTGGGGTTCCCTGCAGGTATGGGCTCTGATTACAATTGCATCATTATAATCCAACCAGGCACAATTCATTCTCTCCCAATGCAACAGTTTGTTCAGCGACAAGTGCATCAGTTTCTTCAAGACGCTATTGCTTTAAATGCTAAATATACCCAAATACAGCTATGTATTCTGAGTGGCTTGCTGTGGGGTGGGATGGAATACATTCAGATACCACTGAAAATTATCCCTTAGCCAATAGTTATTCAAGATGATACACTCCAGAAAGTGTAATTTATCATTTCCACAACAAGTTCTTATTCCCTACCACCATGATACATACAGCAACCAATAATGCTTTTTCATTAAGGGCATATTTTTAGGTTACAGACTGATACAGACTATTTTGTAAGAGGACTATGGTTCTATAAGCATTTTGCCAAACAAAAATTTACCTAGCAAGTTCCTTTAAGTTGAAGATATTGGTTGTGTGTGTGTGTGTGTGGAAGCAGCACCAAAATTTTGATCTTCCTTGAATAACAGTAAATCCAGCATCTATTTTCAATTAAACTGAAGCCATTTTGCTCTTGCCAAAGTGCATTCTCCAAACATTATCACAAGAACCTTCTGTAACTCTTAAATAATGTGTTTTGTGAATATACTGAATATCACTGGTTACTATTTGTTCTTGGTCTTTTTGTATGGCTATAAAAAACAACAACATCATCCTGGTATAAATCCTTGGATCACCCTTCTTCTCGCCTCTCTTCACAGTGAGAGTTACCCCCGCCTTATAATCCATTGTTGACTTTCAGAAAAGGACATCAGCTTTTATTCAAGACCTTCAGTCAATGAAACACTCAGTGAGAAGGATTTTTAAAATCCAAGGACATCACCATTTAGATTAAGCTTCTTGAAGGGTTTTATTTACGAATATGGCTACCTGTTTGAATTAGAAAACTGATTAAATGTGTCATATTTTATCTGTTTTTTCTAAGAACTAGAACTTAGAAAGGCTGCTTATTTGCCTTGCACGCATTCACAGGCACACACACAAAAAACATTTTGAAAGATTGATAGTGCATTTGTTACCTTTCTTACACAGAAATTTTTTCTTGCATATAAACTATTATATAGAGGGTATATAGATCAGAACATGTAATTCAGCTGTTATATACACAACTTGTTTTATAGCTCGTGAGAACATGGTATCAGGCCCTAGCAATTCATTGGGACTTAATCTATGGAACTTTTCTAAAATATATTGATAAACACTTAATGTACAAGAGTTCTTCAGCTTTGCTATTTGAAAAGGTTAGGTCTTGTTTTCAGAAGGGAATTTGGTTTCTCTGCATATTCATACATGATATCTAAGTGTCTTTCAATTGCCTTCCTTTAGCTGTGGCAGGGCTTTAGATTTCTAACACATTAAGAACTTTAGTACAGTGTTAAGGCTTCAGCTACAATTTCTCAAAACCTTAACTGGCGTCAAATACAATCACAATAAAATACTGCCAACACCTCATTGTCCCTATCACGTGGCAAACCTCTGAATGTCCCCTGCACTCTTCCTTACCAGTCAATTACATTCAAGTCCTTGTTTCTGAGGCAGCATTTTCAAATCTCCCCTAGTGATTCTACTGCAATTCGCCCACAAATCATTCAATAGGCTATCGTTTCTCTCCTTTGGTTGTTATATCCTGGATCTACCTTAAGGTGAGGTATATCTCAAACCCCACTTCCCCTATATTTGTTATGCAAAATAATACATTAAGAATACTGTAATAATGCCTCTATAAATTAAATCTCATTCATTGCACAGGTGCATTCTCTTCAATGGAGTATTAACCTAAAGGCCTATTAGAGACAGATAAGAGGGATGTAAGCATGCAATTTATGTCCACAAGAGAATTCATTTCAATTATTTAGATGCCCCATTAGATAGCTGAATTATCTGTTCTTGTCCATATTCTTCAATTGGTCCTCCACTGTTGGAAGCATCAGGATTGATCCCTAAGACATTATATGCAGTGCATATACATAGATGAATGATTTTATTAGGGATGGGTAACCCATGGCCCTCCAGATTTTGCTTGACTGCCACTCTCATCATCCCTGCCCATTGGCCATACTGGGTGGGGCTGATGGGAATTGAGATTCCAGTTACACACAGAGGACAACAGGTTCCCCATCCCTGGGTTAGACAGTTATCACACTCAAACAGCCATAAATTCTGGTGACGATTTCTTATTGCAATTGTCACTTACACTCAGTGACAGAGTACATGTGTGTATCCATAGGCACCCATATTCACTCCCAGATAAACTGAGAAAAGGACTCTTCTCTGAAACCCTGAAAACTCAGAATCTGCTGTTGAATTTGTTTTCTATGATTTAGCTACAGATGAAACAACAGACATGAGCAATATAGCATAGCTTGCAAACTTTTTGCCTCGAATCACACCATGTTTTGAGACTACAGGAGTTACTGTAAATAACATAACTAAATAACATATGCTTAAGCCTTGATCCAGATCAATTGTGTTCTGTGCTGCTACATCAGTCATAGGGAGAATCTTTCTGCATACTCTCTTGGTCTGAAAAGCATCACGTGTACTGTCGTTTCATGCATAAACTTCATTAAAGGCACGGCTATGAATAGCCCATCAGTTCAAATAACTTATTATATTCTGCCAAGTTTTACTCAGAGTAGACTACTGAAGTTAATGGACCTAAGAAAAAGTATTAACAGCTATAAAGAGAAATGTGTTGCTTAGTATACTTTGTTATGGTGCAATCAACAGCCTTCTTCAGCTGCTTAAGTGTGCTTTTGCTAAAGACTTTTGTACGAAAAAGTCTAATATGAAAAGCCAATTGAGAGATTTAAAAACACTCATGATATGAATATTGTGTAATTGTTTCTGCAGAGTAAAAGTGCCAAGTAAAACAGTTTTTTTAAAAAAAATTAAATAAATAGATCTTTTGTCTGTTCTATTCTTTTTTTAAAAAAACACCTTTGACCTCTCAAGAAGGCCTAAACATACAGAATATTCCCTGCAATTTTACCTTCCATGCTTATGCTTTCTTGACAAACAGATAACCTGTTTATTGAGCATTAATCCTGGTTTATTTTTAGATAGATTAGATGACGTTGCATCAAACATTTTCCAGTCACCACCTTTGCCACAAAAAGTCACATCTTTGGGGAAAGTGGGTTGTATCACAAGACCTTCAAGAACAGCCTGAATGTGCTGGCATATAACTAAATCCCAACTGAAAATAGTGACAGTCAGGAAGTGCCCAAGGTTTCAAGAACACACACACACTCAGGAGAAATGGCCTTGAACAGGCAGATTAGAGACAAGGCTTTCAATGATCAGGGATCAGTTCTGCAGTGGCTTTCTGCAGCCATGCAGTTAATAGTATATTCTGCTTGCATTCTACACAGACTAAAAGAAGACTTACAAATCTCCAGCACATAATTTGAAAATGAAGCACAATGCAAGGCTTGTTGGTAAACTGTAGAAATAGCACACAAAAACATTATACAGAGAATGTTTTTAACATATGCAAAGAAACTGAAAGGGCACGGAAACCATTGCCGTAGGATAACAATTAGGCACAGATTTTAAATCTGTAAATTAAAGCATGTGATGTTGTTCCTAACGTCTACACACACATCACAATAGGTTTCCAACAGCAACACCCCACAGATATTTTTCTAGAGCAACAGAACGAATGCTTTATATGACCGTAGGTACTAAATAACATTTATTGCCACCAGCGTGGGACAGCATTACACTGTGGGAGGACTTTACTAATGAGGGAACAATCAAGCAGCAATAAAAACTTTATGGCATTCCCACATCAAAACATATATTGTCCATGTCACTTTATTGTGGTGCTGTCTGTCCTTTTTCAGTACTGTTCTTACACTGCATATTTCTGCAACTACATCAGTTCTTCCAGTTGCCTCTTTCCCCCCTTACATCTTTCTACCACTCGTAAGTTATCTCCTTCCCCTCTAACACACAGTTGCATCATTTACCTCCTTTTAAATGTTAGCGCTGAAACAGCCAAGTAACATGCAGGGCATGTTTGAATCCAAAAAGGCAAAAAAACCACATTGTTTTATAAACAGCTGGCTACTTTTTATTTCCTTCAAACGCCAACACAAGGTGTGGTGGAACTGTGAATACAAATTATCAGTTTTATCGAGGGTTATTCAGTTGCTGACATGCTTTATTTCTACATGGATGCAATGAAATCAAATTCCTGGATATGGACCAAAAATCTGCCCTTGTTTACTATGGCCAGTTTCTGTTGACATTAAGAACAGCCCTTCACACAAAAAAGAGCTCTGAAGGGATGGAGGAATAGAAACATGCAAGCAGCTGAATGACTAGGTTCACACTACTGAATAATTCATATTAAACTGCTGTGCAGTTGCATCAATATTACTAACATTTCCAACCCAGAGACTGGCCATTTCTTTGTCTCAGGAAAGGCAGAGCAGGAGTGTGAATGCATGTAAATCTCTTTAGGTGTTCTCTTCTGACCCATAAATATATGGTGAGGTACCAGTGGTCTTCAAGTGCCAGCTTCTTTGGCACCAGGACACTGCCTGTGCCGACAGCTCTCTGAATTACATGAGATGATGGGGGTCACTGTTTAGTTCACGTGCTTTGCATATTTACGGGCCCAAATCCAATCACTGATATCCAAGGTTGAAGGATCTCCAACAGCAAGGCCTCTGCAGCTGCCAGTCTCAGTGCTTGGACTACACTGACCAATAAGAAGAACAACGGAATCTGCCTACTACTGAGACAGACCACTGGCCCATATAGCTTAGTATCGTTGGCACTGACTTGAGAGTTGCTCTCCAGGGTTTTGGCTCCACCTGAAGATGCTGGAGACTGAATCTAGGGACCTTCTGTATGGTCTGAGCAACAGTTCTTGAAACAGTAATGTAAGGCAAACAGCACTGTAAAGTCCAAACATCAGTATGTATTATGATACTATCTACTTGATCCCTTATGTATACTATAAAACAGAGCTCTTAGATTCTTTTTTTTTTTTTAATAATATTTATTAAGAGTTTAAAAGTTACAAAAAAAGAAAAAGAGTTAAACAAAGCAAAGAAGCAAAAAGAAACAAAAAACAACACAATACAATGCAAGACAAATAAAACAAAACAAAGACCATTTTAAACAATTTCAATATCATATCTTTCATTCACTTATTTCCACGACTTCCTCACACCTCCCTTTTTGTATTCCACATCAATTAATTATTTCAGCAATTCCTTTCCATCTTCCTCTGTTTTCTATCCTATAATTATCTTAACACATTCTAACCTTATTTTATTCCCTTTAATGCTCAATTAATCTATTTATACTTAATTCCTTATGACATTTCTGCTAAAGCCATATAACTTCATTCCCACTTTGTTCTAACATTCATTAATTTTGCAATATTTCTATAAATAGTCTTTAAACTTCCAGTCTTCTTCCACCAGCTCTTCTCCCTGGTCTCGGATTCTGCCGATTCTCTCAGCCAGCAAAAAGCAGATGATTCACAAAATTTAGAGGTCTGGCAGGGCAAGTCCACCTCCTTCTTTAGCATCCGTTAATATCTTAAATTTTACTCGAGGCTTCCTGCCCTGCCATACAGATCTAGAGACATCCCTCTGCCACCTCCTGAAACAATCCCTCCCATCCAAAACTTGCAATGTTTGAAACAAAAGCAACATCCCCGACCTCACCGCAACCCTCGTCCCCACCACAGCAACTCGGCCCAATAGCAACTTCCAATTTAGCCCTATTTCCAAATCCCCCTTGTCTTCAAGCCAACGTCCTTCACAGTTGCCCTTGAATAAATTCACATTTCTGGCGGTCATACTAACCCCCCATGACCTCTCTTTCTCAACCAATGTTAGTCCTATCTACTCCTGAATCTCTATCAAGGTTTCCTCTTCCTCGGGTAGGGCTCTGATCCTCAATTTCATCTGTTTCTCTTTAAGTTCAGTCATATCGGGTGTCAGCTCATATTCATCAAATCGTCCTTGTATGGATGGGACTCTCTCTCTCTCCAGTTGAATTACTTTAACTTCAGCAGCGAGGGTTTTCTCCTTAACTTCATCCGCAGTTTGCCGTATCAGGATAGATTCCTGTATCAATTTCTGGGTGGGTTCTGTATTGATATTCACCTTTTGTCCCAGGTTATTTAAACTTTCTACCATTAAATCATTTTTAATATTTGCAGCATCCACTTTCATATTTATCACATCCATTTTCTTGTGAAGCTGTTCCAGCGAATCATTTATTTTCACTAGTACAATCACTAAGGCCTCTTCTGGCGACATTCCGTCTTTCGCATCTGCCATAACACTCAATAGATTCAAGGTCAACTCACAGTCTCACGGTTTTTATCTTACAACTGGAAATTTCCCAGCCCAGATCTTATGAAGCCGCCAGTTTCAAGAACTTCCACTAGAGGGAAACAGTTTCTATTTGTATTGATAAGTAATATCCTCTTAAAGCACAGTTCAAACGACCCCAAACTAATTTCAATTTTCAGTTACTTTCACTGCTGGAAACAGTAGAAACAATGTATCTTCTCTTATGCTAGCTGTCAACACAATCCAAGCACTGTCAATAAACGTCTCACCAAAACGTCGGACCTTCTAGCAGCCCGTTCCCAGGGTCCGAGCGGCAGTGTTTTACCTCTCTTGGTCTCTTCCGCAGGCAAACTCAGTTGACAACTTCCCTCCCCCCTCTTCTCCTGCCTCCAAGGGGAGGATTATATTCTTTACTTATGGAAATTTAGTCTTTTACAAAAGGCTTTCCAAGACTTCAGCTTGCAGCCTCCATTGCTTCAGTCTATTTACAAAAGGGGAAGGCAGACTTCCTGTATTGAACCTTCCCCGTTTCGATGCCAAATTAGACTTTTTTTTTTTTAATCCAATTTTCCCAATTAGGCTCTACTCACGGGTAGTTACTTTAGAGTCAAATTGTCCACAGGAAAAAGTCAGCGCTCTCCGACAACAGCTATGCGGCTTCGCTCCGTGGAAGAAGCAGATGATTCGAAGCACCGCGCTGCTCACCCCACGTCGCTCCGGATCCCCGAAACCGGGTTTCCCCGCGAGTGGGGGAGGCGCAAAGGGTGCCCGCCGAATCCCACGCTCACAGGCTTCTCCCGCCTGTCATTTTTAACGGGTCTCCGCCTTCGCCGTGGCGGCCAGACCCAGATTTCCACGGAGCTGATTCCTCCCGATCAGAGGAATCCAGCCATTGCCGGAGGCGCCTCCCCGGAAGTCCGCAGCGCTCTTAGATTCAGGAGGACAGTTGAGAGGAGAAGTGTGGGTAGCAGGGAAAAGAGAACTCGTGGGTGTAGAGAAGCACATATGGGGAGGGATGGAGAGGTGAGCTGACCAGCAGCTATATATTTCAACACATACTAAACAGTTTCAAACCATTATCTGGTGGGTTTGTAAACCCTGGTTAAGTGGAACCTAGTAAGCATTAATGATAGTTGGCATCATGTGTACAGCATCAGTTAAGGCCAAAAAAGAAAGGGAGTGGGGAATATATGGCAGGGAGAAGTATGGTTTGCAGAGAGCTCATGCTACCTCTCTACCAGGTCTAGTTCTGCAACATCCCTCAGTGCTCCAGCTCTCTATTTAATTAAGAAAGAGCTGTCAAGGGAGCCACCATGTTTAAAAAGGCAGAGAAAAGAAATAATGTATAGCAATGTCAAAGCAATTATGACTGGAACAAGAACAGCGCTCCAGGAGCAAGAAGCATGAGCTCCCCTTCCTCCCTCTCCGACTTGGCTCATCTTAAACAAATTAAGTGTTTGGGTTTTTAACCCTATTCCTCATTTATAAAACCCAAGCAAGTAAAATACCATAAGGTGAAATGCCACAACAGAGATCAACAAAGAAAATAAAAGCGTTCTCAAATCACAAACAGCAGGCTGAAGGGAGAAGCTGCCCTTGTAGGAGTAATAATCTCAGTCTATGTTGCTTGTCCACTAAGAGCATCCAATCTCTTCTGTCCTTAAGGTCTTAGTACTAACTGTTAAGGCATTAAACTGTTAGAACATTCCATTAACACCAGAGCAGTCAAACAAGGGCTAGCTAGGGAAGCATCAGATGCAGCCTGCATTTACAATACATTTCATCTCTTAACATTAAATTTGCACCTTACTCTTCTTTTTAGCAGATCTACGAATTCTGTGCTTTAATTTGATGGCTCATGCTTAATTCCAAAATGCCCCAAAGCATCACCCACATGCTGGGCTGAAGATTGCTATTGCAATATATAACCAAATGCAGAATGGCAGCAGTGTCTGCATAATTCAAGGGTCTTGCCTTCCCTCCCGCGTGAACACTGAGGCTGATTCACTTGTTTCAGCCACGTGGCTAATTTTATAAGACGTGTCACAAGAGATGCCAAATTGTACCCAGGGAGAAAATTATTTACCAATATGGCAGATCCAACCTTGAGCATGGCAGTAGGACTCCATGCACTGAATCTGACCTTAGATTGCCAATTTTTTAAAAGCTCTCCAAGGACCGGTCTCTTTCCTTCCCCAAATACCCCTTCTTCAGTTGTAACACTGAAGTGAAATAAAATAATACTTCACCGGGGTAGGAGTGTTGAGAATTCCAGGATATTAGAGTGCAACCAAGAGGTGGAACATATTTATGGAGCAAGGATTTATGAAGCATATTAAATTATGATATATTTCTAACTATTACTTTTCAACATTAGGTTAAAAATGGTGGGCTTCTATATGTCCCATATGCTTTTACCCATTCCAGTTTTTAATCCATATTCTTATTTAGCCTGTTGACCTCGCCATGACGTCTAGAACAGAATGATTCTTCTCCAATTGACATCTGTGGAACTTTGCCATTGAAAGCACATCATGGCAGCCTTTGCCGATCTAGTGCCCTCCAGTTGTTTTGAATTACAACTCCTATCAGCCCCAACCAGTACATGTGGGGCTGGTGGGAACTGTAGTCCAAAATATCTGGGGGGCACCAAGTTTGATGAAGCCGGAATCACAGCATTACTGTACACACTGACATACTGCCATGAGAGGGTGCCATCCCTTTGTTTTCAAATTCTTCAAGATCCAAGGGAAAGAATAAAACCAACACCCGCTTAATGCTACTTTGAACTGTTAATGCCAAGCCATTTTCCAAGGGGGGAAAAACAGGAATTTGATAGAAAAGAATGGAGAGCAATTAGTAAAAATTCAAACACAGCAATTTAACTAATCAGTAAGTGTATTTTTAAAAGGGGGGGGAACTGACCTATATGCAGCTAAGTATCTGCTTAATGACTACTGCTTAGACTACTGCAATGCGCTCTATGTGAATGCAGCAGCTAGACTGGTGACTGGGAGTGGCCGTTGAGACCACATAACCGGTCCTGAAAGACCTACATTGGCTCCCAGTACATTTCCGAGCACAATTCAAAGTGTTGGTGCTCACCTTTAAAGCCCTAAACGGCCTTGGCCCAGTATACCTGAAGGAGCGTCTCCACCCCCGTCATTCAGCCTGGACACGGAAGTCCAGCGCCGAGGGCCTTCTGGCGGTTCCCTCCCTGTGAGGTTACAGGGAACCAGGCAGAGGGCCTTCTCGGTAGTGGTGCCCGCCATGTGGAACGCCCTCCCATCAGATGTCAAGGAAATAAACAACTACTTGACTTTTAGAAGACATCTGAAGGCAGCCCTGTTTAGGGACATTTTTAATGTTTGATGTTTTATTGTGCTTTTAATTCTGTTGGGAGCTGCCCAGAGTAGCTTGGGAAACCCAGCCAGATGGGCGAGGTATAAATAATAAAATATAATAATAACAACAATAATAACTGTGATCATTAGAACTAGATTTCTAAACTTTCTCCTCTTAAATTTTCAATATGGTCAAGGCTATATTTATTCAATCACTGCATATGGCAAAACTGTACCTTTTGTAGGTATTTCTAGCTTTCTAAGATTCTTCAGCCTGTCAAAATAATGATCCAGTAAGTGCACTGCTTTCCTTGTGGGGAACTGCTTCAACGATGAAGCCACACAAAGCACCAGCAGGATCTCCTGTAGCATCACAAAGGCTCTTAGGGACACACCTCTGTGACCTCACAGTGCTTCATTACCACCCCAAGGAAGAGTTTTCTGTGGGATGCTGAGGAAAATACTCACCCTGTTATTCAACAGAGATGGTTCTGAATATGTGACACAATGAAGTCTTGTCCAAAGACAAAACCATTCACAGTAAAACAAGCCTGTTTCCCCACTTCTGCTCAACATGGTGAAAAACAAAAATCACATGTCAATTCTAGTGCCATCACAAGCACATTCTCTTATTTTGCTTCTTGTTCACTTGCTATTTGGGAAAACCATATCAGCTCTTAACTACATAGACTTGCAAATACACCACGCCCAATTACCCTCTGGTTTATTCAGAAGAAGTCCTACTAAGTTGCATGGGTAATTTATTTGTATTAATTGATTTATATCAAGTTCATTAATACTGTCATTCAATTATTAAAACATAATACCGGAAATCAAAAGTTTAAAATATTCAATTGTTTGAAGATCCCAGTGGGTGAATAATAGGTGTCACACACACATGCACTCCCTAACCATGTCTACTGGAAGACCCTTAGTGACCCTTTAAGGCCCCTTTTTTGGCCTCGGTGAAAGCAATACACATAGATCCCCAACCACACAGCAGCTCATCCCATTCGTACTCAATAAACCACCCTCCAAAGATGCTTCCTCCACCAGATTTTAACACAGATATCTAGAGGCAAACCCTTCTTTTTCCCTGTCTACCATAGCTGAGAGAGGAGATGAGGCTAGCATGGAGAAGTTCTAGAATCAAAGCTCTTCTGAAGTGGACTGGGCTTTAGGAATACTCCATATCTCCTCCCTCACCTTTTTTCTGGAATCATCATTATTAGGATTGCCTCTGTGTGACAAAGACAGAACCATTTATTTATATATATGCTGTAGTAAAATGGATTTTTGTGATGGGAATAGTAGCAATGTCAAGGAAGTCCTGTCAAGCCCTGCCTCCTCCACAATTACGGTATTTACAAATGATGGGAAATTTATAAATATATAAATAAACTGTGCTGTAACTATGCAGTAATTGGTTTTTACTGGTTTCACGCATTATTTACCTGCCTTTTATGTTTTACTTCATCTTTTATTGCTTTGGTATTTGCTTGCTGTCTCAAGCACCATTTGGTAAAAAGGCAGAATATAAATTTAACAAACAAATGAAGGAAGGAAGCCTCTGACAGTGCCAGAATGAGTTTTCCTAGTGTCAGAGAAGGGTTGGACAGACAGAAAATATCTGGCTTCCAGTGGCCAAGCTGCTAATACGTGGCAGGACAGGATGGAGTTTTTAGTGGAGAAGAAGTTATGCACCTCAAGGCAGCGGTCTGGGAAAAAAAGTGTTATAGAGAAGAGTTTCCCAACCCAGTGCCCTTCAGATGCTGCTGAACTACAGCTCCCATTAACCTTGGCTATTGCCCACGTTGGCAGGTGAAAATGGGAGTTGCAGTTCAACAACTTCCCAAGAGCCACCCTAGACATCAAGAGAAGAGGTTCTGGTTGCAGTCCTAAATCTACTTAGGAGAAGCACCTTCTGAGGAAAGAATTTAATCCTGAGCAAGCATGCTTCAGGCTGTACTCCGAGAAAGGAAGGCAAAGTGGGAGGCAGTAGGGTAGCAGAGGCCAGGAATTGCAAGAATAAGGCAATCTGAAGCTCACATCGATTTGAAATAATCAGCTGTGCCCCTCCTCCCCCAAGTGTCTTTTTAATACAACATGCATTACCATGTGTGTTTAGCCATTCTTGACAACCACTCATATGATTTATGTAAAAGTAATTGAGGTTAAATTATTTGCCACATAAAACACCCTACATCTAATTTCAACTTTGCAACCTAGGAAGATCTGAAATAAACAAACCCATATGTCATTTAGCTGAGGCTGGCAGCTGGGCCTAATTAGGGCCATTTTTATTGTACTGAAGAACGTTGCAGCCCACTATCCTGAGGTCTTTCGTCTAGGATAAATGCCTGCCATTCTCTAGCACATCCATAGTTTAGCCACTGGCAACCTAGTCTGTGAGAAGCTTTGAACTTTTCTTTGAATACTAACTGCCCAGTTCAGATGTAATCATGGTTTAGCACTATAAGAATACTTGTGTTGTGAACCACCCTGGGATCGTCAGATGAAGGGTAGTAAACAAATAGTAATAATAGTAAATAGCAGCAGCAGCAGCAGTAGTAGTAGTAATGCAAGCCTACTGTTCATATGAACAAACCATAGTGTTCCATTGTATCTCAAATCAGGCAACTATGGTTTATTTGAACTGTGGTTTAATCCTAATTTCTTTGAATTTACCAAAGTTTTCCTGAGATGTTACCCTAGCATTCAAAACCAAAAGTGAATGCTTCAATCTCCTCTCCTTAGACACCAAAGGGGAGCAGAGAGGACAGCATGTGAGCAGAGGCTCACCAAGGCCTGTTATTGAAAAGCTAAATCATGGTGTTACATCTGAACAAAGTCAAAGAATAATTTCTATTCTACTATATCTAATTAATTTTGCATTAGACTATAAATAGGAAAATCTAGTGAGTGTGTACATTGGCAACATTTCAATTAACATTAAATGCATATTTCACCCACATGATTTTATATGCTCAGGAAAAAAGCAGAATGCTTTAAAACATATACAAAATCCTCATCTGATTCAAGAAGGGTATCTATTCAAACCCACTCCACTGACACCCACCAATAAACTGTTTTTCTAGTTATAGGGCCAGCTCAGATTTCTTAGTCAGAGCTTTACTATTCTAGAAAAACATAAAAGGCCAAAGCCTCGTCTTTTTTTATTTGGCAAATATTCCGTCTAATATTAAAAATTTTAACCTAACGTGTAGGTTTGGCTATCTCTGTGAAGCCCCTAGTGGCAATTTCCATTTATCACAGGCCACTATTACAGTAACAAGATAAGGCTATTAGATGGAGTAAGAGGAGCTTAAGAAATTGGGTTTTCCTCCAGAAGATTCCACAGCCAATCCTGTAAAACACAATTTCTATCACATGTGCAGGATACCCATTTGACCCACTATTTCTTCACAACAACTAATCCTTGGCCTCATGGAAAGAGAAAGTGCTTATATCCCTAGAGGGTAGGAGGACCAAGCAAACATTTTTTTTGAAAATAAATTAAAAAGAAGCCAACAATGCACTGAAAATCAGAAACTTCAGTTAATCAGCACACCCTTATCTGAAGCTGTTCCATGAGAAAGAACATACTGAAAAAGGAAAATGCAATAAATTAGTTTATTGGAAGAATCTCAACATATTCTTGCTTGTAAACTAGCATTTATCTGGCAAACCCAATAGCAAACAAATGAGCAGGGTATGACTTAAAATTCAGGCAAAAGTGCGTTTTATTTCCCATCCGCAATGTATTCTGTGCAAAGTAGCACTTGGTCAATGTAAAATCTTCACTGAAATATTTAAACATGCTCCAGTAACCAAATAATGCAACTTCAAACCAGAATCATAGACAGAAAAATAATAAAACCACTATCACCTTGTCCAGAACAAACAAATGCACCAAAGGTGAAAGAAAAACCAAGGGATTATTTCCTACTGAATAACTTTAACTATAGACAGTATTTTTTTATAAGAGTGATACATAAGCAACTGCTCTGCAATGATTACAAATATTAAACTAAAAAAAGCAACTGTTTAATTTCATATTATCCATTGTTTTGGGTTTGAGTGTATCAATCCAAGGTTTAAAAAAATATCGCTGACTAATAAGTCTGCAGCATGGGTTTGGTTTTAATCCTCACCTCATGATCTACCACTACCTCTCCAAATTATTGTTTTTAGGAAGTTTAGCAGAGGGAGATGTATGCACCCATAAATCTGCACTTGACCCTTGTCCTCCTCTTCCTTCATCGTTTACACACCATGTCACTCCCTGTCCAAAACCCACTCCTGGGACTTCGGCAATTGAAACACAAAGCAGCAGCTGTTTGGCAACATTTCTAACCCTAAACAGCAAATGCAATGAGATTTCATTTCAGTAAACATGCAGACCTTCCTCAGTGCCGAGCGAAACAATAGCCACTCATTTATGGGTAAAAGACATTGCAGGAGAGGGGGAAGGAAGCAAATATACTCCAGCACAAATGCATTTGCTCAACTTTTTTTTACCACCGGAGCAAAGTGATCGGAAATAAGGAATGGAAGCTCATTTTGCATTGTATTGCCATCTATAAATGGGAAGATTGCCTATGGGTATCTTTATTGTACAGCTCTGTTCCAATAAAGGCCATATAGCTGCTGGCACATTTGGTGCTACCTTTTAAGAGTCTCTCATCTTCCCTTGTGCTGTGCCATTTCCCAGAATAGGAGAAAGACTCTCGCAAGGCCCGGCACACATAAATACTGCAGGTCCAATTTGGGACTGCTGCATAAAGTCAAAATGAGGCGGATGCTGTCAAAAGACACCACTGGGATCATTCCCTCCTCCGCCTCCCTTCAATGATTTAGCACAAAATACAACTTCACAGCAAAGCATGCCAAGTAGGAGCCTTGGGGAAGCACTCGCTGCATTGCTAAAGCATCCCCTTCTAAAGGATCCATTCCTTCCTGTGCAGCCAAACCCATCAGATGGCAAAATGGATGCTTCACAACAACCTCAGCCTCCTCTCTTATGGACCCAAATTGGATGGGAAACCAGTCCCGAGTACAGAGAAAACAACCTCCCCCCCATTTTCTTTTTCAGGCAACCCTTTATGATTATGCCACATATATAAATTATACCTTTATGATTATACCACACACACACATATATATATAAAGGGAGCTCTCCTCCTCCCTCCCCCCACATTAAAGAGACAATTCCCCATAAAGCATCCTCTGAAGAGGGGCGATGGTGAGCACCTACCTCCCCATCCTCCCTGGACTCAGGCAACCTGTCAACCGGCGAGGGCAGCCCGCCCCCGCCCCCCGCCTGGATGCCAGGTTCACAGGCATCCACCCCCACCCCACCCCAGAGAAGAGACCCTGCGCTCGCTCCCCCTCCCTTCCTTAACCTTCTGCTCCAGAGCCTCCCCCCTCCCTTCCCAAGCGGGGCGCCCGCGGGGGGGGGCTGAGCGGGGCAGGAGCGCAGAGGGGGCGCCCGCGCCGCTCCTCTCCCAGCCCGTTCCTCCGGCTGCCGAGGTCTCCCATCTGCTGCCGACCCGAGAGCTTTTACCCCGTGGCTGTTACCTCACTGTCCTCTCTGCCGGCGCTGCCTTAGCTGGGCTCCATGGACCGGGCGGACAGGCTGGGTGGGAGGCTGGGAAGACGCGCGGCAGCCTCCCTTTTCGCTGTTTCAGCTGCAGCTGGCCAAGGCTTCTCTCTTTCGCCCGCCCCCCACAAACCCACCCCCCTTTTTTAACAACGTCCTCGCAACGAGACTGTCAGGCTCTGCCCGGCTGACAACGAGGGCGAGCCGCTCTACGTGCCGCTTCAACGCGCGCCCTGCCCTGTCGTCGCTGCTGCTGCTGCTGCTGCTGCTGTCTGGTGTCTGAGTATCCCTGGTATCTCTCCGTCTCCCTCACACACACACACACAGAGGGGGCGGGAGGGAGGGAGGGAAGGGGCGGAGCAGTAGGAAGCCGAGCTGTGCCCGCCTCCAAATTGGTGCGGGGGGTCCGTGGTTCCAGGGCGCATGCCCGCCGTCTCCAAGCGCGAGAGGCGGGCTTGGCACGCGCCGCCGCCGGTCACCCCCCCCCGGCACGCGCGTTAAGCAAGCAAGCGCCAGCTGCTTAACTTCCCACCCTCCTTGTACAGAAACGTCCTCCTGACATGAGGAGCATTTTGGCTGCGAAGGGCTCGGGGGTCGTTCAGGGCGGCAGAGGAGAAAGAGGGCGCGGGGAAGGTGGAGCGGAGCTCCCAAGGGAGACGGAAAGAGGCGCGGGGGGGGGGTTGCGGCTGGTTGGGGGGGAGAGAAGGGTGCAGGGAGAAAATGGCCACGGAGAGGGGAAGCCTAGGGACCTCTCGGTTGCAAATCTGGTTTGGGGGGGGGGGAGCATAAATCCGTTTTGCTAGAGGCATAAAGCAGGGGTAGGCAACCTAAGGCCCGTGGGCCGGATGCGGCCCAATCGCCTTTCAATATGGCCCGCGGACGGTACGGGTATCAACGTGTTTTTACATGAGTAGAATGTGTCCTTTTATTTAAAATGCATCTCTGGGTTATTTCTTGGCCATAGGAATTCATTCATTATTTTTTCCAAAATATAGTCCAGCCCACCACATGGTCAGAGGGATGGTGGACCCGCCCACAGCTGAAAAGGGTTGCTGACCCCTGGCATAAAGGGTCTGTATTGTGCATGCATTTGGCAGCGTCCTTCAGGGAGAAGGGAGGTGTCTTGGAAAGAAGTTAATTGTAAATTTGGGCCTGCTCTGCAGGGTGGGTTGCACTGCAGATGGATATGAATAGCAGAGGAGAGGAAAGCTGAGGAGTAAAGAGGGGAAGTTTGCTCTGCATTAAGACAGCCTGAGACTGAGGGGGGGGGGGGGTTCTGGCGCAGAAAGGTACTACTGAAAGGTTAAGGATTTGAAGATGACATCTCTAATATTCTGCATTATAGAAAAAGAATTTGGGATTGTGGCAGACCAAGCTACTCTAATATAAGGAAAGATACGAAAAGTTATAATGTATTCTTATGTTTGGTTTTATGTTCCATTACATAGCACACATTTAGTAATTGCAGTTTATATCTTCATGCAGTGTAACATTTTGGAAGGTGGGTTGCTGTCTCTGTGGTTGGAATGCCTCTTGAGATAAGGCCAAGCTTGGCACAAGCGTTCCCGAGGAGGGGACAAGGCTCTTCATCCTCATTTTGACACCATTTTGAATCAAGATGGCAGACTGAAATGTGTCTTTGGCATCACTGTGCCCTTTTTTGGCATAGTTTTGGCTGCCTCTTGATATGTCATCGCCAAACTTGGTGTGAACGTTCCCAAGATGGGAGCAGCAGCCTTCGTCAGTGTTTGGATTCTGGGTGCCAATATTGAATCAAAAATAATATTTTTATATGACATTCATTAAATATTTTAAAACTCTGCTTCGTGGTCTCTGTGCCCTCTTGTAACACACTAAAATCTGTTATATAGACTGTCATAAGCATTTGTGAATATAGAAGAGGGTGCCGCAGCATGGGAAGAGTGTGTTTGATTTTTTTTCTTTTTACCCTTCAGAGTTAGTTATTAGCACCAGGTAATTGTGATTTACATTACTCTACTTGTTTGTAAATAATTTCAGTTTTTGCCATAATAGTTTCTGCCAATGCTCTGGCTTTTTTGGACTATAGCACTAGTGTAGGGCTGCCATACGTCCTGATTCTCCAGAACATGTCCTGGAATTGCCTGGATTATTTTCTTGAAATTGGGCAAATGTCCTGGAAAACCAGCAACGGGGGTTAAATCGTGCCGAAAATGCCTAAAAAAAGCTCCCAAACTCAAAAATTCTTGTAGCTCAACAACTTCTGGGGTATCCTGATGTTTTACTTTTTGAAATATGGCAACCCTACACTACTGACTTTCCTAGCCTATCAGTTTGCACCATATATATTTAGCATATACACTTATTTTAAGATGGCCATATTTTTTGTAAAGTCCATCTTAGAAAGTTTGGTACATTAATCTTGATTTTGTTTACTAATATTACATAAGCTTGCCAACTACATATAGTTGGGTTTTTTTAGTTCCATCATTGATTCTATAAAAATCAGGCAATGATTGCTCTTCCAATTTGCTGTTTCATTTAAGCACTTGAATGATCTTCACACAGTACATTTTGAAATAATCAGTGTCAGAAGAAAAAAAATGACTAAAGCAGCTTAGGTATGGCTTGGTGACATGTCTGAATTGACAAGCTATGGTTCACAGTCAGCAATCTATGGTTTGGTGTGATTATGACCATTGTTCAACCACCAGAAGTCATGCCATGGGCCTGATTCGAGGTCAAACCACAGCGAGTTCTATGTTAGGATTACTGTAGTGTGTACGGTATAAGGCCTGAATTGTGCCACTGTGTCATTGATTGCTTTATTCATTTCAAGATTTTCATCCAAAGCTTTTTCCATAATTACATTCTTTTATAAACTAGCAAAGTAGAAAAGGGTTAGGCGGGTAATCAGGCTAACAGGGTTGCAAGAACATACACATGGTCATAGTTATATAGGGACTCATAAATAAATGTGATTGTACTTTTTAAGGCTATGAGATGTCCACTGTTCCTTACAATATAATTACTGTATCTTCCAGCACCTCTGCTATGTATACGTTTGTGTTGATGCTGTTTATAAATCAAAGCAATTTCAAAGGAGTGACTCTTCCAAATAAAATAACTATATATACAGTTATTAGATGAAGTTACAGCAAATTGTTAAATAAGGTGTATATAATTGCCACAAGGATTGTGACTGTTCTAGGTTTTCTGAACATTTGATAAATTTTGGGGTCACTGCTCTATGGAATAGCCAAATGCTGCCCATAAAGAAAAGACACCCAACACACACTTCAAATATGACGGAAATAATCAAATCTTTCTGTGGCCTGAGGGACCATGACCTTAATTTAAAATCAATCAAAAAAGCCTTCTGTTGTTGGTGGCTGGTTGCCCTATTCATATGTCTAATGCTGATGTTCTCACAAGCCTGCCATGGTCAATTTAATTGAAAAGTTGAGGCGCGTCACTTTACTGTACATGTCTTGGGGAAAGCAAGACATATCCCCAAGCTTTAGCATGTGGCAGGGAGAGATTATTATTTCTTTATATGAACTTACTATATTACCTACATTACTGATAATGTGTATTATGTGTGCATCAGCAAATATATCTCATGGCATGAAATATCTGGGGCATTTTTTTTATATCGCCCAAGAATCCTCAAATGCTAAATTTTAAAAATAAATCCTAAAGTGAGCTAAATCACAATAGAACCCTAAATTATAATTATGAGATTGAAATAAATAAGGAAAATAAAGTATCTACCCATTTTGCAATTCCCATGAAGTGTGAAGAGTGCACATGTGTAGATTTAGCCACGTGCCTCTGAAAACAAAATGCATCACAAGTACAGGTCCCATGTTTTCCTTTATGAGTATTATTTTGTATGAAGATGGTATGTGCCAGATTCTACATATGCAAGAGCCTTTCACATGCCTGTGTCTTTTTTGTATTTGAGTATGGGTGAGGAAGTGTTTCCCCTTCTCCTGGTTTTACTAATTAAATGAACACTCTCAAAAACCTTTTTATAAATTCAACCTTGATCCAAAATATCATGCTGCTCTAGGAGCCCAAGCAACTGAATATTAACTTTTTGAAATGCAGGTTCTGTTGTTGGGTTGCAGAGGGAAAGAATCACACTCTACATCTAGGTGGAGAAGTATGTGCGCTATTTCTAAATGCATAGTGTCCTGAGTAGGAGGCAATTTAGTAGGGATTATAAATGCAAACTGCAGCAAAGGAACAGAATGTGCATACAAAATAAACACATTACAAATTCAAAGACTAGGTTACAATATGGCTGGCTATGCTCCTTCCATGTGCTGGGTAATCTTGGGGAAATGAGCATTCTAATGTGTCATGTTCTACATCCAATTTTGAAAATTCACTGGAAAAATCTTGTGTTAGATGCAACACAAAATCATCTGAAGTTGTCAGGATCTGTAACTCTATACAGTACTCAAATACTCAGAAGTATGGAGCAGTTTCTTATTGCCCAATTCAGGCTCCAGAATTCATCTGAGCCAATAGAAGTTACTCTTTTTTTTGTTTGTTTAATCCCCATGGCTTCAAATACAGCTACTCTGACTTAACTGCCTTGCATGCAATCTTGATTTCTGGAAGGCTGACCATTCCTGGTTCAATGCTGATAGGAGCCCACAGTATGCCAGATTCTTTTAAGTAGAAAAGAAGGAAATCCCAAGGAAGAAAGGGACTTACGCGAGAAACAGCATAATATAAAATGACAAAGGTAAGTGGATACAGGATGTCAAATACAAGAGTTCGTTTTTAAAAAGGAAACATTTTCTTTAAAAGCATGTTAACAAAATAACATAAATGATGAGAAACAACCGTCTTCCCAGAAAATATACCATGGCTCAAAGCTTTCCATCTCTGGAGCAAATGCTTTTATATACTCCAGTAAACCATGAATTATATAGTAATTTAACTCCAAGCACATTCATAATTTCCCATTAGGGGGCAAGGAGAGTTTCTTCCCCTTCCTTTTTAATGGGGAAGTAGAGGAAAGGACAGGTCATACTAAGGGTATGACAACTTGCATCCTTTCCCTTCACTCATCAGGCCAACAGACACACTCTTGCACTGAGTGAGTTGTATCACTTGGGAGAGACCCATCGTAGAAACACCAACATAAATTAGATACAAACATCTCAGCTTCCCTATATCCAACCATCAAGTCCAATATGTGTATATTTATCAAGCATTTCATATAAATGAAACTATGGGAGTTTGTAAAGATTTTATGTGGTTCTGGCAAGAAAATAAAACATTTGGTGATAACTTGCAATGATGAGTCCAGGAAATTGTCCAACATATATTGCGCGTGTTATTAATTTTCAAATATATTAAAAGTATTTTGAAACCTGTTTTGGTCATGCAGCTGTTAATATGCATTAATAAAATGTGAGGATGATCAGAGTAACACATCAGGTACTGATGATTCTCTTATGTGACCTTCAGTGTTAAGCAAGCTGAGCACCCGCAGCTTATATAAATTGTTCACACATAATGTAACACTTCTGTTACATGTTGACAGACTAGCTTGGAAGTTATAAAAATAGACTAGTAGAAAATATGGTGGGAAAAAGAATGCAGGCCTAACTAAGCAGGCCTGAAAAGAATCAGAAAGCAGGACTCAAAAACTTATATGTAATCCCTAAGACATACTAGCAGCTGACAGCTATCAAACAGCCAGAAAAGAATCTATCTATATACATTCATAAAAAGCACATGTGGTATACAATGTAAACGACATATCACTACAATGAATCAAAACAACTTTGAAAACTAGTTGGGTTGTGTTTTTTTAAATAAAAAACACACATTCCAAAATAGTATAGTTTTTAAAAGACAGCTAGAAGAAAGCAGGAAGGACATCTGTACCTCTTGTGGCAATGAGTTCCACAGGGCACGACCTGCCACACTAAAGGCTCAGTCTCTGATAAAGGCAGACTGAACTTCAGGTGGGTGGGGGAACCATCAAAAGGATGTCTCACTGGCTGAGGTGGAGCACAGGGAATCAAGTGGTTCTTACATCACATTAGGCCCAAGTTATTTTAAGGTTTTGTGATTTAACACAAGAACCTTGAATCTAGCTTGGTAGCAAACTCGCAGCCACCATGGCTTTCTCAGCAAAGAAGTAGCATCTTCATCAGCTCAGAAGCTTTATCTAATATTCATAGCACAAGACATATATTTAGGGAGCTGTTCTGGGCAGCACTTGAACAGCCGACTGCATGAGCCAACAATGGCTTCCTTTGCCAGCCAGAAATATGACTGGGACATGGATTCCAATTTACGAGTCAACTGGCCTTCCTGCATCAATTGTAATCTTTCATGGGGGAAAAACATGTTCTTTCTGAAGAGAGATGCTATAGTGAATTTGCTTATGTATTTAAACTGTTTACTGTAGTCAAAGGCAATCCAATTGTCCCCTGGGGAAACCGTTTCATTTGCCAATGCAGGAAATCATGGACATGGGCCATTTGGCAATTGCTGTTGTAAAAAAATATTAAGGGGGAAGCTCAGGAATCACAGCCTGTGTGTGAGGGTGTATGTGTGAGTGTGAGAGAGAAGTATTTGTGTCAATGAGGTGTTTTCAAGGTGCTCTTTCTTAGTCACCCATCCATCTTCATAACATACTTGAAACACCATTCTAATGAAACAATTGTCATTGTTTCGGTTGCTCATTTACTATTTCTGCTTTTGTTTTTTAAACACCTCCTTACAAATTGCTGGGAGAGATTTACTTGGAAGACTAGAATATATATTCTTCTAGATCATCTGGATTTTTGATGCAGCATCAGGAAGCAATTATTTTTTAATAGTGTAGTGAAGCTGGAGTCTTCAAATTAAATCATTTCCCATAACTTTTCAAAGAGAATGGTTGCTTGTCATGTCGCAAGTGCTCAGTCATAACAGCTGTTGCTTCCACCAAGCAAAGCCCTATGAAATATTTGTCACCAAATGAATGCCATTACCTAATGGCATGATTATTACAAGCAAAGGATCACCTCACACAAAGCAGTGAAGAAGACTTTTGTATTGGTTTGTCAGCCAGCGACAACAGGCTATAGGGCAAGGGTGTGCATCCCCCGGGTTAAATTTGACATTGATATTGAAATTGCCCTCCAAAAAAAGAATCCAACCCAATGACGTTCTGATTGATGAAATAAGGCCAGATGATGCCCAGATGGTTTGTAGATTGACATTGGCCGCCTGTACACATCCAAATCACTTCCATGTGCCTCTGCTGAAAATTTGTGCTGGGCTAATCAGAGTCTGAATTTTGAGATGTGTGAAAGTACAGTAAGTGAAAAATACCTTCTCAGTCAGCACACAACCTTCTGAAAAGAAGAGCGTGACAGCAATAATGTGACATCAATAATGGTTAGCTGGCTTACTAATAACAGAATCAGCCCCTACGTTACAAATTGAATGATCTCTGCTGTTGCACTTCCAACAGCTATTTTTAAATTTTTATTGCAAGCCCCCTTGGATGGGCATTACCAAGAGAAGTGACCTGGAAATGTTTTAAATAAAAATAAAAGCTTTCTAGGGGAACCCCCCAATGGCGTAAAGGTAAAGGGATCCCTGACCATTAGGTCCAGTCGTGGCCGACTCTGGGGTTGCGGTGCTCATCTCGCTTTATTGGCTGAGGGAGCCGGCGTACAGCTTCCGGGTCATGTGGCCAGCATGACTAAGCCGCTTCTGGCGAGCCAGAGCAGCACACGGAAACGCCGTTTACCTTCCCGCCGGAGCGGTACCTATTTATCTACTTGTACTTTGACGTGCTTTCGAACTGCTAGGTTGGCAGGAGTAGGGACCGAGCAACGGGAGCTCACCCCGTTGTGGGGATTCTAACCGCTGACCTTCCGATCGGCAAGTCCTAGGCTCTGTGGTTTAACCCACAGCACTACCCGCGTCCCTGGAAATGTTTTAAATAAAAATAAAAGTAAGCTTTCTAGGGGAACCCCCCAATGGCATAGCATTCAATTATTACAGAGAGGAAGTCAGCCATCTCTCTTTTCAGGCTCACTTTCAAGACTGCCTAGCTATTGTTTGCTTTCATACACACAGACAGACACCTGGCTGATGTCACCTCCAGACAGGGGAGGGCAAGGCAAGAAAGAGATACCCCTTTGTGCTAACTGACCAGAAGGATCTCTAGCTATTTACTTTCTGTAGGAACCCATTTCCCTGGCTTATAATACAAAGTGGGTACTTAACTGACCAAGCAAGGGTATTTATGTCACAAAGAAACAGCCCCCTTTTCCTGCAGAATCCCATATTTACAGCTGTAAAATCAAAAGGCAGGAGGAGACTCCAAAAACCCATTTAGTCCAACCCCAATCTCATTGCAATGCATAGGAGAAGCTCCAGTTTTAAACTGCTGCTATTTTATATTTAGGACATTTATTTACTGGCAATCATTTTTCTAAAGTGATAATTATACACAGCATTTTACCCGATATGTATAAATGGTTCACTGTGAAAAATCTTACATGTAAATTAATGAGAGTTCCATTTCATGGTCTAGATTTGCATTAGTCCATCAGTTTATAATTTTCCCATCCCTGTATATAAAAACCCTTCAAAACCAATGCATGAAATCTCAGAGTATGCTGGCACTAGTGAACTGTTATGTGACAGCTCCTACAATCAGCATAGCCTCTAAATGAGTAATATTCATTGCGCCTAGCAGCTAATGTCATGGTGATGGCACATGACATTACATTATGATGCAAATACAGAGTGATCCAAATAGCTCATAATATATCAAACAAATAATGTATGTAAAAACGATCCCGGTAACACATGATATAAATAAATTTGTTATGACTGAAATGATATACAATTTAAATGTCACATCCATTCCTCAAAAATTGAGGCTAGAAGACGGCGACCTTTCGCATGGTGCCCTAATCATCCCTAGGCACATTGTATCTTTATGAATTTATTCCTACATTTCATCAGAGTACATAGCCCAAGCAAAGGAAGCAAGTGACCCATGATCTAAATTTCTTTTAAAAAAAAATAACATTATAAAAATATGGCAATATCAATATTTTATTGCAAGGGCAACCCAAATGCAACTTACTCTGAAAACCCATTCAACTCTATGAAGTCCCCCTTGCAAATCAGTTTGGAATCTTTATCTTTACAAATGTCATTTACTAACATGATGGGTAAGATCTAATCAAAGGAGACCAGACAACAAAAAATACTGGGTGAAAATGAAAGCTTCATTCATAGGTTAGTGTGCTTTTTTAAAAAACATAGTGCATGTTTACTGCTGACATCTGCATAGAGAAACCAAGTAGGGAAACATAGACACCAAATAACAATGAAGGTCTGGAAATGTTGCGAGGATGAAAGGTGCCGATGGTGTTGCAGTCTTGCTAATTATTGTCTCAGATAGAATGCTCCCTAGATTACTATAGTGGTACCTCAGGTTACATATGCTTCAGGTTACATACACTTCAGGTTACAGACTCCGCTAACCTAGAAATAGTACCTCGGGTTAAGAACTTTGCTTCAGGATGAGAACAGAAATCGTGCTCCGGCGGTGCGGTGGCAGCAGGAGGCCCCATTAGCTAAAGTGGTGTTTCAGGTTAAGAACAGTTTCAGGTTAAGAATGGACCTCCGGAACAAATTAAGTACTTACCGAATTTTTCGCTCTATAGGACGCACCGGATGATAGGACGCACCAAGTTTGGGGGACAGGAAAACAAGGAAAAAAATATTTTGAAACCCAGAAGCCAGAACAGCAAGAGGGATCTGGCTTTTGGGATACTGTGTGGCTGTTCTGGCTTCTGGGATAACCGCGCCAAGCGTCTTCAGGGCAGCAGGATGAAGGCTCCGCCTGCCCGAAGAGGCTGCACGCAGCTAAGGCAGAAGCCAGGGCAGACGCGTCGCTGAAGGGGTGCTGCACAGTTTTTTCTCTCTGCGCAGGGCCTCTCCTGTGAAGGAGAGGCGCTACGCAGAGAGGGAGAACTGCGCAGCGCCCCTTCAAGCGAAGCTGGAGAAGGAAAAAAGGAAAAGGAGACCCTTCTGTTCCTCCTCCAGCTTCACAGGACAGGCGCGTGGCTGAAGGAGGACAGGCGGGCGCAGTTCTCCCACCTCCCGCAAAAGCCCGCAGAAGCCGCGCGCTCTTTAAAGGGTGTGTGGCTCCTGTGGGCTTTTCTACGAGGTGGGAGAAGGGACTGATGCGGCCAGTCAGTCCCTTCTCCCTCCTGGGGAAAAGCCCGCAAGAGCCGCACAGAGCTTGTGTGCAGCTCTTGGGGGCTTTTCCCGCCTGCCTCCCCCCTGCATTCGCTCCATAGGACGCACACACATTTTCCCTTGCTTTTTAAGAGGGAAAAAGTGCGTCCTATAGAGCGAAAAATACGGTAACCCGAGGTACCACTGTAGAAGCATATTCTCTTAACAAAGGCATGACGGGAGTGATTTCCCCAGGTACAAAATGGTCCTGGAAAAGCCCATCAAGGGTGAAGCTACAGGCACAAAACTCCTGTGTAAGGAGTGCAAAATAAATAAGTAGATGAAATGGATATATTCCCCAAACTTTAGATGTTTGGTCTTGGCAGCTTTTGAGAAGTAAATTGAACAGTGTGAATTAGAAAAGCTGCACATGTAACTGTCATTTAGAGAATCTGGCATTTGTTCAGTGTTGTTAACTAGAACTTCTTGAGGGCATGAAGAAGCAATTTCTCATTGATTGTATGTGTGTGTGTGTGTGTGTGTGTGTGTGTGCCAGGAGGGTATTTTTAGACTGACTCGCAGTTGCTATATTACTGAAATAAGAAGGGTAGGCTTCCACATTTTTAGCTGCTTTTTAAATATAATCTCTTCTTTGGTGTGGCCTTTCAAAATGATCATGGACAATATATGTGCTCTCTTGTCTCTCTCTCCATTATTTAAACCAATCATAAATAGCATCCCTAAGAGCAGGGAAAACCTTCATCCATAACTACTAAGGCCTGGAAATCTTTGGAGACAAAAGACTGGAAACTGCAAAGGAAACAATACTGCTTTTGTTTGCTTTGCTGGTGTGTTAAATCTGTTACAAATGGAGCATAAAGCTTGTCATATAACCTCAAAATGAACAGCTCTTTGGCTTTTTTTTTTTTTCAAAAAAAGAGCATTAAAGTACATTAGCTTTGTGTTGCCTGCTGACTACACAGCAAGAATAAGCACATACATAAAAACATTAAAACTGAATCATAAGACCATAGGTTAATTTCATAGAACAGACTCCAGACACAGTTGTCATAGTTCCATCATAAGCAGCTGCCTCCTTGTTGGAAAAACTGGTGCACCATTAATACAAAAGCTGCAAATGCTACAGAGGGCAGAGATCCCAACAGGACAGAGGGAAGAAGGTGGTTTTTGAGGTATAGTGAGATGAAGCGATTGAGGGTCACAGAATTAAAACTAGAATCAGCAGTTCTGCACAGACGGCTGTCAGTAAATGCTGAAGCTCTAGTGCAAGGCAGTCCAGCCTCTCATACCAAGTGGGCTACAAGAGCACTTCCACACAGAACCCGGGGCAGGGGGCACACACTGAAATACATTTCCCTCTTTAGGGAAGTTTTTAATGTGTGACATTTTAATGTATTTTTAATCTTTGTTGGAAGCCGCCCAGAGTGGCTGGGGAAACCCAGCCAGATGGGCGGGGTACAAATAAATAAATTAAGAGTAATAATAATAATAATAATAATCACATAAATTAAAGTGTTTGCAATATAGTTAATATAAGTGTTTTTCTTTTTTAACTGTTCCTGAGCATGAACTGTATTTTTGGTTCACTTTGGTACAGACAGAACAAAGGCTAGTTGGGGTTGTTTTGAAATATTTACCTTGGATGGAGCAAATATGAAGGATGGCATAGGATGTAGGTGAACCATTCACATGTCTTCGTATACATGATCTTAAACCTATGGAATGACGTTAAAAACATATTTCCAGATATATCACTTTTGGATTTTCTTGACTATACACAACATGAGCCTGGGTAGTATTAGATATGCCTAACCCCTTTGATTTTAATAGGGACCACTAACTCTGGATAGGATTGGGCTGAAGGGGCTTAATAATAATAATGCCCTTTTCCAAGGTAATAAATAATAGTGTCTTTTTCTAAATTTTGTGGATGTTGGATGGTAGAAATTGAATGCTTCTTTTGTGAGGCATTTCCTTTTTGGAATGCACATTTTGCATTTTAACTAAACTTGATTGAAAATGCTCTGCATATTGCTTGTTTTATTCTCCCAAGTTGGAAAAATAATAAAGTTTTATTAAAAAGAGATATCTATACAGGATCAGGATGGTGCCTGCAATCTCTCTCTCTCTTGCCTTGACACACAGATGTGCTGCAGAGTTACTAGACTGGCTGGCTAAGTGAGCATTCTTGGCTTGCGCCCAAACAGGCCCTCCTCCCTTCTTCCCTTTGCCCTATGGATGCAACATCTTCCATATAAGAAAAACCTTAACATCTCGCAAGGAAGTGTGAATGTAACAGTGGGAGGTGAGCAGGGTGCATGCTCTCTTCCAGCACAAAGCAGCATGGTTCCCTTATTTAATTAACTTGCACCTGCTGTCTTATTTCCAAGGACTGTGCCTATTTTGCGCTACAGACCAACTGGCGGGCTGCAAGGTCACATTACAAAAGCATGCCCCAATCAGAGAAATACGGCAAAGCTTGTATTTCCAGGTCTTGTCATTGTGTTGCTTATAACGTACATGTGTGTGTGTGTGTGTGTAAAAGAAATAAGCTGGCAAAATAAGGCACCTTGCGTTCCAAATCCTAAATTCAGCTGTTGAATTGCAGTGTGTTAAACTCCTTACCATAATAACTGTTAACTGAAGGCTGAACATTGATTTTAGAAATACAGTGGTACCTCGGGTTACATACGCTTCAGGTTACAGACTCCGCTAACCCAGAAATATTACCTCGGGTTAAGAACTTTGCTTTAGGATGAGAACAGAAATCGTGCGGCGACAGCGGGAGGCCCCATTAGCTAAAGTGGTACCTCAGGTTAAGAACAGACCTCCAGAACGAATTAAGTTCTTAACCCGAGGTGCCACTGTAAAATAAAATAAAGGTCTTATTGTACCATCATCTTCAGGCTGCAATCCCATGCACCAAGAGTAGAGAACATTTGTCCTTCCAAATGTTGCTGAACCACAACTCCCATCAGCCCTAGCAAATACAACCAAATGAGAATTCAAGGAAGTGCAATGAGTGCCCATCACAAATTGGCTGCCATAGGACATAAAGACTGCCACATCTTTAAAAAAGGAAGAAAAAAGGCAGACCACAAAATGATGCAGGCATGACCCTGCCCCTCACCCCTTCAACTGGGGGAGGGGCAATTACATCTGCTGCCACCCTGTTCACTCACAGAGAAAAGCTCTTTGCACTTCTCCTCTATTCAGAACAGATGGGAGGGTGGGCATCAAATCCTGGCATCCAATGAAATGTGAGCTTATTGAAGGGAGCTGTTCAGCGTAGGAGAGGCTGAGGCAGTGCAAACAGGAACTGAGCAGAAAAAGCAAACTCTTCTGTATTGTGGATTTTTAAAGAAAATATTTACAGTGGTACCTCGGGTTACATACGCTTCAGGTTACAGACTCTGCTAACCCAGAAATAGTGCTTCAGGTTAAGAACTTTGCTTCAGGATGAGAACAGAAATCGTGCTCCGGTAGCACGGCAGCAGCAGGAGGCCCCATTAGCTAAAGTGGTGCTTCAGGTTAAGAACAGTTTCAGGTTAAGTACGGATCTCTGGAACGAATTAACCCGAGGTACCACTGTACTGCAATTTTTCACAGGTGCCAAAGGAGGTACTGATGGGCACACTTGCTCCCACGGACTCCATGTTGACAACCCTGGATATACAAGGTTCAGAAGAATTTCAGACCACTCCTTAAAGTGCCTGAATTCAACTGCCCTGTTTCAGTTATCATCGGTGTATTATTACGTCCAGTTATTTGATCTCTTTCTTCTGGAAACGTATGTAAAAGTACATGACTCTCATATCGCAGCAGCATCAAGTTGCTAACAGTAGCCAATTGCAGAAATCTCTAATTTAGGAAGAGTGAAGTTAGAGCCAAACTGCCTTACAATCAAATTATGTTAGCCATTCTTCAAAGTACATGGAGAAAACGAAACATCAGAGGATGTGCTGGGGACAGTTAATGACATTATAAAAATTACTATAAATATCATTTGAAATCACATCAAATACGATATATCAAATGCATTAATGTAGCAGATGCATTTTGTGCCGGGGGAGTAAAGAAAGATAGCCCTATGGATGTGTGATACCATGAAATTACATTTGCATAATAGAAAGTGAATGTTCCCTTCCAGAGCTCAGTAGTAAAGCCTTCATATAGTCAGTAATGAACAATGATGCTTTCGAAGCAGAATCTACAACATCATCCCATGCATTTCATTGAGAAATAAGTTCCTCTGGGGCAAATGCCACTTAAATTCCCAAACAAGTGTATTTAAGATTGCAGGCTTTTGTGTTGCACCATTTCCTCATTAGCACTAGATGAACAATTTGCAATAACAAACTTATTAAACAATATTCCTTTTTACCAGTATCCATGGTGAAAAGCAATTTCCTTAGACTTGTGTAAATTGTTGTACGAAGTGATTATGTAATTGGGGACAGTGGAAGTGGGAATCAGACACCTAGGATGCATCTTCATTCTAGATTCAGAATGCATCTTCATTCATGGGGGCTCTTTCTATCGGCCCATATGGGACCAGCATGGGTGGCCGGGCCTAGTGAACTTTTAATTCCTTACCCTACAGTTATGATTTGTGGGTTCCCACTTAATTTTATTTTGATTTTCAATGTGATTCAAATTGTATTTTAAACTAATCATTTGGTTTTGTGTTTTTAATGTATTATATATTTGGTGTTAGCCGCCCTGAGCCCGGTCTCGGCCAGGGCGGGCGGGGTATAAATAAAAATATTTATTATTAATATTTATTATTATTGTTTCAGAACGCATCTTCATTCTAGATCCATAATGCATCTTCATTCTAGATCCATAATGCGTCTTCATTCTGGATTCAGAATGCATCTTCATTTCCTATGAAATCTGCTGCTACTTCCATTTCTAATTTTATGTCCAGAGATGCTAGCTACCATGAGAACAACATGATCATGGCTCCCATTGTGTTTCTAGATGCCGTTGGACCTGTTTGTGACAAGGTCCAGGATATGAAACCTGACATTCTGAAATTATTTTGTATTATTGAAACATTTGCCTTTGTACATTTACATATGTAACACAGTGTATTCTTGTAACTTTTTTCTGTTGTTGTTTTAGCTTTCTATATATCACTTAGTAATATTTTTATATATTAAATGGTATAGAAATTGTCTAATTACAATATGTGTCCCTTTGTAAATAAATAAACAAAAGATTGAAATCTACCAGTGCTTACTCTGTGCGATGCATTTATACACCTGGGCATGTAGTCCCTAGGATCCTTTACAAAAGAGATCTTAGAGATCCCTGTGTGATTAAGTGTCTCTTAAAAACATCATAGAATTTAGGGGTTACTAAAGGAAATATCACTTGCTCCCCACTCCACCCCTCTCTCTGGAGGGAAACGCAAGTCATTATATTGTAATATTTGTTTATATTGTTGGTGTCTCAAGCAGAAGGAGCACAATAAAGGCATAGTGAAAAGAACATATTGTTTATTTTTTTATCAGGCTTTCCTCATACTGGGCTTAGATTTCTTCCGCCAAAAATTTTGGAGAATGTTTGCACTTTTTCAAATGGAAAAGGAGATGAACAATTGAATTATTAATTCAGTTAAGGACACATTTGGAAACAGATGAGGAAAATTTGATCCATGGTGAACCTGAGAGATGAATGCACCTCGGCAAACCACAGTCTTTATTTCCATTACTTGCTTAGGACTCCTGGTAGTGAATAACTACTTTTTCATTCATTCATTAATAAATAAATGTTTGCATAATCTTTGTAGATGTGCACAGAGTCGTCTTGCATGCAGACAAGCAAAGGAATGAATGCACAGGTAGATCTACTAATGCCATTTGGGTTAGTGGTGAAACTCTTGACCACAATCCTAGACAGCCACATCACAGGCAGAGAAGAATACATGTTTAGAAGTGTTTTCAAAAGTATTTCACCTATAGAAGACCTATAGCAGACCAAAGCCTTCCTGGCTGCCTTTCCTCTAAACACAGACTTGCCTATCCAGTCAGGAGAATGGATGCAGCAAAAAAATTATATAAAACCCTGGAATGCAAATGTGTATCTTCTCTCCCTCCCCAATTGTCTAGATGGCAGCCATTATGGACAACAGACATCCACGTTTATTGGACTACCACATCCGTAAGAATTCCCTGGCTACTCGCCTTGTGCGGAATACACTATGAGAGGTTTCAAAACAAAGCCTACACTGCATTCTTCTGATGCGTTAAGACACTAGGTTTGGCATTATTATTTTTAAAAACCCTGTCTTTATTGCAATCTCCTTGTTCACTCTAGTGCTCTACAAAGGTCACCCGCTCCCTAGTCAGCTTGATAATAAGGATCTGTAAATCAATATTTATTTGACGCTGCACTGATTTCCTCTTAGGCATTATGTCCATGCTGTTAATCCATATTGATGTTTTTCCTGCAGTAAAGGCCGGTTTAAAACAGCAGTATGTGCAGACTGAGAGCAGCACAGCTACAAATGCAGCCATCGATAAAAGTGCATCACATGTTTAGCCAGAACTCTGAGGTCAGAGATGAATGAACATGAGACATTTCATTAGAACTCTCCATATTTGTTGGTTGGTAGGTAGGTAGATCACAGTACAGTGGTACCTCAGGTTAAGTACTTAATTCGTTCCGGAGGTCCGTTCTTAACCTGAAACTGTTCTTAACCTGAAGCACCACTTTAGCTAATAGGGCATCCTGCTGCTGCCGTGCCGCCAGAGCCCGATTTCTGTTCTTATCCTGAAGCAAAATTCTTAACCTGAAGCACTATTTCTGGGTTAGCAGAGTGTGTAACCTGAAGCGTATGTAACCCGAGGTACCACTGTAGTCTGTTCTTACTTTCCTTCCTGACAGTTCAGTGGGTGCATATGGGTTTCCTTAAGAATCAATTACAGACCTGGGGAACTACTCTGAAGTTTTAGTGTCTCCGTGTGGGATTCACTAGCAGACAAAGACCAAGTATCAGGAGCCAGGATGATTTGTGACCAGTCAGGAGGCTGAAATTCTGCCATCCCTTGGCAGCAATGGAATCCATTATGAAACCTGATGAAGAATATGGTGAGCCACATTGGGATTTGACCTCACCTGGAAAAGGATCGTTTTATCTATAGCTCCCAGCCATGCAGTGGCAATCCAAGATTTCTTAAAGACAGGTCATTTCCAGACATTGGGTTGAACCAAATATTACGTTCTGATGCTGTGCTCATACTCTGCCTGCTTCCAGATTGTCTCATGCCCAAGGAAGGTTGCCACTCATCCCTAGAAAAACGTGATTGTCCTTTTTTGAGAGAAAAGTGTCCCTTGTCCTGTTTGGACTTCAAACAGGATGCCTTTTTTCACATATTCGAACTCCTCCTCCTCAAAACTGCACAGGCAGAGGGTGGGTCTGGTGAGAGGAGGAGAGCGAGAGCCTGAGTGGGAAATTTGTGCAGGCAGAGGTGCAAGTCTGCTCTATACAACACGTATTACTTTTTTAAGGGATTGGTTCGCTGAATCAAAATAAATAATGACTAAGCTCCTTTGAAAGCTCAAGCATTTGCAAGTATCCTGCAAACTATCAGAGCTGTGTTGCTACAGTCCATTGCAAAGTGTAGTGTAGCGTAGTGTAGTGGATTGTTCTCATTAAGCTGTTTTTCTTTACGTTGACAGAGCGTTTTATTGAAGTGACAGCTGAGTGGCTGTAGTGATGTATTAGATGTAAGGAGAGTGTGACTGTTAAAATATGCAGGGTTACGCGTTTAGATTAGTTTTGTGTACAGTGGTGCCTCGCAAGGCGAAATTAATCCGTTCCGCGAGTATCTTCGTCTAGCGGTTTTTTCATCTTGCGAAGCAACCCTATTAGCGGATTAGCGCTATTAGCGGTTTAGCGGCTATTAAAGGCTTATTGGCTTAGCGGCTTAGCTGCTAAAAGGCTATTAAAGGTTTAGCAGCTTAGAAAAAGGGGGGGGGGAGCGAAAAAAAAATCTCAAGACTTGCAAGACATTTTCGTCTTGCGAAGCAAGCCCATAGGGAAATTCGTCCTGCGAAGCGCATTGAAAAACGGAAAACCCTTTTGTCTAGCAGGTTTTCTGTCTTGCGAGGCATTCGTCTTGCAGGGCACCACTGTAATGTGCAAGCACACTGCCTTCCCCTGCAATTTAGGGGACTGGGGTTGTGCAACATCAGCACACCATGCACACACGCTGCAGGGCTTGCGCACATGACTCAAGCAAACCCATGATGTGCGCACAAGGCTGCTGCAGAATTTTGAGGGGGCCCAGCCCCCTCCTTGAATTATTTTTTGGGGGCCCAGATGGCACCCTTGGTAGTGTGATGATAGATAACAGTATAATCACCAGAATTACTCATATTAGTGTGGTCCCCATTTATGATATATATGAGATTTTCTATATATATCCTGTAATTACAGTGCATTTTGATGATTCATATACAATTTACATATGCACATTTATTTTACTTAGGAAGATTGATATATTTATTGTTGCTTGATTATTTAAAACGTGAAACAATGATGATGATGATGATGATGATTACCACCGCAATAGTAGTAGTAATATTTTTTCACATTGAATGTGGAATTTGCATTGTACCTTATTTATTTAATATTGATTTTACTGTGTAGGAGTGATATGTAAACCACTTAAGAGATTTCTGTTAAAATGTGAAGCAGGAAACAAGCTAAATAAATATAAATATGCTGGATTACAATGTGTTCTTTATAAAATCTTTTCCTTTGATCATAACATATTGAAGAACCAGATCTGATGGCATCTTTACAATACCCAGTTATTCTTTTTATTATTTGTAATGGTATCTTGGCACAGAGCCCCCTGGACAGAGTTAAAACTTATTTACATAACCACTTGCACAGTGGACAACACATGTGGAAAAAACATCTAAAAACTTGGACAAACATCCCCATTTGCTGTCAGGAATCTATGACGCCGCCATCTTGTTAAACATACACCTTTAGGCTGTCTTGGCATAAATGTTCTTCCCTGGGTGATCTGACGTAATTTGAGTGTCTAATAATAGGCTTTTGAGGTCAACAAAGCCATTGGAAAAGGCCCTAACAACCCTGAGACAAAGAATATAAAATTATCAGAGGTTTGCATGCATAGTTTTCAAAAATGACAGCAGCAGCGTTGGCTCTTATGTTTGGTGTTTGCAACATATAATGTACACTCAAAATATAATGAGAACGTTTATTTATTAGGATAACCAATCCACCAAGCAATTGCTTATGTTCATATGGTGTAATGAGATAACAAGCTTTTCTACAATAAAGACCCAACAGTGGAGGAGAGAAAAATCTGTGTTCCTGGACAGCAAAAATCTTAGGCTTTACAATTAGATCTTGAAGGAAATTTAGCTCCGAGTTCCACTCAGTTTGATGGGTCTTCAAAGTAAATAGGGCCAGACAGCTTCTTATTCCTCTTTAGTTATGACTGAACAAAAACTACATGTGCTTTTTTGTTCTTCTGTGCGCTTGTGTACATTCAATATTAAAAGAAAACTTATTATGCAAATATAACTGTTCTAAGTGGAATGAAGGATTTTTTGACAACAGTGTCAATGGGGTTCTGTGCATTGCAGACTATATAAATAACCAAGCGTTATCTTCCCACTGAGGCAAGGAGGATATGTATAATCTGGCAATTTTGGAGCCTCATTTTAACAGCTCCTGTTTTAATTAACAAATTTAATTTCAAATTATTAGGTGGCTCAGGAATAAAATAGCACAGCGTGTGCCTCCTTACATATTATTGTTATCAGTGGCACAGCAGGGCTCCAGTCAGCATTAAATATGAACAATGGATAAGTTACAGGAGCCATTCACCGGGCTCAGTCAGCAGGCAAGCATTTTGCTTATACCTGATAGAGGGATGGGGTGGGGGAAGGGAGGGGGAAATCCTTTGCAACCTCTTCAAAGTGCAGAGAAACGTATGAGGTAAACCGCGCTGATTACTAGGCTCAAAAAAGGCTAACATGCAATTTGTGTTCTTTTTATGTAGATTAAATGCATTCACCACAGCTCACAGAGCTTAGATTCTCAGCGGGGATTCAGAGGGGTTGAGTATCAGGCAGCCACAGTCGGGCGCTGAACTGCAGGGCGACAAAATCTACTATTGTGCATTAGAAATAGTCACTTAATCTATCTTAATGGATGAGAAACCCATGGGACAAGCGTGCATTAAAGTCGGCAAGTAAGTTGCGACATTTAAGGAAAGCTGTAAATATAGTTTTTGAGATAACACTTTGAAAGGTTATTAATGAGCCTGAAATCCTCTCAACAGTCTCTTTAAGCTGTGGCTAACTATGGAATTGTCACTGCCCACTCTCAACACAAGGAGAAGTGCTGTGTTAAGCGTTTAGGGTAAGGTCATACACACATGGAATAAACAAGGCACGGATGAGGCAGCTTTTCCTCGGGTGAACAGGAACTACAGCCAATTTGGATGCAGTTAAGTATACAAGATGAACTGATCTTAGTTCTCTGCTGATTATTGCAGTGGAAATACAAATAAGTGTGTATACCAATTTTGAACATGTGAGTATTTTGATATGATGACTTATTGAAGCTATTGGCACACTTGGGTAGGATTCAGTGTGCAAATTGAAACACAGCTCTCCTTCAAAGTTTTCACTTGCCCAAAGTCTGCAATGCAGTTTTCTAACAATTGCTTTTGGGAAATGTGCGTATTGCACAAAAACAGTAAAAATGCACATATTAGCAGGAAGTGCGCATAAAAACATACCAGCGAATATGCCACACGAAACACATTGTGTTGGAGGGAAATGCTTGCAAGAGGTGCCTATTGGATAGAACTGGATACAAAAGTGTATGTTAGGATAATTTAACAGTAAAATGCTGATAAATTTTCATATGGACATGGACAGACACACACACACCTGAAGTTGATGTGGAAATGTGGTAAACCAAACTTCATATAGGAAAACAGAGAAACAGCTAAAATTGCATTGCTTTATCATGCATGCCAACCATAGCTTTAGTGAAATCCAGCAAGCCAATGCTTATACACTGATGAGATGATGATTTTTTCTGTAAAGGAAAGCCCCAGAGTGGGGGGAGATGCTAAAAATTGGTTCATCATAGGGTGCAGGTGTTAAGTTGTGGGTGAACGTATCAGACGACACAGCGATTCTTCAACAGCTCTTGTTTATTCACAGGCCAGAACAGAACAGAACAGAACTGAAGGGTTCAGCCAGCCTGCTTATACAGAGCTCCACTACAACGCAACAGTAACAACTTTCCAGTCACTGAACGTGACTTTCAATTCCTTATTTGCATATGTGGACCTGAGTGAAAACTATCTACCGTATCCCCCTGCTGGCCCAGAGTGAAAACTTCAGTACATAACAGCAGGCACAATGTACAGCCTCATCTTTACACAGTTCAGGTTAAATGACCAAGGTGCAATCCAGATGCTCTCTGAGAGAAGGATACGGAGAGTGAGCGAGCGTCAAATGAAAATAAAATAGGTAAGAAGCAGGGCTGGCCCACCCATGAGGTGGGGTGAAGCAGCTGCCTCAAGCAATGGAAGTCCCTGAGGCAGTGCCCCCATGAGTGCCCCCTCTGCTCTGCTGCTGCTACCACCGGTGGAGAACCAATGCCAGCACCACTGGCATCTCTGCTGGCAGTGAAGGAGGCACAGTGGGCAGTGTGGAGGTCTGTGGCACCATTCACATAACAAAAACTACCATATCAACAATATTAAAAGTAGGGGGTCCGTGGCTTGGCTTTTGAAAAACAGTGGGTCCACAGTACTTAGCTAATTGGGAACCACTGTTCTAGATCCTTAGCCTTGTGTTAAACCCACTGACCTCTGCATACAGTGTCACAGTCGGTACAGCATGAGGCTCTTAATCTCAGGGTTGTGGGTTTGAGCCCCACATTAGGTAAAAAGATTCCTGCATTGCAGGGAGTTGGGCTAAATTAGGGCCATACTGAGCGTGGCCTGAAGCCCTGGTTGCATCTTGGCCAGCTTCCTGTCACAAAACTACCTAAGTAGGCACAGACTTGACTGCTCTCTTACAGCTTGGGTTTAACAGAGAACCTTTTAAGTTGGCCAGTTCTGGGAATGCATTCACCATCTTGCAGTGTAGTATTTATATTAATATGCAATTATTTTATTTTCAATCATATTTTTACTCATTTGAAAGCTGGGAAACGGCAACTGTTGATGCCTTATTCTCTGGAAAAGGAGAGGCTTTGGGGGAATTTTGCATGCTCAGAATTCCTGGCATTTGAGAAGCAAATTTTATTGTCTTTTCCCAATTTGTCTGAAGCAGTAATTTGCCCTGTCTTTTCCAGTTCACAGAAGCACTGATGTAAAAAGCCCAGAGTCTTCTGATACAACTGTTTGCTTCTATGGCATCATTTTCTTCCAGAGGAAAGGAGCTGCTGTTTCATTGTGTAAGCTCTGCTCAATTCTTCCCAATGGCAGTGAACTTAGATGCTGGAATGGCTGTGTGCAAAGGCTTAACCCTGTGTATTCCTTTCACACCTTTTCCTGATCCAACAGACATCACTGTAATGAAAGTATTTGACAAGCTCAATGTGATCCTACTGCTCTTTCCCTGACTAGTTCCATTAAACTTGTGTTGTTACTGTTCTTATTCTTATTTTATTTCAAGAAGCTCTTATACTGGCCTCCTACATGATCCCTTATGTAGACCAGGTTGAGTCCTGCTTAGTTTTCACAATAAAAAATGTGTCCCCAGATTGGGCCTCTTTCCTACTGCCTGAAAAGATCGGGGTTTTTGGGCTGCCCCTTTCTTGGGGGGGGGGGGACAGAAAGGTTATATTGAAAAGCCAAATACTGTAGAGGCAAATGTCCAAGCTGCAAAACTGAATGCAGAATTGAAAAGAGAGTGAGAAGGCTTAGTTTGGAAATCCATGATAAAAAGTGAGGGAAAGAAGTCTGGCGGAGAGGGCAGAACATACATTTCTGTCATGTTTTTAATTATTACCTAGCATTGTAAATGTCTCTCAGCCCGGCTACTACGCAACTTCTTTATATATATAAAAGTTGTTTATATTCATTAAGACAAATGATCTAATCCTTAGTCTTCCATTCAGATTAGCAACATTGGGAACGATGGCTTTACTTTTTGGCATGAGGGAGGGAGGTCTGGTTCTTGGAGATGCATCATATTCTGAACGCTCCTGTTTAAAACTACTTTGGATAGTATTCAAACAAAGTAATACTTTGAAAAGACAGACTAGCCAAATGGGAGTACACTCCATAGGCAATATTTGGACAGCCTCACTTCAAGGCAAAATCCAAACAGACATAAAAACATAGCCATATAGTTTTCTGAGGAAGAGGTGGGTTTAGGGAGCAGGGCCAGTTCCCCTGCACCAAGCTGAGGGGGTGCTGAAGGTGCCACGACTATGACATACTGCATGAGGAGAACAGAAGGCAAGGGTGGAGGGGAGGCACCAAATTTTGACTTTGCACAGAGCAATGTTGAAATTTAAAAGACCAAAGTCTACCCCTGACTGAGGACAGAAAAACAGAACCTTAGAGCAACATGAGGCTTAGTAGGAGCCCCGAGCCTACTCAGTGATCTTTGTTGACCCAGAGGGGGAAAGAATCACCCCAATTCACCTCATTTTTCAGCAGCACACGAAAGTTGCACACCCCTCCTAATTATGCTTTTACCAAAAGCAAGCAAAGGGATAGTTAAGAAGAACATCATAACAATTGCCCTCAAAGGAGAATTATTTCCAAGTGTTATGAAAACGCTGGCAGCTTTTACAGAGTAGGTTTTCAGTTTCAGCACCAGTTGGAGCTTCACGCTTCTCTTTGATAGCTTATTTTTAAGATATTTATTCATATCCTGCCTTTTCCCTAGATCTGGACTCAAGGCGGCTTACACATAAAAATACCAAAACACAGATAAAACAGAAAAGGCTAAAAACATAGAAAAAATAATCAAAAAGTAATAAAACAGTAACAGAATTAAACAATATAAAAATATATTGAATACAGAATACAACAACAACAAAGCAGTAACCCTTTCATTAAAAACCATCAGTTCCTAAAGGCCTGTCGGAATAAAAAGGTCTTCACCCACGAGTGGAAGAACAACGAGGAAGCCAATCTAACTCCTCTAGAAATTAAACAGATTTGAGAAAATAACTGCCTTTCAACCTCTTGGGGAACTAGAATAATCCTATTATTTCTAATAAATATTTATTTCCCCATGATGATTTTTGCTACATAGATACACAGCTGTGTAAAGATGCAATAGTTGTCTTTACAAAAAAAAGTCAAGGATGTTGAGCTGAATGCGTTATTCCCACAACCCAAGGACATGCAGTTTGCACACTAATGTACGAAAGTACTGAAGTCCAGGTATATAGCAACCCTCATTGCCTTATTGTTCACAATTCAATGCACAGCAAGTTCAAGAAATGGATTCATAAGGCAACACTCCACCAATCTGGGCTTGGAATCCCAAGTGTGTCATCTGTAATTTACAACCAATTTAAACAGCATTAACAGTCCTCTCCTTATGGGAATTTAAATTTGCATCCTACCACTGAATTAAACACCAATTGAATTTTTTTCCTATAGAGGATGTAATGCTCTTTGAAGCTTGTTTTGAATAATAGAAGTGCTTATTCATGAAAGGGGGGGCAATAGGGGCCCCAAATCTAATTGAACTAAAATGTGGGTTAAAGGCACATTGTTCTTGGCTACGAGTTTTATTATTAGTTTATCTAGATTTCATTATGTTGTTAAAAATGAATCTCTGCCCCACAACTGAATCCCATTCACTCATCATAGGTAGATTTCCTGAAAGTAGTCAGGAGAAAAATAGACAGCCAAGTTCCTATCTTCTTAAACAAAAGGCAGACAGAAGGCTGGAAAAAACATTACATTCTGTGACCTCTTGGAGAATATCATTGTGGAACATGTTACTCCTCAGTAACTTATGTCAGTCAAACAGATGCAGAGGACATTTTAAAAAAGAAAATTAGACAAAAATAACTGTGCTGGTCTCTTCTTTTTGCCTCATTTGTGTGAGTATAATCAACGATTCTGGAAATAAGGTTAGTTAGTTCCAGCTATTACTTCCAAGGTAAAGACGTTTAATGATTCAGAACTCCAGTTAACCACATATTCCTTCATTTTATGGATGGTATCTGTGTGTGTGTGTGTGTGTGTGTGTGTGTGTGTGTGTGTTTAGTATATCTGAAAACACAAGCCTAAGATTGTATGTGTGTGTGTGAATATAATGTGGGAGAAAGTATCTGGGGACATATAAATGTAATCTTATTAATTTATTTATGTTGACCATTGACTCATGTACTTGGGGCTCATTGTACAGTATTTTCTAACACGATGCAAGCCACTTGTAGAAAAGAAGGATATACATTTAAAGGCCACAAGGAAGGAATCCAAAACACACTTAGAATCCAAAACACCTTCCACTGGTAATTACTGTATATCCGAATAGATATGCATGGTTTCGCACTGTAATTTTATGTATTCTGTATGTGCTCCTCCCACTTTTCGGCACGACATATTCAAAGCAGTTAACAGAGCCCAATATACTGTAAAAATAAACTATTTAGAATTATTAAACTAATCAGTGTACGAGACCATATATAAAAAGATGCCTTGAAACATTTTTGTAGTAAGTAACAAATAAATGTAGCAGTTGTTGGAAAGAGAGGTTTGGAAGAGAACTTCTTACTCTCTCACAGCAGGGTTAGCACAATGGTGATTACTCCAAGCATACTAAAACTTGGTTCGATTTATATCTACCCTCATTCATCTTTAAACAAACATCCCTCAAGAAAATACTTAGGCTGGGATACTTCACTTTCCAAATAAGTGAATATTTTACTCACAGTTTCCAGAAGTTACAGCAACCAAGTCTCCATCCACTGGCAACAAAACAAAGAAGAAGAAAGTTTCAAATAACTTAAAAAGACATTTGTTTCCTTACAAAAAGAATCTTGCAATCTTTGGATTAGCAAAGATGCAGGCTGTAAAATCTCCATTTTTGAGAGATTCAGTTCACTTGGCTTTTCTTGCAGCTGGGAGCCACTGGCTGTATGGCTCCTTGCTTCTTCCAGGAAGCATAAAGTGGGGGGGGGGGGAATGGGAGGGAGGAAACAAAAGCCTGCTAAGCTCCACCCCCACTGGCAACCTGAGCTCCAGTTAACCCTTTCATGTATGCAAGTGTGAGTCAGTAATTGTATATTACAACAGTAATACAACTACTAGCACTACTACTACTACTAATAATAGAAGCAGCACCATCAAAAGTGGCATCAGCATTCCCTCTCTGAACAGTATAGTCATACCTCAGGAAGAATATGCTTCAGCTTAAATATTTTTGGGTTGTGCTCTGCAGCAACCCGGAAGTAATGGAGCACGTTACTTCTGGGTTTCGCCACTCGCGCATGCGCACATGCTCAAAATGACGTCACGCACATGCGCGGAGGTGGCAAAATGCGACCCGTGCAGACGCATCTTACGTTCGCTTCAGGATGTGAATGGGGCTCTGGAACGGATCCCGTTCGCATTCAGAGGTACCACTGTATTTAAACTAGGCTGTCAAGGGTCTTTGGAGTGTGGTAAGACCTGTAGAGTGTGGCAAGACTGGCAGCTGGAATTTCCAGGAGGCTGGCAAGAAGACTCATCATCATTGCCATCCTCAGCATTTACTTTCTGCAGCTGTTAGCCTCCTTTGGAAGAGAGATGAGGGAGCCAGCTGAACATCATCTAGCCTGGGGAGAAGACCCCTCCCACTCTGAACTGTATACAAGCCAGGGCACTGAGGCTCATTGGAGTGCACCAACAGAAGGAACTTCATTATCTGATCACTTCCTTTTTGCTTTACTTATATATTTAAGCCTAGATTATTAATTTTGTCGTGTTTCATTTATTCTATATTTGCTACAATGGTTGGATTTTTCTGGTCTTATTTGAATGTATTGATACATTTTGTAAACTGCTTTCTCCCCCAACCTCCACTTTTTGTATTTGATAAGAAGTGGATGTCCATTGTAAGCTGCTTTTGGCACAGCTCACCACAGAAAGACAGCGTATAAATAAACTAAATCAATCAATCAATCAGATCAAAGCCACCATCAGTTTGGTTTTTTAAAAGCCTACTGGAATTAGTTCTTATTTTGACAGTATTGTAAAAGACAAGCAAATTATGGAGCCAGGTAGTTCTCCCCATACATGGTATATGGCAGGCTTCCTCAACCTCGGCCCTCAAGATGTTTTGGCCCACAACTCCCATGATCCCTAGCTAGCAGGACCGGTGGTCAGGGATGATGGGAATTGTAGTCTCAAAACATCTGGAGGGCCGAGGTTGAGGAACCCTGGTATATGGCATGTAAAGAGATTGACTGCAACTATTGTTCAATGACTCAGTAGGTAGGCTTTACAGTGTGTGTGTTTCAACCC